GAACAGTATCTTCTTGAAATGATATCACAGAAGCAGCACCCTCAGTTGTCCGTAGAAACATTGACAATTTTTAATGTTTAAATAAGTGTACTTTTCAATAAGATTAACCAAAAAGGGATGTCAAATAGTTTCCATACAATTAAGAGGAGTAAAAAATTGCACAAAATGAATTCCTCGGAAAATTCATTTCATGACCCCTTTAAGAGGAAACTATAGATGTGGTCTCGCTACAGTTTGTCAGTTGAGCTTGTAAGCTTACATGAAAATGTAAGCGTACATGAACATTGAAAATGAAGTACCCATGTTTTTAGCAAACTTATGAAGAAGGCGTTCTAATTATCATTTTAAATATGTCAACGTTACGGCAACGCCCAAGTTTACTGAAACACGGAGGACGGAATCTCAAAATGACTTGAATCAGTAACACCTACTTTTATATTGACGATCGCAGCTATTATACTACCGCTTCTTGCTATAATGCATAACACTTTGTATCTCTTGACGCGTCGACGGGCAGAGCGTACTGTCCGAAACGTTGAGTTTCCCCCGGTTCTTTTCAGAACCTCACAAAAGAGATTTATTTCATCATAAAGCAATCGGAGTTCCTTGCTCTATGGTTGCATGTTAAAACCGTACTACATCTTTATCCATAGCTCTATGCTTTATCTTACTACTTTATCTATATTACAGGGATATTATCCAGGTACATTGTGGTACTGTGTAAAATGCCTGCGTTCGTGATGGCCGCTTCTGGTGGGAACACGTACCCTGCAAATATTTATCTTGCGATAAGAACGTTCTGTTGATTCAGTGACTATAAAGCCGAGATTATCGAGATAAAGTTAGCCACCTGATAAGGAATCACACATCATGTATTAGCCTGTACCAATAGATAGCATAACCCTCGAACTTCGTATTACCATGGAGCTATATGTACAAACATGGAGCTATATATGTATTTCTGATTGACTTTGGAATCAGAAACATTGTTAGCACAACATGGTTCATTTACAACTGATCATACTACAGATCATGCAACCGACAGGCATCTCAAAAATTAAACGTCACATTTTGCCCGTTGTTTTGCCCACGTTAAACAGTTTGTGCATGTGTCCGGTGATTTCAGGAGATACACATGCAGAGCAGAAGAGAACAGCTTGCTGGAAGTTGGCACGTGACCACAGCATGCAATTTGAAAAAAACCCTGTAAAATGGCCTACAAGGGCTGCATTGCCTTGCCAATTAAAGAACGTATAGTAGTGTGCTAACACATTGCTTTTCAGTGGCGTAACAAGAGGTCCGGGCCGCCGCCCTCGCCCCGCCCCGACCCCTTGTCCCCCCCCCCCCCCTCAGAATTTGGAAGTCAACAAGGCGGCTTTTTATCCTTAAAAACCTAAGTATCCATCCAGAAAATGAAGCCCACCTATTAGTACAGTGTCCCTGCAAATAAAACCCGTTTATGATATTGGTATTACTGCGTTTGCTTCTGAGAAATGGTCCTTAGTGCGTCTTAAAGTTATAAATTGGTTAACGTCATCAATAAATTATACATCCGCAATCTGCATCCAGAGAGTTCAATAAGGTTCGAAGGTTGGGAATTATGGTGCGACATACATGATGTACATACAAGCTGGTATATGGACTAGCACAATTTAGGGAAATTCCCCCCTAACATTGTTGTGTGTTACTTGTGGTGTAGAAAGTGCAAGAGGTTAGCACGAACTTTGCCAGAGACACTTTCGAATTCAGTATGGGCATATATCACTGGTGTCTAGGGAAATTGTATACTGGAGTGCACCGTGTAGACTTACAAATTGGCTGCCGCGCCACGCATGCGCCATGCCGCGACAGTGGTTTTCAGTGGGCGGAACTGAGGGAGGCAAAAGCATTTTCAAAGGGGTAACCAAGGGCAGATCTGCAACAAATACAAATATCCAAAGGTCCGATACGTCATCGGCCGATTACAGCAATATATACGAGAACAAAAAGTAGGGGGTGATTGGGGGTTGGGAGGAGCTGGAACTCAATTAACGCCATGGGGAATGCGCATAAAAGCTACCAATGTTCAATGAAAAACCACTGACGTTGAAAGACCACTGTCGCGGCATAAAGCATGCGTGGCGCGGCAGCCATTTTGTAAGTCTATAACAGGGTACACCCGGTTTAAAATTGCCCATAGACACCAGTGGTAAATGTTCATACTTCAAAATTCTTTTAAAATACTCAGAACTCTCACAGGTGTTCAGACTGCACAGAAAAAAAAATTACGATCAACATGTCATCTTTCATTTTCTTTTCAATTTTTGGTCGTTTTTTGACCATTGACTTTTTGGAGAAATTCTTTGAAGCGAGGCCTGGTTTTTAAATTTTATTACAAACATCATCATCAAAAGCAAACTTTTGAACACTTTTGAATACGTTTAAACTTAAGACTTTGAAGCAACCCTTTAAGGCATTTGAAGGGGAGTTGATCACGCTACATGATTGTGTTTTAAAAATGATCTTTTTAAAATACGATTTTCAAAAAGATGACTAAAATTAAATGTGCAAAGTTTCCCTTGATCAACTGACAATAATACGTTGATGACTTGGTGTATAATTATTTCAGAATTAAATATAACTCGAATCAAGACAACATGCTCTTAAACATATGTTGATGACTTGGTTTTCAATTACTACATAATTGAATTTAACTCAAATCAAGCATGTTCTGAAGAAAAAAAATGTCAGCTAACGATGATTGCATTCTGCTACAATTCAAACTGTTCAAAATTATGTTTGAAATTGGAATTAGGTCCTTTATGTGCACAATGGTAGATACTTCTCAGGGTAACATGGGTGTAAACACTCCCCCATTAATTTTTGGCTTTGAGTCTATATTTGTCTAATGAACTGCTATCATAGTATCAAGCATGTCTTTAATCATATAAGGCATTTAACCAATGTATCTGGCACTCTACATTTGTGAAGGATATATTCATTTGTGGGCTGATTTTTTTAAATACGATTTTCAAAGAGATGTTTAAAATTCAATCCGCAAATTGCCCTTGATCAACTGACAATATTAGTTATTGATGACTCGGTGTTTCAATTACTGTAGAATTAAATATAATTTAAATCAAGACAGCATGTTCAAAAAAAATGAAACAAAATTCAAATAACGATGATAGCTTTTTGTTACAATTTATGGGACATTGATGGCCTTCATAAAGAGACTGCTGTGGTAAAGCCCGTTTCTCGATATCACAAACACGTCTGTTGGCTCTCACAGATTTGCTGTACACTAGCACGTATAGAGCTGGTTTTGTCTCATCAATGATGTCCACATAATTATGTTGGCATATGTAAAATGTCCTTCATGAAAAGAAAAGTCAAACAAGACAAAATATGAAAATTAAGAAATCACTGAATTGAATAACTTCAAGTAGCCAAATCGCACCCCCCACCACCACCAAAAAAATCTAGCAAGTGGGAAAAATGCACTGAGAGTCCTAATTAAAATCTATGTAAAGCATGCATGGAACAAAGGCAAGGGAGTGTTCAAACGATGTGTTAATTTGAACATGTGAACGAGTGCACATATGGCCTCACGTCCAGTAGAAGGTTATAAATATTCAACCATTTTCAGGCATTTATTTTGCCCATGTGTTGGGTAGGAAATTTTCTCACCTTTTTGAGAAATTTTATTTTCTGAAAAACGTTGGGCAGGAATTATTTCCAGTGTTTGTGGAAACCTTTGTTTCGCAATGATCCGTCCACTTTATTTACAAACCTGCAATAGTTTTAAATCAAACTCAAATTTCTCATTGCACTGAGATTTATGTTCAACAGTACAATATAGGAGAGATGAAATGGCAACACCAACGATATCTACATAACTGTTACCTATGCTTGTGACATTGTATCGTATGTAGGCTAGGTCTACCTCGTGTACATGTAGGCTACACGTACATAATTATGGGCCTGAAATGTGCTGGGCCTATACCCCATTCATGCGACGATTAGCATTCTGAATAAAGTCATACATAAAAGTTATCTCAGCTTCTTAATTATCTGGGAAACACGAACACTGATTTCTTACCCAAATATTTACCACTCAGGTCCGACAGCCCCCATTCTCGCAACAAATCTTCCGCCACCGTGACTCATTTCGCGAGCGAAAAATGCTGATATATGGCCGGCTTGCCCATAACACTTCACTTCAAAATTAGCAAAAGTGCCCTCTCTAGTGTAAAAATTCCCAACATTGTGGGGAAAAAGTTGTTTTGCTCAACTTTGTTTAGTAAGTTTATCAAACCATTTAATAGATACCCAATAAATGGACAACGTTTGCCCATGTCATAGAAATTATGATTTGACCAATGTTGGTCAGCATGCTCTTGGTCAACATGCTACTTACCCTACTGAAAATTGTATCCATTTGTTGCGGTGAAATTGTCCAACAAATGCCGAAATGAAGTTGCCCAGCTTTCATTTACCCAGCATTTTTTTGCAGTGCAAAGAAGACCACCCCTAGAACGAACGATGTTTCCAAAACTCGGCGGTATATTTCCACCAAAACGAACTTGCATCCCTTAGCCTTGAGACTGCTTTGTAAGTCAACGGCCCGAGGAATATGGGTTCGGGAGAAATCCGCCACAGTATCGCATAGTTGATTACATGACGTTGAAACTGTGTGTTAAATTCGGAAAAGATTAAACTCGGCGTTCTTTCAATTGGCGAACGTGACGTATTTTGTTTCCAAAAAAATATATTGTTAAGGTGAGTTGGCACATGGGCGATTGAATCCTCAATTTGGCTTATTGTTAGATACGACCGAAGTTTGATACCGGTCCTTACTGTGCCTCGAAAAAGGGTCTTCTTGTGGTTTATAAAACCGTTTACAAATTAATCGTCAGCGTGAATTAAATACCTTCTCAAGAACATCTTTAATGAGTTTGAAACATTTTATTCGGCATTTCATTTGTTAACTTTCATTTTTTCCCATTTTGTTTCCGTAGACATAATGACTTGCCATGGCAACTGAAGAGTCTATACAATAACAGTCTTGAGACAGTGGATTTGACTGCCGATCTCAGCCACACTACACTGCACACCGATATTCCACGTCTGCAAGCTGGTAAAGTGGGCGGTCAAGTAAGTTAGGCACCTCAAGTTAGCGTTTGCCACTACATTGCCCAATGTACGAAAGTCGGATCTGAATCAACTTTTTTTTGCTAGATCATTATAAGTTCATTACATTTGTAAGTGCATGCATTGACATAAAACAAATGGTTGGACACTTGGTCGGACACTTGCAAGGAGGTAAGGCAGTTCTATATAATGTGCAATTTTCCCTTATCAAACTGTGACACCTCAAGCTTGGTTGATATGAAATTAATAACTCTACCCATTGTAATAATATTAATTTGGGCGGCTGATCATCCTTACTCGCAGCTGAGAAGTGGAATTGCGAAAACGCGGCTACAACGTGGTGGTCGAGCCGCAGGCATGTAACTTCCCATGCACAAGTCATGATTTGAATTCCGTTTGGTTTCTAGACTTTCTTGAACATTTCAAGGGGGTTGATGATTTTCTGGGGAAAAAAAATATAACTTCGATCCGTTTCTTTTTCTAGTTTTGGGCAGCCTACACGTCATGCGGTGCACAGTACAAGGACGCCGTCATGCACATCTTGGAACAGATTGACGTCATTAAGCGCATGTGCGCTAAATACAATAAATACCTCCAGTTTGTCACTACAGCCGACGGTAAGCAAAAAAAAACAACCGTGATTGACATTTAAATTACTTCTTGGCTCTTGGTTGGTTCTTCTCCTAAATACTCCGCATGGGAGTTTTAACCGGAGGCCAGAAACACAGGGGCAAACCCTTTCTCTTAGCAATAAGTGTCACTGGGTTCTTTAACGTGCATTGCATTACACAACACACGTGACCTTTACGTCCCATTGGAAAGACGATGCAATTAATGGTTACAGGTTATAAGTGCAACAATGCAAGTCTAAAGAGTTTTTAGAGGTTGTTTGTTGGCAGTTTATCAATCAAGAAACCGCCCCTAAATGCAAACATAACTCATGATTCCTCAAACTTGGTGTAAAAAGTCTGAAATAAGACTATAAAGGGTGAGAAAACTCCCTTTATACAGGGTGGCCCCAATTTGTTTTTACTTTTTCAGATGCAGATTTCTCAAAATCCGGGACAAATTCTTAAACTAAAAGGTCTAGGTGGCATATGGTTAAAAAACGCATTGAAAATAAAGCCTAAATTAAGACATGGCGGCCATTTACAGAGAAACGGTCAAAAAATCAGTTTGTCCACAAGCAAGTCTATAAAGCTTGGTCAAAACAATAGCACTGCGTGCACAAAGAACTGTTGTAACAGTCAGAATCACATGGTATGGTATACTAGGCATCGTAGTCGGCTTATAATGTGATACAAGTACGTCACAAAGCCATTAAACTACTATGCGGACAGGGTTTAATTTATTTAGTTCAATCATTTTGTACGGTGTTATTTGTAGATTTAAAAGCACGCCAGGAAATTTTCTTTGATGCTTTGTTTATAAGTTGAGTTTTAGTACCATAACGAAATTAAGAAAACCAAACCCAAAGTCATTGGGCCTATAACCGTTGGCCGTACCTTCAAACTGTAATACAATCTGAAATTCAAAATGTGTGCTTAAAAGGCATACAGCCTTACGTATAAGCACAGATGAACCATGCCCCTAAATATATACCATAGTGTTTATAACTCCCGCAGTTTGTGGAGAGTAGGTTTGCAGCTAATTCCGAAAAAGAAAACTAATTCATTTCTCGATTCAAAACATTGTTTTTATGGTGAATTGTTACAGGGATCGTGGAAGCCCATGGAAATGGTAAAGTTGCATCCCTCATTGGCGTAGAAGGCGGTCACAACATTGACAGCAATCTCGGCGTACTGCGCATGCTCTACGAACTCGGAACGCGGTACATGACAATTACGCATAGCTGCAATACCCCATGGTAAGTCATGTGACCAATTTAACACTCACCAATGAGGCAGTCCAGGGTATTTTTGTCAATAAGAAGGGTTGTTTCGCATTCCGCCCGAATTAGACGCAGGCGAATTTAATGAACTAATTTTATTAGTCCATGACTTCCGTGCACGATTGTTGCCGAATATGTCGTTGGCCTTTACTCAAGAGAACCAGCTAAGCAAAACATTTGAAGTTCAAATCTCGTAGACTATTTTGCGTGACTAGAACGCACCCGGTCGATGCACTGATGATCGGTGAACCGCCCTGAACGTAGGAAACGTCACTTAAGTGTCCGTCAACATCAATACTGTTTTGCAATTCGACCACTGAGGGCGCACTTCCCACAGAATCTAAGACGAGGATAACCCAGAAATAGGCCTATGGGGGTAGTAATATTAAAGATTTTACTCACTTGCTCAAATTGAATACTCGGACAAAACTAACTTTGTTCACATATTTTCTTTCCGTTTCTTCCCGTCTACAAAGGGCCGACAACTGGAGGGAGGAATTTGAACCCACACCTGAACAACTCGATGGACTATCGGCCTACGGAGAGGTAAGCCAGTGTGGCAAATTTACGTTGATAACACTGACTCCTGGACTCAGCAAAATCTGGCATCCCCCTTATGCTCCTAACTAGCGAGGCAACACAAATTCCGAGAATTTGCTTTTCGCTAGGAAAATTACAAAGAAATTGTCGAACGCTGTAATCCACACAATAAAATAAAGACTTACTCCAACTGGTTCCAAATACGATACGGGACGACAATGTTATAACACAGTATGAAACGTTATGCTAACTAAACCCCAAAGTAAATTGATTAACGGTACCAGTCAACTACTACCTAGTTAGAACCTAATGCCTTCACAAGGACCTGCTACAGTTTAAATTACAACATCGATGTAAATAACCTTTGACCCTTAGAAAGTGATTAAGGAGATGAACCGTCTGGGGATGCTGATTGACCTGTCCCATGTCTCCGTGGCAACCATGAACGACGTCTTGGATATCTCGGCAGCTCCTGTCATATTCAGCCATTCCTCAGCTTTCTCCGTATGCGGATCGTACCGGAATGTGCCCGATACCGTGCTTAGTAGAGTTGTAAGTACACATCTCTTCAACCAGAGAGCGATGGGGTTTTGGCGCAGACCGTGCGTCAGTAAACGACAAGATTCAATACTCAGCACGATTATAGGTGAAGCAACCTGGGATCAATTTTTAGGCATCCAATATGGCATATCATTACCAAAATTCAACAAGATTTGAATCGTATAATTTGTTACCCCCAAAAACAATGTGCCCTGAGGTGCTTCATTCAGCCTACCATCCAATCAGAACATTGCAATCAATGGATTGAGCCAATAAGCTTCAGAACAGTAGAAGAGATTTGGTCTGCGATATTTGACGAACATCATTGTTTTGCATTAGATTGCATGAATTCGACCAATTGTCTCAATGAATGCGAATCTCTTGATATTTTTCAAACTCTTTTCAGTAGACATAAAACAATTTGTATCAACAAATCTTTATGATCAACATAAATTATTAAACCGAATTAATGCCTGCAGTTTGTATCAATGAAGGCTTACAAATAAAATTAAAAAAACAAATTCGACAGAACAGTATACATGTACTTTAGGTTTTTCTCTATAGGCCTAAATGTTGCAAAAAGTTTTCCAGGAAAAGCAAGATGTCCATGTCTGTTTCCTAATTGAAAGCACTTGTGGATAGATTGGAAATGCTGTATAGCTCTTGCAATATGAGCGTGTTGTCACCCATTCAGTTGAGGAAACGTTCACGCTTCCTCGAGACAGACTTGCTTGAATGTTTTACAATCAAGAGTCAAAAAAGTCTGTAGACCCAACTCTAGGCTTGGTTTGAACTGCCGACTATTGTGAAAACACCGAGTTGTTTTGGGAATTGCTATTCTAGGTGGAGAAGAAAGGTGTGGTAATGGTGAATTTCTACACTCAATACATCAATTGTCCTCCGCGTAATATCAGCGCTGACCCCAGGGAGGCCACAATGGCTCAAGTGATAGGTAAGAGTCTCCATTTTTTATTGAAACTCAGCCTCTTTCGTTGGAATTCACTTTTTGTTAAAGAATGAAGGCAAACACGACGTTCGAGTATCGATAATTACGTCTCTGTCACAATTGTCCCTTAAGGTGCATGCCCCTAGTCTGAGTATCACCCGTTGTCCAACGGAGTCACGAGCCCGTAACCAACGTCTGATATAATGTGAGCAAATGAAAATTGTATGCGACCCCAAGCGCCATGCAGCCAATCGGAGTCGAAATCTGTGACGTCTTTTCGATCAGAAATGTGGACTAAGCTGTTGATTGGTCAATTCTGCTTCAATGCTTTTATAATACAACAACGGGTTACCAAACAAGACCCGATAGAAGGCGCCCACTGAAACAGAATGGTCAGAACTGATCTCTCAGAACTGATCTCAGAATCTGCTCGCTTATCATAATCTGCTGTGCAAGGAGGTATTCCACACGCAAACCCTAGCTTACAAAATCGGTCAGTTTTTTGTGGGTTTTTTTGGTGTATTTTTTGTGAACATTTCGTGAGTCTTACACAATGTCTTCCATTCATCTACATTTTTTCATTCAGAACATATCGAACACATCCGGGACATAAACAACGGGGCAGGAATCGACATCGTTGGCCTTGGATCTGATTATGATGGAGTGGGAACGTAAGTAGTTTGCTTACATCAATATCAATGCCCAGGGTGGGGGGAATATACCCGAATCAAGGACAATGAAAAGAAACTTGAGTTTTGTTGGGTTGGGTCAATTTGCATCCTTCCATTCTAAGATCAAAGTCTGCAATTTTCATACTTCCTTCCCAAGATCCACTGGAGAGTTTGAATGTGTCCCCTCTATTCAACATGGTTTCTTTCACTGATGAGGCTGTCATTAATTTCTACTTGCCTTTTCACAATAAAAAATAAAGTTATCACGGGATCGGAGTAGTACCACAACATTTTGAATGTAAATCAGATGTCATTTCAATAAAATGACGATCGTTTCGGATTTCCCTTAAAGAAATGTTGGATTTCAATATTAGTTGAAATTGTCGCATATTTTGCTTGGAAAGCACAGAAATTTGATATTGTCAAAATTGTTCTAAACGTGTTAATTGAATAATGTATAATACAAACATCCAGCATGATGTTTTAAAGGGTTACATGTAATTAAATTACATGTTAAAACTAGCACGCAGAGAGCACAAACCTCCGCCAAGGCTAAACAATTCCCCGCCATATTGTCAGTACACCCAAAAGAAAAACTCGCATAAATGGTGAACAATCCTTTAAAAAAAAATCCTGGATCCAGACCCAGAAAACTTCCAAAATCTAATAAGTTGTACTTGTACCAAGGACCACCCTAACAAAAATTTCATACAAATCCGTCCATTTACTTTTGAAGTTATCTTGTTAACAGACAATTTGAGACAAAACAACCAACCATCCAATGCACGATGAAAACATAACCTCCTTGGCCGGCGGAGGTAACAAGGCACAAGCCAACACGCTACTCTGTCGATTCACAATGGCTATTCGCTGGAAGTCTCAACAAGCATGCTCTACACAATGGATTCTGGATTTAGCCAATTGACGTTACAGTGTAATCATATATGATAGCACTGCCAGGCTCTCTTCACCGTAAGCCAAAAACCAGTCTATTTCACAAATATTTAATGACTGCTAGTTAGTCAGTAAGTCGGTAAGTAAGTAGAATGGAGGACGTTGGCCTTCTGATCTGGCACAAGCAAAAACAACAAAAGTTCTAACAATGAATCTCTGGATTCCTTAGAAATGTTGGTACATTTCTAGTTTTAATTTTGGAAGTATGATTGAACTCACCATGCAGATTGCCGACTGGGCTGGAGGATGTGTCCAAGTTCCCGGATCTGATTGCTGCCCTCATCGACCGGGGTTGGACAGAGGAGCAGATCAAGAAGCTTCTCGGGGAAAATCTACTCAGAGTCTTCAGAGACACTGAAAAAGTAAGGGGCAATCATAAGTGATTGTATAGTCGAATGTGGGTTTGCATAAGTTGGCCAGAGGAGTGTGCACAAACTTTTATTGATTGAGAATGACTCTGAAGAGTTAACATTCATTTCCATATCATATGTTACCTTTTCAAATTTGTGTCCTCAAATTTGGTTTGAAGTTAACATTTTGCTTGTTACAGGTATGCTTCCTCACGAGAGAAAACATGAACTGGCCATTGTTGTTACTTTGTAGTTCAGAAAAAGAAGTTGTTCTTTGTATTCTTATTACAGGTGAGGGATCAGCAAAATGCAGTTTTACCCTTTGATGACGTCTTCCCCCGGGTTAATGTGTGGGAGGTCAATAACACTTGCCGAACCTATGTGGGGTGATGAGCTTGGGCACCCGGTAATGACAACAAACCAGGACCAAGGTACGAAGGCTACAGCGTCCCTTTCCATTCAGCAGCTATATTTGAGGGGCGGGGTTTGGTCATTTTAATTTAGGAATTAATGCACAAGAGGTCTACACATGGGAATACATGCGCAACAAAAGCAGGCACCTCCAATATGACTGCAATGTGAAGGATCTAATGTTGGTGTGGGATTTTGTGGGGTCTCATTTTGGCAGTGACTTTATAAATATTAACGCCCCATATCCCCTGTTGGTTCCTCTTTGATCACCTGGTTAAATATTAATCACTGTGGTTCAGAGGAAATCTGCATTGAACAGATTTTTTTTTGTCTTCGCAAACAATGAAAAGAATACCGTGAACACCGTTGAGCTGCTGTAGACATATCAACAAGAACAGTGTGAACGCACTTTTAACCCTAACTCCCTAGCATGATTTATTAGGAACCATACCCATCGTGGCAAATTCCAACACCATATGGGAAACTGCACACACATATTTCTGACTTTGATTCTGGAGGTGTGCCAACCCAATGTGAAAGACTGTCGGTTTAGTGATAGGGTACTGTACCCATCCTGACAGATTCCAACAAAACATGCCGTCGGGCTTTGATGCTGGGTTGAGTTCTGTTAGGGTTAAGTGTAAGTACATTACTCAGCGCTCATTAATAGGCTTCATGCAGTTTTGGGAGCATGGGTGTACATGTTTGAGTCGCTTTCTAGAATGAAGGCAACTTTGTAATGTTCTGTAATGTAACGCTATTCATGAATTGTTCTTGTCATCCATGCAGGCTAGAGACGATTCACAAACAGCTTTACTCTTCGGTCCAACATCCCTGAAGTATTATTGGTCACAGTTTTCACGAATAGACAAAATGAAATGAGTAGGCCTATGCTTTTATATGACTTCTGTCTCTTCGTGGAAACTATATCAGTAAAGGACACACTATGTAAAACTACCAACTTTTCTAGGTTAGTTTGCCAGTACTCGTTGACTTTGTATCAAATTGTAAGTCTTCCACATTTCATTTCATTTTATATCTATATACATGTACCACATTTCATTTCATTTTATATCTATACCACATTTCATTTTCATATTGTATCTATCGACCACATTTCATCTCATTTTATATCAGTATACCACATTTTCATATCATTATATATCTGTATAATTCAAAAGGCACTTTTAATCCTGTATGTATCATTTGCATAGTAGATATTAATAAACTTAAAGGTAGTATTATTTACAAAATTTGCAAACAGAAAATAAAAAACCCATCAAATTAGTATGAAGTACCTTACTTGACTGTAAGTACATGTATATAATGGTCTCAATCATCCTGTGAAAACTTTGGTACCTGGTGTGCTGTCATTTTCAAGACAAGCGGACCATCGTTTTTCAAATACAGCCCCCAGTTTACCAAATTTAGTCAGTCAACATTTTATTTACAATCGGCTACACATCTGTGAACAGGTGCAAGCCAGCTAGTCTGGTTCCCTGATTTTTATAAATTGCTCTGTCTAGCCTCCAGCCAGACTATAAGAACAGCATTTCTTCTTAGTTTTCCCAGCATCCATGAACACAAAATTTAAAGAGGTCAGGGTAACAAATAGCTGCTATTTATACAAACCCCCAAATCCATCCATTTCTGAAAATTGCAGCAAAAGCAAATGGTGTATATTACTTTTAATAATATAATGGTTTCTCTTTGCACTGGATACTGATGTAATATGCATGCATAGCCAAAACCACTGAATTCAATGCATAATTAGTTAACATAATTGTTTTCCCATGATATCATATACCAACGTTCCAACTCCATATTGAAACAGTACTTATAAGGAAACCTATACCAAACACATAAATGCTTTCATGATTCATGGTGAATAAAAATGACTTTCAGTCAATTCAGTGGGATAATATCATTTTACGTGAGAGCAGAATCCATGGAATTGAACATGCTCCAATACACACTATCCTTAACACAGCAGATAATTTTTTTTGTTCTAGGAAGAACATAGGTTTATGTATCGTTATCGTGAGCAATGTACATTTTTGTTTCATCTTTAATATGTTCATTTGAGATTGTGTTATGTTGTTTTCATAATGATATCAACAAAACCTAAAATTAAAAGATTTTACCTCAATTGTTTGTCATATATACTCTTAAAACTACTTTAACCATCTCCCATCTCTCTTCCGTGAATTATGACTGTTGTGACACTGTTTTGAATAAATGAAATGTAGATGCATTGTGAAGGCTTTATTCGTTTCGTTTTGTTTTTTATTTGGGGGGGGGGGGAGATGAGACTTATGGCTAATTTTTGAAACTTTTTTTTGTATATCACATTTTAAAACGTATGAGCACTCACCACCCTTGTCCAAACATTTTGTACTTTTCAATATATTTTTCATTACGTGTTTTTTTCCGATGGGTTCAAAAATTTAAACATACGCAGAAAAAAACGTTTTCAAAAATTACTTTAAAAATAAGTGAGGGTGTGCAATTTATATTTGGTTCATTCCATCCTTTCAAATGCAAGCTGAATATTACGTGTTATATTTCATAACTATGATATAAATGGTGTTTCAACCAAAATCAGCAAAAAAAATCAAGCTTAATTTACAGGGTTCGAAATTAGCGGTAGCCCGCTAGCCAAATGCTAGTCAAAACAGCGGCGGGTTAGTCAAACTATTCCTTTAGTATCCCGGCTGGCGAGTCCGAAATTATTGGGATACGGCAAAGATGAAAGGACAGGAAGAAATACATCATGAGATTCAGAAATCACACCTATCAATTTGTGTATAATTTTATCAACTGTTTTAACGGGTTAAGTTGTAAGATCTGTTTATTAGAAACACTGACAAAATTGCCCCAGAATAAATGAGAAATCAATTGGAAATGGCTAAAAGCGAATTTTACCTACGAACTATTTTCGTACCTAGGTCTCCTTGTTCGATCACGTCTGTTTTCACATCGCGTACTTGCGTGAGAACGAAAAATTTGGACGCAAAGATTTTAATATCTACCTACATCTGATGGATTCTAGATTTCCTTTGGATCACGTTTTAATACAGTTCTTATCAACCGTCATTTGAAATTTGTTTGTAAATAAAAATAAATCCTTCAAGTTTGTCCAAAAAAAATTGTCTGCCACAAATTTATTCCATGAATATTCATGCTTAAACGAGTGATCGAGTTCCACGAGTCCACACGGAAGTGACGGGTCCATTTTTTGCAGGATATTTCTCTTTCTCATCATGCGATTTTTCAGTTTCCATAAAATTCCGTGGGTGATTGTTTTAAGAAATCAATATACCAAACTAATTTTAAAAACTCTGACTTTTACACATTAATTATTCTTTTCGAGGGGCCCTGAAGCGCCAACATCAGGCCCGGATTAAGTGTTTCGTAGGCCCTAGGCACCAGTGTTCCGAAGAATAGAGAAGGAAGGGGAAAGGAAGAGGGAATAAGAACTAAGTGGAGAATGTAAATAATAAACGCCGCTGCTCAAAACTCCGCGAAGCTAAAATCCGGTTCTGAAACCCATGTCAAAAGATTGTACATTCTGTCATGTCGGCACAAGCTGCCGCGCGAATTCGCTTCATCTACGGGGTCGACAGCTGCAGCTGTGCCTATAAAAAATATAAAAATATTTTAAAAATCCATTATGGGATTTAAAGACCCTCCCCCCCCCTGCAGTCTGGGATCAGGGAACAGGCCTGAACAAGGTATGCACAATGGTACTGAGCATGTACATGCAGTTTTGCGACAATGAAATAAAAACATCATAGCTGGATCGAATTTTGTATTTTCGAGCAATTTTAAAAATTAATTTCGAACGATTACAGTACACGCTCTCAATATAACAAATGAATCATTCTTGCAATTGTCCTCCGAAGAAAGAAAATAAAACAAAAAGTTATGTGGCGATGGCCAAGTCTTCAGGAGTCGGACTTATGACCCTAACTCAATGAGCCCCTTACCGACTTCCATATAGAACTCTTCCGGGACTCGGTACCCGGCCCACCACACCTCCTTCCCTGTCCATCCATGTAACTCGAAAGTCAGGCACCATAAAGGGAGGAAACGAGGTGGCACCCTAAGCCTTGCTGCCGAGTCAGCAAAAGAACCCCGTACCTATACGCAGATGCCAACCTGGACTTCGCAGACAGTCCCAACTTGTGAGTCAGCTTACCGACCAACCGAGCTAACTGCTGTTGGTAAATGACGACGGGAAATTAATACTCTTAAATGACAGAACCGCGTGCATCGAAAACCAAAAAATGACACCAAGCGGGTTTCGAACCCCTAACCCTGGGTCCACTGTCAGACAGCTTAACAACTGGGCTGATTCAGTAGGTGGTTTTCTCTTTGCGTTTAAACTTAATCCTCATTTCCGCAGTGGGAGAGTTACTTTGTGTTTCATAGCTGCGCGAAAGATGCATCAGTATCGTGCAATATAATTGCATGCTGTTACGTAACTCTTTTCTACAATCATTCTTATGTGCCGAGCAGTTGACTATTCAGAGTCACTTCAAGCAATTAACCTTACCAAGCTCGTCCTTATTCTGTCTCATCACTTATTGTTTCGCGTCGCGCGTCTTTCGGCCGGCACTGAAATGTCGCTATGATTGAGAAAAATTCGAGCAGGTTTCCCCCACCTCATTATATTTATAATCAAACTACTGACCCGTTTACACATTTTTACGAGTGAATTTTGTTTGTCTAATTCTACTTCAGCTCCCTTAGCTAGCTTGGAAAACTTCATCTTTTCTTGTACTTACGATAAGTCTAGGGAATGATGCCATTATAATAAATGTCACATTATTAACGTGTCTGTGGCATGATTAGAACCGTGACCACGCGAGTGCAATGACGGCCAGCCTGCGTAAATCTGTGCTGGCGAGTGGGGGGGGGGGGGGGGGGGATGACCCGTCATAAAATTTGGGCGATTCACAGTGCAGTGCGCCACCAAGAGTTTGCAATGGAGAGTCAGTTTTTTAAATTACGGTCGACAAAACAAGACCCATTTGAATGAGTGTCATTAAACAACTTTAGCTAAGTGGTTATAAATTCGGGTATAGCGTTCTGCCGCCTCACTAAAACACCATATTGATACAATGAAAAGAAAACGTCAAATTTATACTCGAATGATACGCTTACGAAACTACTGACCGAAAAAAACTAACAATTTCAAATGTCCCGCGCTGCATTTTGTCGACCATCTCCCACAATGCGCTAGGAAAAATGAACTCTCCGCGGCAAACTCTTGGTGGCACAGCATAAAACGCCCGAATTGCCCGGCCGTGGACATTCAAAAAAAAAAGGGGGGGGGGGCTGGACACCACATTATACTGGGACGCTCTTTATCAATATGTATACTCGCGCTTACATTTTAAAAAGCTTTTGTACTTTGTTTCTCCACTTTCCAGTGCTATTGAATCCATTTTAGCTGCTGGGACGTTCGGAAAATACCTCAAAATCCTCATATTTTTTTTCTCATCACAAAAAAGTGGGGGATGATTCAGTAGCCCATCCCCGCGGTCAAAAATTGTGGGGGGGGGGGGTATAATATACCCCACCCCACCCCCACCCCGGGAATTATGCCCCTGATGACGGCGCACGGAGCCAACGAGGCCAGTTTTCCATTTTGAGAGGGGCACAAATTGTTGTATTGCGAGAGGGGTCATTCGTGTTTTCGAGGGATAGTTTTCCCATCTCGAGAAGGTTCACAATCGTGTTAATGCGCGAGGGGTATTTGTGTTTTTGAGGGGCACTTTTGCATTATTAGAGAGGAGATCATTTTCAAACGCGATCATAGTGCTTTCATGTCCGTTTGAGGGCTGTTTGATGTGGCAAAATGAGGAATGTCTCCCAAGACCATGTTATGAGTAATCAACGCCTGAATAAGTTTAAATTATGATTTCTGCCAAAGCATGTTTCTTGAGGAAATCCAAATCAGAACTGTTTTTTTTTTCATTTGAAATTCACCATGGAAGATACTTAATACCTGGTCAATAATCAGGGAAAAATCAAAAGGTCAAGCGCACATGACTTATGACCCAGAAAAAAAATACTACAAATTTGTAATCATTTTTGAACAAACTCACTGTAAATTTTGCCTGATAGTTATAGATAACTAAATACCTACAGAATCAATTTATTTTTTTCCCTGGCTGTTATACAGCACTAGACAGGCTAAGTATCTTCCATGGTGCATATTGTTGTACCCTAACGTGGCGCGGCCCCCAACGTGGCGCACTTTGATTTTTCGCCTGTAGCGCGTACCTAGAGCAAAAGTTTTAACTGAAATTTCATCAAGTTCTAAACACTCCTGTTCATAAATCGCGAGTTTATTTACCCGTAACGAAGTTGGAAGAAAAATTATTTTGGAGAGATTTCCGATTTTATTTTCAAGTGCAAAGTGAACCCTTTGAAAATGCCCCGAAAAATAAGAAATTAATTTTTTGACAAACATCTGGCTGGGTATGTAAGTAGAGATAATAATTGTTTATCAGAATTTATCAAGTTAACAGAAATTCTTAAATGTTAATTTGGAATTTTCCAAGATTTATTTCAGTGCGCCACGTTAGGGAACACTCCGCCAATTTGTGCCCAATTTCCGGACGCCACTGACCGTTTTTGAATTTCGGATTAAATTTTATGAAACTGAAATTGTTCACAGAGGTTAAATAGCAAGCATTAATAAGGTAAAAGTATTAGTATTTTACTGCATGAATTTGAGGTTAAAGACGTTTGGCAACCGTACGAGGAAAGTCGGGTGAGCTTCGAAGTGCACCACGTTACATGCGTTGGGGAACACGACTACATGTATATTGTTGATGTACCCTAACGTGGCGCGGCCCCTAACGTGGCGCACTTTGATTTTTCGCCTGTAGCGCCTAGCTAGAGCAAAAGTTTTAACTGAAATTTCACAGAAAGTGAAATTTCATCGAATTATAAACACTCCCGTTCATAAATCGCGAGTTTATTTACCCGCTACAAAGTTAAAAGAAAAAATTATTTTGGCGTGATTTTCCGATTTTATTTTCAAGTGCAAAGTGAACCCTTTGAAAATGCCCCGAAAAATAAGAAATTAATTTTTTGACAAACATCTGGCTGGGTATGTAAGTAGAGATAATAATGATTTATCAGAATTTATCAAGTTTACAGAAATTCTTAAATGTTAATTTGGAATTTTCCGAGATTTATTTAAGTGCGCCACGTTAGGGAACACTCCGCCAAATTGTGCCCAATTTCCGGACGCCACCGATTTTTAATTTCGGCTTAAATTTTATGAAACCGAAATTGTTCACAGAGGTTAAACAGCAAGCATTAATAAGGTAAAAGTACCAGTATTTCACTGCATGAATTTGAGGTTTGTCAACAAAGAGGTTTGGCAACACTACACGAAGAAATTTGGGTAAGCTTCGAAGTGCGCCACGTTAGGGAACACGACTATATCAAGTGAACAACAATATACATGTACATGTAGTCCTAGGCTTATTTCGATTTCCTCAAAATCACTGTTCCCCACACATTATAACAGTGACCACAGACCACTGCGTGGTTCACAGTACGAATTAGAAAGACAACTATTTGAGCCACATTTATGGGGCTACCTGGGCGAATCAAAAGTTATATAAAATGTTGAGTTTTGCTTTGAAATGGGCCTAAGGCTAAGCTACACATACGTTTGCAGGATTCCCCGAAAATATATCATTAACAACATAACAAACTAGGCCTAGTACTAGCCTACTACTAGTCGACAGTACTTACTTCCAAAAGCACACAGCCACATGACACTTGACAGCCAGCAAATTCTGAAGGAGTTCCTGTTCGTGTTTAAGTGTTATGTTCATGCTAGTGCTCATATAAAGAGCTTAGAGCTCACTCGTTGAATCAATGCAGGCTGAATAACATGCTAAAATGTGCCGCCAAAACATTCTTAGCGAAACGTGCGCGTGTTTCATATCGTCTGCTTTTCGTGTGTGGCGTGCAATTTGAGCAGCGCCCTCTGTTGACGTTTAAAGCGCCCTCTGTGTCATTCAATGTCGGCGACGCGATAGCTTTTTTGCATATGTGGATGGAGGGGGCTATTTGAAGTTTTAAACATTGGTATACATGTACGTGTATTGATGAAAAGAAAAAAAAATGCCTGCTCTAAATAACGAACCCCCCCCCCCCCCCCCATTATCTGTGCCCGCCATATTTTAAAGGCATATAGGATCTTTTGTATTTTTTTCATCCTAAAAGTAACCAACCGAATTACAACATGTACATGTATGTATTATCAAAAAGCTTACAAGTGTCATTTTGAAGAAATCAAGAAATCAGGTGCGGTTCTACTGGAGGGGGCTAGGGGGAATTTAGTTCCCCAAACTTAAGTGCAGCTCCCACAAAAAAATAATTGCCAAAAAAAAGGAAATAACAGCAGCGAATGTTAGGTAACGTCACATGCCAACAATATACATGTATATGTACTTGAACCCCCCCCCCCCCCAAATAAAAAACGTAGTCACTATAGCCAGCCAGGCGCGGATCCAGAGGGGGTGGTTTTTGTGTCGAACCCTCCCTCTCCCCCAGTTAAAAATGGTATTGATATTAATAACGTACATGTCCGCTAGAGCCAAAGTGTGCATTATTGTAGGGTTTGATCCTGCAATCATGCCCCCCCCCCCCCTATTTGAGAATGGGACCCTTTCTAGCAATTAACATTTTCATCTTCAGCATCAGATTTCCCAGGAATTAAAAACATTGAGGGTACATTGTACATGTACTCAAAATATTCACCTCAACTGAGAAATTTAAGTACATGTACTGGCAAAACTAAAGACCTGTCATATTATTTAGCACAGTCTTACTGGTCATTATGTGTTTTAAAAACCAATACATGTAAGTGGAATCAGGACAAGTAGCAATACATTAGGATAATCTAAACTTTATTACAATTTCCTCAGACGCCAGCTGAATACATTTCGTAATATGTACAATTTTAATTCAGAACTTGCACCTTTGCTGTGTATTTTGTGTTTTAATCAACATATTTCTGGCTTTATTTTTTACAGAACATGTTGTAAATTATATAAAGGTGTCTGGCCAAACTGCCAAAATTCAACGCACAAAACTGGAACATGTATGTTATTCAACGACGACTGAATCAACAATGTGTAGCTTTATGCTAAGAACATATTTACACCGACTCATGCATTTAAAAAAAAAATGGTATAATATTGAGAGGAATACAAAGGGTATAACAGTTGTACATGTAGTACTTATTAAATAGTCCTCCATCCCAAATTGATATCTCAAAGCAACTTGCCAGCAAATACTGAACTACCAGAAAACAAAAATTGCCGTGCTCTCCCAAAAAACGAGTTTGGCAATAAGCCAATGCAGTATCTCAATGAAGTAGTCTGTTCAAAGATCATTCGGAAAAAAATTGTTGATGGGATGTTACACAAACCCATTCTGTTCAAAATTAACGCGCTTGTGCGTTCATGTGCCTTCGATGAGCGTTCGATTATCCCGAGTGACCTGTGACCAAAATCATTGTGCACATGCGCAGTTGAAACACTGAACTGGCTTATTGGCAGCGATCACTACAATATGCTGATGGCTATACATTGTACAGTCGACTCTCGTTAGTACAAACTCTGTTTATACAAAATTCTGGTTATAACAAACATAAAGCCTTAGTCCCGACTGTGCATTTATGTGCACAATGAATGGGACTTATGTTCCTCTTAATACAAAATTCTGATATGACAAACAATTTGGCTAGGTCCGAACGAGTTTGTTTTAACGAGACTCGACTGTACATGTAAACATGTGGATAAAAATCCTACAACGCATGCCACCTTTTGAGATCTTTATTTTATCTTTGCAGCAAATTCTACACATTGGCTTGATTTTTGGGTTCATTATGCAAAACCTATAAATAAAGAGTAGTGAAAAAGACTCCTCGATTATAATTACAGAGAAAAAAAATTTGATTGCTACTTAAATATTTTGACAACTTTTTTTACAGCACAAGAGACTGGCACGGCTGTAAAGAAAAGAAATTCTGGACACTGTTAACTAATTAAAAGAAAAAATCACGACCCTAACCAATTTAAGTGAGATGTTCGACAAAACCCACTTTGTACTTGTACATATTCTGCAAAGACTGAAGAATCATACATCTCTTACAAACAACAAAAGTCTTGAGCACTTTCCATCTTAAGTCCAACCAACATGAGAAACAGGATAGCTACACTTTTGTTCGGTTACAAGACGGTACAGGACAAAAAAATCTGCCTCTGAATTGGGCAAAAATGTCTCAGAAGTGTAGATGGACATTTAAAATCTTCGTATAAAAAAAAAACTTTCCATGAGTTTCAAAACGATTCCAGCCTGTGTAGTTCAGTCCATCATCTGAAAAGCCACAGCGGTCAGATTAAAACTGAGGCTTGTCAGATAATTTGAAGTGAAAAAGGTATCCCTTGTTGTTCGGGGGCTACTTTTGTGCTCCTTTGCTTACGGGCAAGTACAGCTTGAATTCCTGGGGTAGTTCTTCCTCTGAGTACAGTCGGTCTGAAAAGTACACACGTCGGATCCTGCAGTTGGCATGAATCTGGAATGAGTGAAGAAAATGCAACAGACAAATTAAAAATAATATCCCTCAATTTTTTTAATGACTGAACAAGCATGTGGTTCATAAAAAAATAACAGTATTTGAGTGGATGTCGGATTGCAGGTTCTGGCTAAAGCCAAACATCAACCCTAACTCCTTGGGTATTTTTACTAGACGGTATGCTGAATCCGCCAAAGTCCTACAGCAACAAACACAGCCGAGGAGTTAAACTGTTTGAGATTCTGAATCCATCATAGTCGCCAACTGCTCAATATGCATGATATGGAGGTATCCTGAATCCATCAAAATTATGAAGTTCAGCTAGGCTTACAATCCTAAATTTGTCAAAATCCTCCTGTTTGTTCAATATGGAGGTATCCTGAATCCACTGAAATACCCCAAACCAGGGGTGTGGGTTTTGACGGTAAAGGTAACCAACTGGGGTTCACAGGAACAGAGTGCCCATCTCTTTTTCATTAGCGATTGGGCCAGACTCATTATGCTGCTGTGGGGTGATCGTCACACCTCCTCCACAGCGAGTCTGTTACCTTCCCAGCATTTAATAATGCCCATTTAACACCTGGGTTGAGAGAAGTAATTGAGGTAAAGCGCCTTACTCAAGGGCACAACACCATGGCCACGGTGGGCTTGAACCCACAACCTCACGATCATGAATCCTGTGCTCTACCGCTAGCTGACATGGGCCTTACCTGAACTCTCAGTGTCTCAATGTAGTTTGTACCATAAGCGCGTCTTGTGAAGTCTGATAAGTTGAACTGCAAGAAAAACACATACAGAAAACTCATAAATGGACTGTGTTTGGATTTTACCCCAAGAGTTAGATGTCTTGATGTACATGTACCATGTCCACACTATAACAGTTGGATGTTTGATGCACAATGTCCAATTACACAGTGATTTTGCATGGTTAAATGACCTCAAACCTTACCCTACACCTCCCATTAACACATAAAGACATGCTGAGTATATGGGCGTGCATTTATGGGTAGTACAAAAATCGGGTACCCACAATTGAAAAAAACATGGGTACCTGTTCTAAGAAACCCACCCCCAAAATTCTAATCTCACGAGTTGCTGTACAGATTGTTCGTAAAGGTCTGCACAACAATACTACCACATCGGTGAGTCAGTAGAGCAAGGTACTAGGATGTACATGTAGGCATTAAGTGAGCTCAAAACATTTAGCTTCACGGTGTAAATTAATTGCACTTTCACAAGCGTCATAAATGTGAATCGGTTTTGCTTTTTCATGTCGCAAGGTTTTCATTTGGAAAATTCTCCACAAATGACATTCAAAACCTTTCTTTTTAATTGTCTGAGAAGTTACTATTACAATGTACATTGTTAATGTGTAAAGTTGGTTACAGGTACTCAATTCCATAATCTGGAACCGGCTCCTGTACTCGGGTACCCAGTTCCAATGCACAGGCCTAGCCAAGTTTACAGTTCAGAATACGTTCATGATACCACTTTCTGAAGAAACTTCAAATCCAGTAAAAACCGACTCAAAATGCAACTGTTGGTAACTGTTGTCCAATGCAGTCAAATTACACACCTGAATTTGATTCCATCCGTCGTCCAATCTCATTGGCATCGTGCAGATGAAGGGCTTTACCCTCGTTGTGCTTTGGTAGTTGCTGGCCCGGAACCGCCGCTTTACGTTCTTATCGTCCAGGACTTGGACCTCAAACGTGAAGTATTTCTTTAGGTTTTTGATGATCATGACCAAGAAGGGTAGCTTGATCCCCAGGCCCTTCTTGGGATCTGCTGGACTTGTGATAAACGTCGTGCTGACATTTGTGCCTACCACTTCAATTACTAGTGACTGGATGTCGTTGTCTGTGATGCGTTTGATGTGCCCATTACGGACCTAATTACAAGAAGGGGAAAAGGGAACAAAAGCTATTTGAACTGCTGATTAGTTAAAACCTAAAGAAACCATGTAGAATTTTTGATTTGTCAAAAGTAATATATCGACTAGGGGAGTTTTAAGACTAATGAACAGCGTCAAAGTGTGAGGCGCATACTGGTCAATAAGCCACTACATTGGGAGCGACTTTGCGCGGACCAAGGAAGTGATATGTGCCCTGCGCCATATGACAGTATGGGCTTTTGGCACGGAGTACATATCATTACACGCAACAGTTGCTGATTCAGCGCAGCTTGGCACAACTCGGTAGACACATTTAACTGTGAGCGGTAAGTTTATCAGAATATTTTGTTCTTTTTTTCAAAATTACCACTTGAAAACAATTTAAGGGATCTTATGGCATGTCATGAATGTGTAGATCGATCCAGGGTAATTGTTTTTCTCATTTGTATTCTCTTTACCAGTTTTTTTTGGGGGGCCTTTTCTCCCCAAGGGTATGCACAAAAAAGGCATACTGTGTGTCAGTGATATAAATGTGTAGTCAAAGTATGCCTATTTGGTGGAGCGCTTGTACGGAGGGTACCGAGGTTCCAGCGCTCCACTCAGTAGAGCTACAGTCTATATTGCTACATTACGGAAAGGGAATTTTTTTATTTTTTTTGGAAAATTGGGACCGATTTGACCTAGGCCTATTTGTTGTTCCGCACTAGTGAGGAGTACCATGAGCCGAAGTTTAGGGGCAAAATGTAGGCCCCTACAGCTGTTTTTTTTTTTTTTCAGCACTGCGTCCATATCCAAGGCAAGGCAAAACAGGGTTGTGTTGTCAAGGAGAATCCCGTCAAGGATAAAGCCAGTATCCATGGTATCAGTATCATATGTCATAATCATATAATAAACGCAGTGGCTATTGTTACGGCAGCCGTAATGAAATTTCCCATTTTCTATCGTTACGGTAGTACTGCAACTTTTATAAAAACATGAGAAGCAAATATAAAATTAGAAGGAAAAAAAGTGAATTTGAACGTTATGAAATTCGGACTTTATTTCCCTTTTAAAAAAATCCTCCAAAGCCTCAGGTTAGAAAAGGAAACAAAATTGAGTGCAAAACTGAGATGCGAACCCGCAACCTCGCGGTGCAAAATCCTACCCTCTATCGACTGGGCTGTCGCACTGCTCGCTAAAACGTGGGGAAACAAATAATTATATACCTGCGTGCGTATCAAAAAAGTATCGTAGAGGGCGCTAAACAACGGCTGCCGTAACGATAGCCACTTCGTATAAATAAACACAACCAAGAAGCACCTGAAGAAAACACCAACTCTTGGAAGTAAGCATACAATAATTATGACTCTGTCTTAATATGAAAGCAATTAAATAATAATATTCCAACAATGTAATGAAACTTTGAAAGTTCTTCGAGGAATTCTCCTCCATAATCATGTGCAATAAAATCACTATCCAAAATGGCCACCGTACGACTGTCATTCCGCACACTCAATGTCAAAAACCCAAAATTGTGATTCAATATTTCTCACGAAAGCTAACACCATATTGAAACTACGTACCTTCTTCTGCCATAGTTGAAGCGGCTTGCTTCCTATGCTGTATAATATCGATAAAAATCCGCTCTGAAACGTGTTTTTGAACATTTTGAACTCGTCGATTTAATATTGCAGGCGTGTTTATTTCGGACAACCCTCATACACGGGTGTGCTCGCTCGGTTCTCTCGTCGCTAAGTGAGCTCTACAATGTGTACGTTGGTTCTTGACCCGTCGCCTGGCGACCGAAGCACACAGTGTGAAGATAAATCATTCCGCCCGTACTCCGACACTGGTTAACAAACAGCATACACGCGTGTTTGTTATAGAGTTGGACAGGGTACCAGTACGTGCAAACCCTATCTCAAACAGGGACGGGAGGCGGAAAATAAAACGGGTTGTGTTGTAGTTACTGCAATATAGAAGACAGCGCCCATAACCATGAAGAGGCCGAGGTGAAAAGACAATCAAATCGGGGCCGGAGGGGGGGGGGGGGGGCAAGTTGCGTCTCTCCCCCTCCCCTCTTTTTGCAACATTTTGCCATTTTTGTTAAATCGTAAATGAAAACGCCAGCAATTTTACGAAGTATAATAGAATGGCGGGGGGGGGGGGGGGGATGAACCACTTCCAGTTGTTCCCAAACCAAGATACGTACGCCACTGCATTGGAACCAGAATTTTTGTAAAGTACTTGGGGACTTGGGAAGAGTTAGAATTAAGGGGACCCCATAATAGGTTTTCTTCCCTTTCATTATTTTAAAATTAAGTCCGGATGATAAAAACATAGAGGTTGGCGTTTGCATACTGGCAATCTACGTCATCTGTTTAACCACGGAGAAATAAAAATACATGTACATGCTGTTACTGAGAATCACTGGTCGATCTTGAATGTTCCTCCTTTGCGACAGGGATTTCTAATAACCATTTACAAGACTTTAATGTGACAGCCTCCAAATTTATGAGCTAATGTATCATCAGTGATTTTCCCCCTTAATTAAAACAATATTTTAGATACACTGCAAAAAAGCATGCGTCCAATACTATGTGGTTTTCAACCATGTCAACTATAGGTTTCTACCTTTAACTTCGGTCAACTCTTTTCCGCAACTTATTACTTTACTTTCTGCATATTTTCTACGATTTCAGATGATCAGACGGGAATAATCTATTTCCTTTCACAATTTTATAGTTGACGCCTCCTCCCCCACTTAAAATGAGGAAATATTTTGGAATTCTGACTTTTTTCTAGTTGAAAGTAGTCACTTGGTACAGATCATTGGCTTAGTATTGTACACAGTAACACATTCAAATCACCCAATTTTACCGCGCCAAGGTACGAACTACTTTTCCCTCCCAAGCGAACTACTTTTTGCTTCACATGGCGCGCAAGGTACAATATGGAGTTTGTGCAGCGGCAAGTCGGGCATGCGCGTTGGTGTGTTTGAAGATTACCTTCGGTGCCATGGAGGAGGTTACCCGGGAGATGTCGTTTCAGCGTTTGTCATTGGACAAAGGGTTTTGCGATGAGCGTATACGGCATGGCAGCAAAGGTGAATGAAGTATTTCTAGTACAATGTATACCAGGCGATGTCGGGTCAGTTATTAATAGGGTAATTTATCACGTGTATAAAGAAGCCGCATCAAGTTCACACGGTACAGAAATTAATGGTGTATGAACGATTTTCAGGGCATGTACTTTCAAGTGCAAAAACAAAGATTGAACTTTGTCAATTGGTGAAGTATGCCTAAGAACAATTAATGTGTCATTGATAAGGTGAACCATGGCATGGGTGAATTGAACAACACAGAATTGAGGGCTGAATGTGTTTTTCCAAACGAACAAAGTTTGTTGATGCCCTTTTTTTTGGAGGGGTTGTCTTAATTTTTTTCCTCAGTCCCCTGACGTATGACAAGAATGTCAGGGGAGCTGAGGGTTAAGGAGACAGATAGAGGGGCCAAAGCTATACGACCAAAAAAATCCGAATCTGTCATTCGTTGAAAATAATATTGAGACTTCCGCTGTCAACGCCATTGGGTTAAAAAAAAACACACAGGATATTTCATGTTGAAAATTATTACCCCACCAACTTAAACGAGTATAATGCCAGACATTAGTTTTTTTATAGGGACCGTACCGGGAGTCACTATTGTGTCCAAAATAAATTCACCAGCCCCTTAATTGGTCGAATTTCTCCCTATGTAAATAACTATACAATTGCTCTACGACGACATAAAAAACTTGGACATTTGTCAACAAAATATGCAGAAAAAATACATTAACAAACGAAGGGGAAGTAGTGGTCTTCCGGACACAAAATATGATTCTTCACAGGCACCATAGCAACTAGCGTCGCAGTCTATTAAAGTTATGACCCATTCAGTTGACAATTACACAGATTAGCCTACCGTGATCGATGACAAACGCCTGGCAACAGAGGGCGTTCAACAAGTGTGTGTACAGATTGTGCATGAAAAGGCTTCCTAACACATTAGCACCTAGAGCCGACTCATTTCGGGAAAAAAAGGTTGCAAACTGACGCTACTTTCGAAACAGAAAAAAATAACCTTTGTTTGTTGCTTACCTTGTACCTCAGAGAGTATAGGTCATGGGGGAACTGTAAGGAATATGTTAACAGAGTCTTTGAAAAGAGATTTGTTGGGCGAATATGTGGCCAACTTATTCAATTTTTACCTTGTCACTGCATGTTTCCACCGCGTCGGTTGAGGCCTCCTCTACGTCAACATGCGGTGACATGTAAACATTCAGTAAGTTGGCCACACATTCGCCTACAAATCTCTCTTAAAGACTTTGTCAACATATTCCTTATAGTTCTCACATAAAAGTATACTCTCTGAGATACAAGACAAGGAAAACATTTTGTTCTGTTTCGAAAGTATAGCGTCATACTGCAGGATGCAACATTCTTTCCCTTACGACGTCGTGTTTGACCACAGAAAAATTATCTCGCAGCTATGGGTTAACAAATTCTTCAAAACACAGTTTCAGACATTTTCGCATGAGTGATGACCACTGAAAATGTATAACATTGCGAACTGCATTAGGCCTATACAACATTCAGAACGCACGTGGAAATAATGTATCCACGCCACGGACTTCTTTGGCTGTGTACAAAGTCTATTAAGTGCATTTTTCAAACTATATTCTAACAAAAAAGCAAATGTGTCTCAGTCCCAGATTCACGTCTTTTCAACGTTGTTGCAATGACGGACCTTCATTATAAAAAAAAGTGGCGTCAGGATGCAACATTCTTTCTACACAGGTTTACACATTTCTCCAGTTTTTGGGTTTTTTTCACCACCTTATTTTCATGTGACGTGGAGAAACAGAGATGAGAATGAAAGTTTGGATCATATGCGTCCTATACTCCGTGAATTTGCGTATTTTTAATTAAAGTTAAACTCACAATAACCAACGGGCTTATACAGCTGTACTGCATGGGTTTTGTTTGAGGGAAAAAATCAATCCAGGCCCCGATTTGATGTAAAACAAAGCCAATACGATACCTTTTTCGTGATTTGGACGTCACATCAGATTCCGGTACCGGTTCCAAATCGGTGTGTGTTGTATCTGCCGCCTGACAGGATTTATCATGGGTTGGCCTATCTTGAACGTCGAAGAACTGTGTTCGATAAGGAGCTCAGTAAGAAGGTCTTCATCATGTAACTTTTCCCTCAAAATATTATATAGGTCTACGACGTTGTCATTATATCAGATTCTCCTGATATGCATGGGATCCATCACTGCGAAAAGTCTGCACTAAAAACACCTCATCCTCTGAACTATCCATGTTCGCGACGTCAAGGTGCCGCAGACCACAATGATACACAAAACACACCCCTCGTGGAAACACACCCGACTGCATGGAACTAAAGAATTCAGATTTTCATCTGGCCTGAACTTAAACAATTACGAGTCTACGGTTTTCATATTCTCAGCATAAGGCCGTATGGGAGTTTTTAGGGCCTACTTCGTAAGATCCTCGCAGACGCCCTTTATGTAAATTTGAACCATGTCACGAATGCATGACTTTTTATCTCGACTCGACTTACTCAACAGTTCGTGACATTAGCCTATGTGAGGTATGGCAGACACAATAGGAGGGTGCTGTTTCATCATTTGAGTCACTCACTTGTATTTACCCAAACCAAATAGCGACCCTCATACTGTCTCCGCCATGTCTCAACTTGGCTAATTCATGCATCATTTGGGCGCAACGGGTTCAAGTCAGAGAATACTACACTCGCAAGTGTGGATTCTTTTAAATTACGAATCTATACTTTCTAGTGTATTCTACTTAACGGATCAACACAAGTCTCTGAGTAACTACACAATGCCAAAGCAATGCTATTCTTTCTATCCGTTTGACAAGTGTCATTCCGACAAACTGTGTTCAAGAAATGTGTTTCTTTGTTTTCGCTGGTCCCAGAGGGCCAGTGTACCGCCCTCTTGCACTCATCTCGGTCACTGACTCACTGATATTTGTGAATTAGACTTGTTTAAATCCCACCTTGACCCCAAAACTGGACTCTGGACTACCTAGATCCTTTTAAACCAAATTACTAGACTTGCTAAGTTTCGTTTTCCAAACAACGTATCCGAAACACTTAAAAAATATCACACCAACGAAGATAATATTAATAAAAATACTTCAAGTTAAACTTGCGCAGGTTGCGCACCCCCCCCCCCCGCATGCTGGCAGCATTTCTACAGTCAGTTAGTAAGCAGTGTACCTAATTGAAATCGACAATAACCTCATTTGACCCCTAGATAACCTTTGACCTCAAATGTCTCAAATCATCTTAAGTCCCCTTACCCCAGATTATTGTCACAAAGTTTGGTTGAGAGTGAAGTCTGACTTTTCATGACTGTTGACAGCACTTTTCAGTTTGCCTAAACAAAAAAACCAAAAAAAAACAGGTGACCTCATTTGGCCACTAGATGATCTTTGACCTCATATGTCTCAAGCCATCTTGAGTCGCCCTGCCCAAAAATTATTGTCACCAAGTTTGGTTGAGATTGAAGTCTGACTTTTCATATGACAGCACTAATCAGTTAACCTTACCAAAATGAAAGACAGACAGACAGACACACACACCACCCCTACACCCACACAGAAGGAATATACTATCGCAAGATCCCCTTTCTTTGCTTAAAAATCAGGGGGATAAAAATGGAAAATGTTGAAATCAAAAGCAACAAGGCTTTAAAGTTACATATCTGAATATAATTACTATATCATTTTACCCAAAGGCCAATTAAAAGTCACCAGATGTAAAGCCCACCCCAAGCAAAAGAATTTCACACACGACACACAGGGACTTCCAGCGCAACAATCATTGAAGATGCACTTTATTTTTTTTTATCCTCTTCAAATTGCAAAATATGCCCAATGTTAAATAAAGCCCACATTACATCAAACACAAAATGACTTGGCTTTACAGAGTACCGATACTGATTTCTCATTCCAGTAATGGTGTACTCATTTATACACACATTTGTTTTGCCTTAATCTGATATAAATCATCACACTGTAACGTCAACATGGTGTACGTCCCCGTGATACCCCTGGTACAATGTATACAAATGTATACAAATCATTTACATTTTTTTTTAAGTAAACACAAATTCATGGGACAAACCAGCCACCAACTGTATAGGCTGATTATTTACAACAAACAAGCATCAAAGTAAGCACATTTCCAGTAAGGGGTGGACATTTTCATCAGCCAGCCTTGGACCACTTACTGCGCTTGAAAGAAATGTTCCTGGGCTATCAGTAGCCTGTCCAATTCAGATATTTCTGGAACTCCTTTTGAGTTTTCAGACTAACAAGAATCCAACACGGCATCTAAACAGGTCCAACGCTCTGCAGTATGTCCCCCCAAAAAGTCTGTCTGACTATTTTTGAAATAACGACACAACCGTGGTGTCAATTTTGACAATTTTTGATTGTGCAGATACTATCCTTGGCCTAAACCCCTATGAGCTTCATGTAATTTCCCTCACGCGTCACTGCACAATGGACAATTGACCATCGCAACATTTTGGACACTGTGACCAAGTTCCTTGCCTTAATCCATTTCAGTGTTGTGTTATGTAAGCTGTGTAAAATCCAGCGCGTTGTGAAAAAACAGCTGCTGTGGTTTGGGATTGGAATAATTTTCGCTTGAGCACTAAGCTGAGGTCTTGTCATGATGACTGATAGCCAGGCAAATGTTCCAATCCCAACCGCAGCCCTTTTCATAACATCAAAGATGTAACACAGCTTACATAAGTTAACATAAACAGCACTGAAATTGATGAAGGCAAGAAACTTGGTCAGTGATCAACTGACTATTGTGTAGCGATGCGTGACTGAAATTCAATTAAACTCATAGGGGTTTAGGCCAAGGATAAGGAGCATCTGCACAATGAAACATTTTCAAAATTGATTTCATTTTTTTGTACTTATTTCAAAAATAGTCGGATGGACAATTTTTTTTGGGGGGGGGGGGGGGGGGGACCATAGCATGTAGATAAAATCCAACCCTGATCGTTGAGAGCCTCTACCAAGGAAGAAACTCCAAAATCTACATCCCATCCGTGTACAACCCAATGCAAGTGTGGATGGAATGCCTTGACTACCTACAATCCTGGCCAAATCTCGCTGGGCCCCCAAGCCCCTGGCCCCCGCTCAACGTTGTCTCTCATGACACGGTGTATGCTCCATCAGTTGGAGAGAACAACATTGACCAGGGAAGCAGGGGAGTGGGTGACCAAGAAGGCTAAGGTTATTTCCAAGTGTCCCAACCATTTTGGCCCGGATTGTAGGCTTTATTTTGTAGTTGGATCATGCGCTAGCTTGCCCTGTTTATCCACCCCTAACCGGCAGGTATTTTAGACTCCCATCTCCCCAACCCCTAACAGCACAGACTGTGAAGCAGACATGGTCGACTGTTAACATTCTGTGCAGTCAGGGTGAGACAGAACCATTCTTACATGAACCAAAGAACGGCTATCTCAAAATGGACGCATTACAATGTAATAAAACTCCCTGCAAGTTCACCCAACTCCGACTGTAACAGTCTGCCAAGGAAACACAAGTAAACAGACAAAAAATCCCAACTTTAGAGGAACGTGTGCCCAGTCTAAAACAACGGCAAATGATTTCACCTGAATACCGAAAAAACTATGGTACTGTTAAAACTCTAATTCTCTAGCCTAGCTATTCAGGTTATTGGGATTATTTTTTTTTTACTTTAGTTACAAACTTAGTTTCTGATTTACAAAATTGTTTTTGTCCATCACTTAAATGTTTCAAGTTAAATCTACACAATTATGGTAAATACTTTATCTCAAACTGATCGACCTGTGGTTAGTCTTGGGTTTTTCTTTTCCTTATAAATACAAGCAAAGAGCATGTACAAGTACATGTAAGTTCCAATAACTTCTAGTCGATCATTATGATCATGAACACATGTGGAAAGTCAAGTTTCTGTGTTTTCAAATAAAGCTAGATATAAAAATGTATTCAACAAATTGCCGCTGCCATGCATAAAGTTCCTTTGGCTGTATGACGTCATCGATTCAAAGTAAATTTTGTTTAATACAATCCCCTTGCCTACATGTTTGTGTTAGCATCCTTTAAATACACTCAGCAAGTAACGAATACAAAAACAGTACCACACAATGAACTGAAGATAAGGGTGCTTCTGAACATTTCCTCATGATCATCATTATCAATACTTTCGTTAATTTGTGTTAATAATTCACTATCGTCAGAAGGTTAAACAAATATATTGTACATGAGGTGAGAAAATGGCAGAAATATTATTTCTGTCAATTGCTTGCATTGGGCAGACAAATAAATACAAGCCATAAAAAAATGGTGAGAAAACAAATTAAACGAACCACCAAATTATTAAAACAGAAAACTCTGCCATTTGATGCAAATAAAAAAAAAAGATGTACATCACAGCATGAACAACTTGTTGAAATATTATTTCCAGATGAAATGGGGTTTTTGTAAAACTTCTCTCATCACAATTATCAAATAATTCAAATCTTCAACTGTATATCTTAAGTCACACATTGGCGGGACATTTGAACCCGGTTTAAACTTTGAGAACATTTGGAAACATAAAAAAAAAACCAATAAAAAGAAAACAGACAACCAGCTTCTTTAGAGGCATTCAGCACACAGAGTTAAATCTGTGCAAACAGACGACCAATACACACCATTGCTGACAAGTGAAAACTCAGATCAGGAGTGCACAAGTGGGCAACAGATGTACTTAATGAACATTTGATGGAAGTTAAGACACAAAGTCTTAAGCAGTGAAATATTTTCGAAAGTACAAAGTTCAGCATCCAGGAACAAAACAAAGCCAGGCAGCAATTTAAAATTGTGCAGTTTTACACGCTTGGTTTGCCGTCGATTTCTTTGTGACATGAGACTAGTCTCACAGAAAAGAAATGCAGTGTACCAATTTCACTTGCCGACTCATCGGGTGTTCTTAGAAGTACAAGGTGCACATCCGAGTAACTGTGCTTGTTAGGTCTCCTTGAAAGGAAATCACACATTTTCTACAACTACCATACAGAAAAGGTCAGATATTGTGTGTTTTTCCTTAACCACAGAGTTTCGTGAGCCTCAGACATGCTAGAGGAAAGGAAAAGAACGCCCACAATATCTTTATGGTATTATCAATAACCCAGGCATGACAGACCTGACGTTTGTTGCGGCGAGTGCGCCGACAGACTTAAGGAACAACAGCCGCCGCAGGACTGGCGTTTTGGATGGGCTGAATGGGTTGGGCTGCTGGTGCGGATATTACCGGCGATCCAGCAGGAATTGCTGTCATGGTTCGTGAAGATGTGTTGGTGGCTGTAAACAGTAAAGATGGTTTGAAATGTTGAGTTAAAAAGAAACAAAAAGAAAACACCGTTAACCATGTTTATGTGCTATAAAATAAAGCTTAGTCTTGGGGCAAGATGCTAGTGATCAACAGCAGATCGTGCAAAGTGCGCCCTCTAAGGACACAATAAACAGACCACACGCCTGCCCGCACTAACGTCTTGGGTATGTCATAGTAGTGGTTTAACTTTTTCTCCATTTTCTTCCTAGGCTTTCCTAGGGAACCAATCAGTGATCGCAAAATGGTTTATAGTCAGATGCGCGAGCGGCGGTTGTAAATATACGCGCCACGTGCAGAAATTCAACTGTGAAGTGTGGTGATCAAGCATCGCTAAATAAATATACAACTTAATTATACCTGCGTGCGACTATTGGTTTCAAATAGGAAGCTGCCGTTTTGTTCGACGTAATTAATATTTACATCAACTAAGTTACATAAAGCGGCCACGCCCCCATTCCTGCGAAAGTTCCACGACCTTAGTGAGAGAAGTAGTGCGTGGGCGTTCTACATAAATAGTTGAAATCACTGTTGATCACTAAATAAAGGTGGACAGACATTGCACATTCAGTGGGCATACTCGGCAAGGACCCAAAGCCGTAGTCAATTGTAATAAACTGGAACTACATGCGTCAGTAGCCTGCATTTGTATTACTTTGCTATATGGCTAGCAGTAACACACATATCTATGGCAAGTTGATTCAGCCACTTCCATCTAGGCCCATGTGCTTTTGCTGGTCATTCACTCATTTGGCTGCAGCCATTTGGGGCAGAGACAAAAACCACTGATTCAGTAACCCCATGTTGGCCAACATAGCCATCGTGATAGCCATCGTGATAGCCATCGTGCTAGCCATTATGACAATTCAACACTCAAGTTGCAGTTCTGTGGATAGAAGTTCCCATTTAAACCTTTAGACCTTTATCATGCTGCCACCATTTTAGTCATGTTCCCTGTATCCAATAACAGTACTGAATGATGTTTTCTGTGCCAAAAAGGAACCAGACTATGTATTTTTCCTTCCAGCCTCGCTTTGGTTAAGCTGACTTAAATGGGAAAAAAATCAAGATGGCCACAACATGACATACAGGGAAATGGCCCCTTGAAACTGGCCTGAAGACAAAGTGCTCCACGTCTGAGTGGTCTGAAATGTCTGCATTCATTTGCTGCCAGGGTATCCTTTGCATCTTAAAGCTCTAGTCCATCATTTGCAGCTATCCGAAAAGTAACTGGCGTAATTATTGTTGAAAAACAAACTTGGTTGAAAGACAGTAAGGGACTAAACTCCCTGAGAAATTATTCTTTCTGGCAAGCTGTCATTTTGAAGTAATCAACGAAAGAAGGCCTTTCCAACGGTGGTTCTTAAGACGCACCGTAGGAAATTTAAATTAGTAGTTCGTTTTGTTATTCGGCGAAGCGCGCACAAACATTGGCACGACGCACACGCGCGCGCAGTTGCTATAATTCGTCGGATCAGTGCGCGACATCGCGTAGCTGCAATCGGCTCAGTGAGAACGTGTCTCGGACGCTGAATTCAGGCCCAATTCAAAACATGATTCAGCAACTTTTGATTTGAAATTGAGATCCTAGAATGCTGTTTTTCTCGGAATATACAGCTGAAGCTGGGCTGAAACTTCATCAGGTTAGTTGTTCAGTACCCTTCTTTAGATTTTGAGCACTTTTGTTGCTTCAAACGAATAAAATGCAGAAACTACGAATCATGGACTATATCTTTAAGGTGGACTCACCGTATGTACTAGTTGGAGCAGCAGTAGAGATGATGGACGTGGACACTGGTACATTCATCATAGCTGGTAGGGATCTGTTCTGTTCCTTCACTACAGGATCTGAAAAAAATTGACAAATGCATTTAGTAAATACATGCAAGTACACATGCACTCCTGGGGCCAATTTCATGAAATGCTAAGACGCATCTTAGGAAATGTAAACTCGTCTTAACTCGTGACTCGTCCTAGAATAGATTTCATCAAACTTAAGAGGCATCCAACACATCCTAACTTCCTTAGCAACGCAACTTTAGGTCGGTCTGAGGGTCATCTTATCTCATTCGTCTGGAAATAATTGCCGTTAACGACTAGTGTCGCCTAGAGTTATAGTTTCGCGGAAGAAAACCGCTCTAGAAACAGATTTTTGAAAGCATTCTGATACGTTGGTAGTTTTAATAAAAAAAATAGCTTATTTACAAAATTTAATCATATGCCAACACCTTGACTTCTTAAAATAGGGTGATGAAGTGGGGAGCAAGAATGACTCAATCGTATCTTCTGTAGAACTACCTTGCGCGTGAAATTTATTCGTTAGAATAATTTTTTTTCTGGTGAAAGTTTGCGTTCTATGCACGCCCGCGGGATGTTGGTTTCACATGTTTCTTTTCAATGACTATTTCATCAAGCGGTAAAACAAGCATACAACAGTCATCAAATTGGTAGTTTTTATGCGTCTTGCTTAAGATGGGTTTACTGAAATCGGTCTTAGGATGCATCTTAGCTAGGATCGATCTTAGAGCAGGGACTCATCTAAGTCCTACGACGAGTCGCAAGATAATACATGCCCCTGGTTAGATTGTCCACTACATGGGCACATGGGTGGTTGTTATGTTCACCCCTGGCAGTGTGAGTTGCGATAACCTAGTATTGCGCCCTCTCGTGGTCCTCGTAGTTTTTTGCTCAAGTTACACAATTGTGCAGTCACGCCAAGTTTCAGTCCATTTTAGTGCCCATTTTCCCATCCTTTTGAGACCACTCTATACCGATAGCCTTACACCAGAAGACCACTGGTGAGTTAAGATTCCATTTATACTTGTGTTAGTGATTATTGATCGTCATTTGATGAGTAATTTGTATTGTAATTTTCAGTCACATTTTGCCACCATGATTTTCTGTATCGCATCGATAATTTTCTTGTGCCTTGCGAACTTTCCCTGATTTTGTGCCTTAGAATTTCCCTCAATATCGAGGCCGGTTTCTCAGATGAACTGACTGTAATGTTCAGTATTGTTTTCTGGTCAAGAAACAGTGGATATTTGGTCATTTTATGTTTTCATATCGACGATTTTGGAATGTTATATAAGGTTAGGAACTTAGTTTTTGTGTGCACACGAGGCCTGCCTAAGCACATGCGATCGCCATTTTTTCCATGATGTTATGAATATTCATGAGCTGGATTCCATATTTGGGATTAGCGTATCCTTATTTGGAAATTGCAGTAGTGCTGCAAGGTTTACAGTGTAATTAGGAACTATGCATTTTTCTTTGTTTTAGGTTGATGATTTCAGTATTCCAGACCCATAGGAAGTTTGAGGACACTTCATCTTTTGGAGAGCACAGTTCTGTAGGTTAATTTTCATAGATTGTCTAATGTGAATGTACTATCCCTTGGAGTTTTTGAGATTATTTTATGCTCTTATTTTTGTGATGTTTCTTATACATGTATCAGTTTGACATATTACTTTTTGATCTGTCAATATTTCATTTATATTTTTATGTCTGGTAGTGTTAAATCTCTTGCCAACCTGTGTAAATTTGTGCACATTGTTAATTGTACTTAGTGTATTTTCCTTGTATTTCTTGTTTTTCAGTTTTACCTCATGTGGTCCACCCACGACACAGGAATGAGAATAAAGCAGTCAAAGTTCACAAATCCTGTATTAGTCAGAGGTTAACTTGTCGGAGAGAGGGCGCCCTCGGCGCTCCATGTTCGTCATAGTGGTTCATCTACCCTGTAGAACTTTGTAAGCACCCTTTGAGGGAGTCTAAGCACTGTTGTCATTTGTCAATTTTTTCAAGTTAGGATGAAAAGTCCGTGGCCCATGCTTTAGTAAAATTTGCCTTGAACTGATGTGGTTGTGCACATAAACACATATTATCAAAGAGCACACAACAGTTTTAAGTCCAAGGGCAGATCCTGGATCCGCATCTAAAGTCATTTGACTGACTACCACAAACGCTGAAATTCTGTAACATCAATGCAAAGGGTAAATAGAGAATGCAATCCAATACGCACACATCCTTGATAAAACAAATATTGAGAACAAGAAGTTCAAGCAAAAGAACTGGCCAACTTTATCACACTTAGCTTTTGTCAAGGCATTCAGCGATAATGTCCGCAATCTGGCTGCTAACGTAAACACTAACCACACAACTAGCACTTTGCAGAGTACGGAGCGCAAACAGCGACCTCACGAGGGGAAGAACGAAAGCCTTAGGAGAACGGATCACATTGGCTTACCTTTTATTATTTTGTGGCTGGATTTATATCCAGTTATGCTTGGTCTGCAGACTCCAAACATTTTGGAGAGTGTAGCAACACAATCCAGCTCTCTATCCATTCAAAAACATGAGCGTCCGTGACGAAGTACTTAAAGATATAGTCCATCATTTGTAATTTGTGCATTTTGTTCGTTTGAAGCGACAAAAGTGCACAAAATCTAAAGAAGGGTAAGTTTGAGATCAGCTTCAGCTGTATATTCCGAGAAAAACAGCGTTCTAAGATCTCAATTTCAAATCAAAAGTTGCTGAATCATGTTTTGAATTGGGCCTGAATTCAGCGTCCGAGACACGTTCTCACTGAGCCGATTGCAGCTACGCGATGTTGCGCACTGATCCGACGAATCATAGCAACCGCGTGCGTGTGTGTTGTGCCAATGCAATGCAAACAAAACGAACTACTAATTTAAATTTCCTACAGTGCGTCTTAAGAAGCACCGTTGAAAAGGCCTTCTTTTGTTGATTACAGCTTGACAGCTTACAAAATGACAGCTTGCCAGAAGGAATAATTTCACAGGGAGTTTAGTCCCCTTACTATCTTTCAACCAAGTATGTTTTTCAACAATAATTACGCCAGTTTCTTTTCGGATAGCTGCAAATAATGGACTATAGCTTTAATAAAAATCCCATCTGAATTCGCACATGAGGTCGTCACTGGAAATCCAGCGAAAAAAAATTAACCAATGTGATCCGTTGCTCCAAGGCATTCGTACTTTCTGATTTGCATATTGTAGCCAAGGGCGCGTGAGGTCATTGTTTGCACATCGTACAAGGCAGGCCTGCGAGCGGCTATTGTTGATGTTTGCCGCCAGATACCATGACGGACACTACTGACGAACGCCTTGACCAAGGATACATCACACTTAGCCAACCAAACCTGATTGGCAAGTCCACTCCAGGCAAGCTTGTAATTTTTTTCCCGTAAGCTCTTAGACAACACATGCTTACAAAGTAATGCTCTTGAGGGACGTTACAAAAACATTTAAAGGGAAAATACAACATTTGCAAACATCAAAAAATAAAACTACCAAATCATTTTGAAATACCTTGCTGGACTGTTAGTGAATGACAGTGTAAAGCATCCTGTAAAATCATGGCACCTGGTATAGTGTCATTTTCAAGAAAAGTGGTATTTTTGTATCCATTTCCAATGCTGATCGGCCGATCAGCGTTGGAAAAAAACTGGCTTTTTTTTTCAAATACTGGCCCCAATTGACCATCGCACTTGTTTGCAATCGATTACACAACTATGAACAGGTACAAGTCAGCTAGACAGGTTCCCTGACCTTACAATTCCCCAATATATGTAAACTGCTCTGTTTCTTCTTAAATGGAGTCAGGGAACCAGACTACAGGTAAATGATTGTTTTTCTTGGTTTTTAAAGCATTTTCAAACCCAAAACCTCAAAAAAGTCAGTGTAACTATGTTTGCTATATATTTCCAACCCCCCAATTCCATCCATTTCTGAAAATTACAGCAAAAGCAAATGATGTATATGTATTCCCTTTAAGTGCTAAGGCCTGAAATGACTTACAGAAGTATGGATGGTCCATTGCTTCCCGTGCAGTAAGACGCTCCTGGTGGTCGTATCGTAGCAGCTTATCCAAGAAGTCCAGGGCTTCTTGGCTGACAAGATGCTGGTTCTCGCTGTGCACAAACCGTTCCCATCGCTTCCGTGAATGCCTGCATATGTTAAACAGGGACATCAAAATACACTAACCGGTAGATATTGTTTGCAAGCTTTAGCAGAAATTCGAAATTGAGGTACAGTGGAACGCCGCTATAACGAACACTGCTATATCGAACATTCGGCTATACCGAACATCGTCTTTGGCTCCCGATTTTTGTGTACAAAACACACTGAACATTGTTGTTGAAAAATATAAACAGAAAGTGACAAGTGGCTTTCATTTCCCTTAAAGGATTAGAAGGGGAAAGCCACCTATCACCGTAGGTAGTAAGCTCAAAAATTGTGTAATTACATATTCAATTGTTGGCATGAGTTCAAAGTCGTCTTTCAGTAACTACATGTAGGTGTAGGCCTACATGCAGGGCATGCAGGGTAAAATTCTGAAGATCAAGAGTGCTATTTATTTAAGAGTGAGTACCGGAGCATCGCCACCTTAAAATCGCTATACCGAACAATCGCTATTACGAACAATTTGTGTGGATCCCGCGGTGTTCGTTATAGCGGCGTACCACTGTACACAAATCAGAATGTTGTTTTGATATATTGTGACTATTAACCCTCCTACTATTTAAACCGTCACAGACAGTCAAAATTTCCATCCACTTCCCCTGTTCTTTTTACACAGAATCGTCACCAACAGTCAGGTCATGTTAAGCAAGTACTGTGACTAGTCAAATTAAGTCAACAGACCATGAACAGACAAAGCAGGACGTTGTGGGCACAGCTGGCTGTTATCAACAACCCACAGTCAAAGCATAGCTGTATCAAGTTGAATTAAGAGTAACAGCCAGTCAATCTCTCTTTATGTAGGCAGGGAATTCTTAACTGTTGAAAACGGTCACTTGATTGATTTTGACCGAAAGGACAACTTGGCACAAACTGCATGTTTGCATAGAAGGGTTAAAAAAAAGTGCCATAGAATATCACAGTCCTTGGCAAAACCTGTCTGGTTAAAAAATAAAAATAAAAAAGGTTTGAACTGAAATAGAAATATGCCCCACCTTCCAAGAATATCGTTGAATCTGGGGTCCAGTTCAATTTGGTACTTGTCTAAGTACTCGTAGAGTTCGTCTGTACCCAGCACCTTGGCAATCCGCACAAGCTGGTCATAGTTGTCGTGGCCGTGGAAGAACGGCTCCTTGCGGAATATCATGCTGGCCAACATGCATCCAAGGCTCCACATGTCTAACGAGTAGTCATATAACTGTCGAGACAAACGGGTTGAAAAGTCAAACCAGTGGGTGTCTACAGTAAACCGATCGAATGGCTAGCAAAGGTCAACCCTAACCCTCCGCAATCCTCCATAATCAAACAGACGCTTTTGGAGTCTCCTAACCCTAACTCCCTGGCATGATTTACTAGGAACCATACCCATCCCGGGAAATTCCAACACCATATGGGAAACTGCACACACATATTTTTGACTTTGATTCTGGAGGTGTGCCCAACCCAATGTAAAAGACTGTCAGTATAGGGGTACTGTACCCATCCTGGCAGATTCCAACAAAACATGCTGTTGGGGTTTGATGGGTTGGGGGAGGTTGGGGTTAAAGGATTGAGGCTGCAAGCCTGATAAGTGCCCATTGGATGTGGGGGGGTTCATTGTGTCAAGACCTTAAGCCATACATGTACCTTGTGTTGTTTATGATTGACCATGAATAAAGTTAGGCCTAGATTACATTTACAGATATCATCCACAATGCTTCTGAATATCATAATGGCACTTCCTCAATGTATTAACACTGATTGTTGGAGGAGTTTTATGGATGGAGGCAGTGGTCAAACCTCCACTTATCGAATTCAAGAAATAACAGATGATTCTGGAGGATTGAGGTCGCATCCAATTTTGCAGTGGGAGCACTTTGAAGAATTGAGGGATGCATTCAAGCCAAAAAGGCCCAGGGGTTAGGGTTACAAATCTTGTTTTTCACCGACAAACAGGATAGAGTGCTATGCTTCGCATGTACTTGAAACATACAATCCATTTTCTACCATTTTTTTCCAACTATTCTTTCTACTTCACCAATTTATTCCACCGTTTCGACGACTGACATGTTTCCCTTTTCAGTGAGTGCAATAGTGCTGTTCTGAATACACTGAATATTCCACCAGCAACTGAATATCTGAATGGTATTTTTTTCATTTCAGATATTCCAAACATGTGAGCAGTCTTTAGGAGATGTTGAAAAACATCCACGATATTATCTTAATTGTATAAGTTGCGTGGATTCATTGTTCCCCAAACATGCCCAATGGCACACTTTTGTCAAAAGCCACTTTTGCAGATGATATGAGAGCTTCCACAAGGAATATTAGCTCAAATTTCTGATTTAAAATCTGTCAAATATCGGCCACGCCACCCCCAGTTCTTGACAGCCCTAGACTGCAGAATGCTGATCAACAATTCAAGCGAGTTTTTGGTGATATATTTGCTAATATCTCACCTGGTAATCCACAAGCAATTCGGGACCCTTGAAGTATCTGGATGCCACTCTGACATTGTACTCCTGGCCAGGATGGTAAAACTCAGCTAGACCCCAATCAATTAGGCGAAGCTGTAGACAACAAAAATGTTAAACAAAGTCACTATGAATGCATGCCTTGGCACTTCTCCGTTTCTCAAAAATCAGTTGTAATCAGTATGTTGGAACTGAGACTTCAAACTCCACTTTTTAATCTTTTAACGTGGCTGGACCGAGGATAAGCCCAAACCCGTTCCTTTTTTACTTCTTTTCGTCTTCAATTCCTTGAGTTTTGAATTCAACACTGATAGGGTGTTAATTTCAAACTTTTTTTAATAACCAGCGCTGTTGATGCCTTCACTGAAACCTCACGTAATGTTTAATTAAGTAGAGTTAGAATGTACTCATGTCAAATTTTAATAAGTAAAGATTCTGATTACTCTGACTTTGAACACACAGGAAAATATTTTATCTAAATGTTTGTGTAGGATTCACAAAAGAAATCATTTTATGGAGAACCCGGATCTCTACATCTTGGACGACCCTGACCCTGAAAAGCATATTGATTTGAGTCAAATGATGACTCAAAATATATCATTATTTTTTTCTTCAAATGTTGACACCATTTCCCAGCAACAAAACTATTTTCCCTCCGACATTCAAATGCCTGGCAAAAGCGATGTGGTCTTGAAAGGATAACAATACAGCTAATCACTTGTCAAAATATACAGGGTGGATAAAAAAAAGAGATATTATTGCTAATTGGAACAGAACTAGAGCACAAGTGAATCAAAGGGAGATATAAGGGATTGAATCTCCCCTTTAAAATGACACCCTGATCATGTCATTACATTCACGGTTGACTGAGCAGTGACCAATTGAGTTTATTTAGAGAATTGCGCCACTTTTCAATTGTGGTTTTTATTGTGTCATTTGTCACAGAGTGAAAGGCTATGGTTGCCAATCAAGGCAGGTGGAGGAAAAAAAGAGATTTCACCTTGAAAAAGTGGCGCAATTCTCTAAATAGACCCTTTCATAAAACTGGTCATTGCTCAAGCAACCCTGAATGTAATGACATGATCAGGGTGTTATTTTAAAGGAGATTCAACACTAACAGAGGATATCTCTCTTTGATTCACATGTGCCCTCCTTCTGTTCCAATTAGCAATAATATCTCAGTTTCTTGGGTTTTTATCCATCCAGTATAATAAACTCAGTCAAACACTTCACTTTGCCAAAAATAAGTAGAAATGGAAGTGGCGGAACTTACAAATAATCTTGAGAAACGCCTACCTTTCTGTTTTCATGATCAATCATGACATTGTGGGGCTTGACATCTCTGTGCATAATGCCCATACTGTGACTGTAATCTAGTGCCTGCAAAACCAGGAAATAACTCAGTTAAGTCAATTCCTAAATAGAAATTCCTTGAAGTTTAAATGAAATGAGAATAAAATAAACCCAACCATACAGAATGACTACACAATGTATTCCCATAGTTTGGAATATGCAATATAATGTAAACAGCAGTGAGGATAATTTTCTTCCGTTCAAGTTTTTAAAGGTAATATACAACATTTGCCTTGGCTGTAATTTTCAGAAATGGGTGGATTGGGGGTTAGCATTTCATAGCAAATATTGTCACACTGACCCGTTTAAAGTTTTGTGTTCATAGATGCTGAAAAAAACCCAGGAAAATAATGCTTTTTTGTAGTCTGGTTCCCTAAGACTACTTCAGATGAAACGGAACAATTTATAGACTTCAGGGAACTGTTAGGTCAGAGAACCAGACTAGCTGGCTTGCACCTGTTCACGGATGTGTAACCAATTGCAAACCAAATGTGGACTAACTCAAATTAGGTAAAGTGGGGATTCTTTTCCAACGATTGGCGACGGACCATTGTTGGGAATTGATACAAAAATACCGCTTTTCTTGAAAATGACAGCACACCAAGTGCCATGATTTCACAGGATGCTTGAGACTGTTATTCACTTAGAGTCAAGTAAGGTATTTCCTAATAATTTTGTAGTTTTGTTTTCTGAAGTTTGCAAATGTAGTTTATTACCTTTAAGTGCTATACTGTTTGGGCAAAGGAGATTTAAAGGTTTGTGTTTCAGTCCAAAAGACAAGTTTTTGAACTTAATAATTAATTCAACTGCGTTTAAAACATTAAAAACACATTTTTCTTTCAGGCAATACCACATGTACATGTATTTATATTAATTTACATTGATGCACTGCTTTTTCTTACCTTCAGTAGTTCAAATAGGTAGTATCTGATTTCATAATCTGTTAAAGTTTGGTAAAGTTGCTGAAAACAGAAACAGAAAAAAAACACAGTGTACATATGAATGTTTTGAGATGAATGTTAAAACATAAACACACTCACACTTTATACTCTAATAATGCAATGATGTACTCTTGGTATGATACATGTATCTCCTATTAATGTTTTTCTTTTTGTTTCTTCCTCAACCAGTTAATACCAGAGAACGTGTAAACATGATCTGGCAATGTATATTTGCATGGGCAGGAAATGGATTAAAATCATCATGCTTTCCCGAGTATTCGGACATGTCGGAGTTGGACGTGTATACACGTCAGTTGTTCCCCGTGGTTTTGAACACACCATGTTTTGAACTTGAACTTGGCTGCTGTACACGGCCTGTCGTTGTAGCAAATATCGCTCCGTGGCGGGGCTTTGGAGTGTTGCAAAACATGAAGTTACGATGAGAAGTATCGCACAAATATTGTACAAATGACTCTCAGGAGTTCGTATTTGTGGTGTTTGATATAATTTTAAAATTTGGCCAATATATCGTGCTTTTTGGTCAAAAATTGTGTTTTTTCAGACAAAAATAATCCTGACGGCAAGTGGTTAGGTAACAGTAATCCATCGAAACAGTGGTGATTTGCAAACATACACTTACGACTGGAAAACAGTTTTAAGATGTATTTTTGAGCATGGATTGAAAAGTCAAGCCTATCAACTTGTGTTGTTTATGTTTTTAAACAGTAGTCTTATTCCAGGTGATATGAAGTGTGAGTTTTTTCTCAAATAACTCAGTTTTTACAGTGTGGACTACTATATTCAAATGTCCACATAGTCCAAATTTTGTATACATGTAGTGACAAAGTTGTTCCGATCTCATTATTCACATCAAATAAGTCTTGGTATTTTCTTTACAATGATAATACTGTGAGGTCAACACTGAAACTGAAATGAACCTAATCAGTCATACCAGACTAAAGCTTTGGAGTTGATTCATAATCTTACCTTGAAGTCTGTGTTGTTGACATACTCAAATATAAGTGCTGGTGTGCGTGACTGAGGGAGAAAAAAAAAATCACAATGGAAAGTCAGTACGTACATGTATGTAGTATATGTGAAATATTTAATAGTTTACAAAGAACGCATTAAATTTGAGATCTGCTTTGATTATTAAAAATGATTTTCTAATATGCACACGTTCGCTTTGAATCGTGAGTCACGTCTGGAGTTTTCACTTAATACATGTACATGTAAGATTCATTTTTGCTAAGAATATTCCCAAATCTGAGAAAAATTATTCAGTGTGTGGGTAGCCAATAAGGCCAAACAAAAAAATACTCCTGCTTCCGATTACATGGCATTCTAAAACAGGGAAGGTAGGTAGGGAATTAATTTTTTTTTTGGCCATTTTTGTGTGTACAATCATATGGAGGCAACTGCGTGTAGTCAAGGGTAAAACTTAGAAATTGATGGTGTTGGGTGTTTTTTTTTCTCCATTTTTCTCATAAGAAAAATTAGGGTAGGGGTTGTCAGAATAGGGTAGCTAGGGAAACGGGAAGCAGAACTATTTCTTTTTCTGGCCTAAGGGGCCATCCATAAGGTACGACCGCACGAAATACCAACTTTTTAGAACCCCCCCCCCCCTTTCCTCTGTACGCATTGCATACACAGTGGTTCCACCCCCACCCCCCTCTCCCCTGTACGCATTTAAGCATTCCATATTTCTTTAGTACGTTTCCGGTGTACATATACTGTACATTACAAAGCATTACATGAATACACTACGCTTTCAGGCTAATTGAAGCAGTCTGTATTTAGAAATGTCGCAGTCTTTGAAGTTTAATGACCCCTATTGGCGGTGGCACTGGAAAGATAAATCTTAATGGTTGGGGTGAAGGATATAGTGTTATAACAATTTTTGATGCATAAAAGCTGGTCCTGTTACGTGTAGGTATTAATTTAAATATGATAAAGTACATTGATTTCATGACAATAAACGGGTAGAGTAAAAAAAACGAAACCCAAATGTTGGGACCATTGTTTTAGTGAAGTTCTGCATGTAGCACTTTCAAAATCTAGGATATGAAAGCCCAATTAATAAGCTTTCTTTTAGTACAAGAATCATTCAAATCGCTCATGTACTTTTCAAGTTACAGAATTTTAAACACAACCACCGTTTTAAAGTTCTGTCCACGGATCACAAATACATGTAAGGTGTGCGTTCTTTCAGCAAAACGAAACAATTCACACACATCCTTACGTGATTTGTTTTTGTTTGGTGAAAGAACACTGAACTTTTTCGTGATCCGTGGACAGAACCTTAAAACAGCGGTTGGTGTTTAACACTTTGCAACTTGGAAAGTACATGAGTAATTTGAATGTTTCTTGTACTAAAAGAAAGCTTATGAATTGGGCTTTCATATCCTAGATTTGTAAAGTGCTTCATGCAGGACTTCACTAAAACAATGGTCTTGACATTTGGGTTTCGTTTTGTTAATACTCACCCTGTATTAAAAGCAAATTATCGCTCCGAGTACGAACACATTGGAATGGACTCCCCCCCCTCCTGTATGCATGGTGTATGCAATGTTAACAACCCTCCCCCACCCCCCACCCCCTTGTACGTACGTACTTCATGGATGGCCCCTAACACATTCTTAGCACTTTAACTTCCAAGGGGATCAAGCGCCATGTAATGCAAAAGTTGCTGACCTCAACCTCCCTCAACCCCACAAAACCCTCCAGATTCCCAATACTTAAGGGTGGATTTTGATGGATCTGGGAAGGATCTGAAACAGCAGCCCAAATGCAATGTTTTCCAACTCTAGCGACATGATTTGCAATGTTGATCTGAAGGTTTTAATCCTCTCAAGTATGTTGCAAACACTGTATGCTCTCATGGCAATGTGGAAGATTTACGCTGTACTCACCACAGGATCTTTGACAATTGCCTGTAGGTTGATAATATTAGGTCCTCCTCGGAGGTTCTCCAGGATTTTGATCTCTCTCTTGATCTTTTTCTTCTTAACGGGCTAGAGTGAAACAAAACCGGTTTGGCATGTTAAATATAACTGCATGTGCAATGTGCGATCCATTAACCCCAACTCCCTATGCCTTTTTGCTAGGATGTAGCATCAATCCTGCAAAATCCTCCAATTGGCCTCATGAAAACATAGCATATAGCCACAATCCTGCAAATTCCTCCGCCATTTCTTGAATATGGTCCATGGAGGGGTGACCACTGCCTGAATCCTGCAAAATCCTGCGGCTATGACTGTCAATAGGCCGAGGCCGAGGCCGAGGCAGTGACATCCTGGAGCAGTACGGAGGTTGTCAAGTATAATCAAGGACTACATTTATGCACGGATGAGCATAAACAACACAAGGTCCGGCCCAAGACCTTGACACAGTGTGTACTCCGAAATCAGCAACGCACTTTTGCCATGTAACCTCAATCCTGCAAATTCCTCCAATTTGCAAAAAGGATTTTGGAGGATTCAGGGCGGTTAGGGTTAACCTAGCATGATTTGCTAGGAACCATGCCCATCCTGGCAAATTCCAACACCATATGGGAAACTGTACACACATATTTCTGACTTTTGTTTCTGGAGGTGTGCCAACCCAATGTAAAAGACTGTCAGTTTAGGGGTACTGTACCCATCCTGACAGATTCCAACAAAACATGCTGTTGGGGTTTGATGGGTTGAGTTCTGTTAGGGTTAAACAAGGATAGAAGTCTATCCATGATAGCTTTGTGTCTACTTAATACTGCAACGCACTGAAAACTGCATCTCAACCCATAGTCAAATAACTTACAGAAATTTGAGATGCGAAATAATCTATCTTGACACAATGACTAGTACATGCCAATTGCCAAATAAAGATTTCAGATTTTAAGTACATGTGTATGTGTGTTTCAATCATTTAAAGAGACTGGGGACGATAAAATTATCTTGTGACCCAACCCACTGAAAACACCCCTTTCTGACTGTGAGGTCTTCAGTAAAATAACACATAACGTAGCTTACCTGTCCCCATGTCCATAGCTATGAGCATTACTCAGAATGGTTAGGTCTGCAGGGGTGATCTGTACTGTAGCATTTTTCCTATTGCTACTTCTTTCAATCTTTAATTAACCCCAACCCCTTGAGTGATTTACTAGGAACCTTCCTCACTCTTGCAAAATTCAACACCATGTGGTAACTCAACACCAAAACTGTTGGACCCTGATTATGGTGATATACCTGACCCCCATATACAATGTAAAGCATAATCAGTAAACTAGTGCAGTCCTCACTCGAACAGATTCCCCCCCCAAAAAACATTGTTGGATTTTGAAGGGTTGAGGTGGTAAGGGTTAAACAATATCCTAATCTAAATTAATCCAATCTTCAAAATACTTGTTTCAATTGTGTCATCCATCCAGCTCAAATCAACAAAACCCAATAGACATTGACCCTGTGGAAATTGTTAGACTTGATTTTGAATGGACTCAAGACCAATGTTTTCCTAAACCCTAACCCCCTTGAGTGATTTATTGGGAACCTTCCTCACTTCTGCAAATTCCAACACCATATGGTAAACACTACACCCGAACTGTTGGACTCTGATTATGGTGGTATGCCTAACCCCATGTACAGCATAATCACTTTAAAAGTGCAGTACTCGCTCCAACAGATTTCAACAGAACCCAGAGTTGGAATTTGACTGGATGGGGATTGTTAGGATTAAAATATAAAGGAATGGCTACTGCAGTATCACTTCTCCGCATACATTAACCCTAACTCCCTAGGCCTTTTTGCTAGGATGTAGCCTCAATCCTGCAAAATCCTCCAATTGGCCTCATGGAAAAATAGCATATAGCCTCAATCCTGCAAATTCCTCCGTTATTTCTTGAATATGGTCCATGGAGGGATGACCACTGCCTGGATCCTGCAAAATCCTCCGGCTATGTCTGTCAATAGGCTGAGGCAGAGGCAGTGACATCCTGGAGCAGTGCGGAGGATGTCAAGTATAATCAAGGACTAATTTTATGCACGGCTGAGCATAAACAACACAAGGTCCGGCCCAAGACCTTGACACAGTGCGTACTCCGAAATCAGCAACGCACTTTTGCCATGTAACCTCAATCCTGCAAATTCCTCCAATTTGCAAAAAGGATTTTGGAGGATTCAGGGCGGTTAGGGTTAAAGAGGTTGTGGAATGCTCGAAGACATTTCCGTCATTTTTTTGGGTATATGTAGCCTAAGGTGTGATGAAATAAAAACGACTATTGTTTCTGTCATGAAATGAGTACAAAGGGTACTTTTGAGAGCTATTTTTCAGGTCCTGTTTCGACCCGAACGTGCAATTTGTGTAAAAGTCGTCGTTGCGGGCAGCAAACAAAACACAGTAAATCGTGCCGTAATTAACAGGACTCGTGTATGCTACTCTGCATCGGGAGTCCTGTTTATTACGTCACGATTTACTGTTTTTTTGTTTGCTGCCCGCAACGACGACTTTTACACAAAGTGCATGTTCGGGTCGAAACAGGCATGACAGGACTTGAAAAACAGCTCTCAAAAATACCTTTTGTACTCATTTTATGACAGAAACAATTGTCGTTTTTATTTCATCACACCTTAGGCTACATATACCCAAAAAATGACGGAAATGTCTTCGAGCATTCCACAACCTCTTTAAATAGGGTATGTGGCACAACTTCAGAGCTACAAGTAGGAAGTCTGCCTCTCAACAGGCATTGAACAATGAAATTAACCACATAAATTCTTTCAACTGTGATTATACCAATTCATTACCATTCATAATTAAATTCATTCCACGTTTTCTCGTGCATGTAGCAAATCTTTGATTTTGAGAAAAGTCTTTGAGAAAATCTGTACAAAAAATAACTTTACACTATAAATACCTTCCTTCACAGTTCTCCTAAACTTTGTTATTTCAAGTATGATTTATTTCCCGAGTTTTATGACTTTAACATGGATTAAAATTCCAGACATTCTATTTTACTGAAACAGCATGCCACACACCATGTTGGGTCTATGTATTTTAGCAATTATTTTCTCAACCTTCAGAAATAGAGCTCGGATGAAAATTAAAAGTCAGCATTAACGTATGTAGCTGATGATGATAGAACGCTCAGCACGTTTCATAAGGGTTGGATGTTTCATCATTGTCTTGTATAACCCATCTTCAAAATCTCGTAGACAATCTGATAACACAATCTGCAAATGATCAACAAAGTCTATTTGACAGAAACTGCCTCTACCAGCAAAAAAAATTCGGATTCCACCATGAGTTACCTTGAGGATCTTGATCACACACTTCTCATTGTTGATGACATTCATCGCCTCAAACACCTCACTGTACTTGCCACGACCAAGCTTACGGACTATCTGGTAGTCGTCTTGCTGCCTGCAAAAACAAACAAAACGTAGACAATGAAATGAACCGAGCAGAAGGCCGTTCCACACTACGGCCTGGCCTACCTGTGTTAAAATCCACAGGGGTTCACACCTACGCCAGTCTGAACACGGCTCCGCTGACGTTTTCAGATTTTCTACCCAGGTAAAGTGTACCCATGGAGCCTCTATGACCCTAGTCCCTATCAGGGTTGAATTTTACCCATGTAAAGCTCTGGACCATTGTACACTTAACAGCTACATTGTACTACAGTACATGTACATGTACCGTACGTCTGTAAAAGTGGTTCCCGAAATCTCTGTATTGGACCCGCATGACCCAAGTCTAATTTACAAAGATTATGGATGGTGGAAGGCCCTTAACCCTAAAGTTATTTCCTAGGAACTTTCCTCGCTCTTGCAAAATCCAACACCATATGGTAACTCAACACCTTAACTGTAGGACTCTGATTATGATGGTATCCTGGAACCCATGTAAAGCATAATCAGATTACTAGTGCTCACTCCAACAGAATCAAACAAAACATGCAGTTGGATTTTGAAGGGTTGGGATAGTGGAAATACAGGTAGAGGAATCATTTTGAAGAAACGTTATTTTTAGGGGTGCGCATTTACGGTTTGTACGGAAACCGGGAACCCGATTGAAAAACATACCCCACTACCAGGCTACCCGTTAAAGAGACCAAACCCCCAATTTATATTTTCGGATGTTGCTGTTCAGCTTGTTCATAAAGGTCTGCACGATAATCAACACTACAGCATCGGTGCATCAATACAGTGCAAGTGTGCACAGGAGCATAGCTTTACAGTGTAACCTGCAACTTTCGTGAGCATCATTAACGTTTTGTTTTGTCATGTAGCCTGGTTTTCGTTTTGAAAATTCCCCACAACTGACATTCAAAGTCTTTCTTTCTCATTGTCTAAGAAGTTACTAAGTAATTTGTAACGTTGGTAATACCGGTACCCGATCCCATCTGGAACCGGTTCCTGGTCAACGGTCGGGTACTCGGTACCTAGTTCCAATGCAAAGCCTACAATTAATGTGTCTGTGTGTGTAGGGATGGGGGGGGGGGGAGAGAGAAGGTTGTCAATCATGAGATCAAGCTCCTTTAAAATTTCAGTCCGGCACGTCCAGAGCAATGGCAAAATGGCAAATCATAAGGCCCGTAACTCTGCTGAAAATTGACACATGCTGAGATGCAATGTTCAGTCTAATACAAAGAATGCAAACTTCATGTATGTTATTCAAGTCATTCAAATATGATAAATAAAGCTAGGCCTGATCTTTGCAACGCTAAGGATTTACAGAATGAAAACATGTTGATAAGATGTACATGTACATGTACATGCATTCCTGAATAATTAAGCACTTATATTTATGCACCAAGACATCTTGCTTTGCTAAAAGGTAGCAATAGGAAACCATGACGGTCCGTGTGGGTCTTTCACAATACCAAAATCTCTGTGTTGGACCTGGGTCTAATATTGACATTTCGGGAACCCCTGTTTAGTGTCACACAAGCAAGAATCTAACACAGCTGCATGTACATGTAGATTAAATTGTTCAGGTCAAATTATACATGCTACCCATGACTGTGTTTATGTTTAAAACGACACATGAATTAACTTCCTAGTTAGTAGAAGTGTAGCTAAACGTACTACAGTTCAGGGCAAAACACAGAACTAACTTTGGACATGTTTGCAAAGTATTGCATGTAACTTTGTGCAAGCACTTTTTAACTGAGTACATTTATTGAACTCGCATCTTTCTAACTGATTGCCTGATTATAAACTTTACACATACAGTTTTTATCAAGCACACTAAGAGTGCAAGGTTCATCACAAATGTCACTAACTTTTTACTGCACAAGTATTTCAGATTATTTTGTGAAAATACATCTAGTGGACTATGTATGTTTGCCTATTGGAATTTCAGATATTTCAGAAATATAGTCAAGCAAATTGACCGATCTGCATAAAAATGTTTATAAAATGTAACACAAAATCAACATAGGCAATGTGTGCATCAAACAGTTGGGAGGAAATTAAGTATAAGAAATACACTTTGCATACGGTACATAAATAAGGTACATTGTACTTGCCTGAAACTGAAATAATGGGGAAAAATATTACATTTTACATACACATGTGGACATTACATGTAGATGTGATGATTACAATTGTGACTGTGATAAACCCTTTGCAACATGTGGGAAGGGCTATGAAAGTACATGTAAAATACTTCCACTTCAGCATACGTACATGTAGCATGGGCCTTGATACAAATTTTCAATCTTGACAATCAAATAAATAAAAAACCTAATAAAAACCTCTCAATTTTCGAGATGAGGTAAAAAAAGATTTCAAGTAGTAGTTTCAACTGGTTATGATGTAGTGTAACCCTAACTCCCTAGGCCTTTTTGCTAGAATGCAACCTCAATCCTGCAAAATCCTCCAACTGCCTCCATGTAAAAATTGCACACAGCCTCAATCCTCCAAAAATTATCCGTTATTTCTTGAATGTGGTCAAAACTGCCTCAATCCTGCAAAATCCTCCAGCAATCACTGTCAACATGTTGTGGCAGAGCCAGTGACATCCTGGAGCAGTGCGGAGGATTTCAAGTAAAACATACCGGTAGGCCTATATTTATGCATGGCTGAGCATAAACAACACAAGGTCCGGCCTAAGACTTTGACAGCGCATATCCTCCAAAATCAGCCGCACAGTTGTGCCATATAGTCTCAATCCTGCAAAATCCTCCATTTTGCAAAGAGGATTTGGGAAGGTTAGGGTTAATCATTCTTGGAATAGAAAGGCACTTTCCCTTCAAACTTTGCATCCGGTTCCCAGTTTTCTTAACTCTAACCTTCCTATTCCTAATTCCTCCAAAATTCTTGATGGAGGATTTCAAGGATTGAGGCAACAGTAAAATGTGTACAGGTGTCAGTGGATTTTGGAAAATGCGTTGTGGCAAGGTCCAAGCTGTACCTCGTGCAGTTTATGCTAAGCCATGCATACACATTTAGGCAGAGATAATCATTGAAATCATCCACACTGCTTCTGGGTACATGTATCATGGGCACTGCCTCAAAGCATTAACCCTAAACCGTCCGAATGATGTTTGAGAAACATAAGGATTTTGGAGGATTGAGGATGAAAAGTGTTGAAGCACATGATGATTTTGGAAGATTGAGGATGAATACATACAGTGTTGAAGCGCATGAGGACTTTGGAGGATTGAGGATGAATGGTGTTTGAAGACGAGGATTTGGAGGATTGAGGATGAATGCATTTTGCAAGGCAGGACTGTCTGATAATATTGAAGGACTGAGGCGCTGGGTATCCTTCATTTGAAAAATAGGTGCAAAATTTTGGAGGATTTTGGAGGGTTGAGGATTGTTGAGAGCTAGGGATTTGGGTTAACAGTGATTGTGGGAGGATTTTGCAGGATTGAGGTCACCCCACCAATGGACTTGCAAGGAACAACGGATGATTTTGCAGGATTTAGGCTGTACTCCATTTTACATCGAGGCAGTAGAGAGAGGATTTCGAAGGATTGAGGTTGCATCCTAGTGGGTAAAGGTTAATTGAGTTACTTGTATTTGTAACCATAAGCAGCATGAGCAGGATCCCAACTAGCTTGACCTAGCTTAAGCACATTTATACCAATGGAAAGAATGTAATACTTTCCTTCGTCACTTCTTTGGTTGCGTAGAAAGGAAAGATTCCCATATCTGGCCATCACTTGTCACCCTGTGCACAAACCCTATGAGACTGGTCTGAAAATTTCTAAGTGTTTAGTTAGCAAAAACTACAAAATTTTCCCTGCTAAATTTGACTTTTTAGGGCATATTATCACTTTCTGATGGGTGATAGGTCATTAACCCTAACCGCCCTGAATCCTCCAAAATCCTTTTTGCAAATTGGAGGAATTTGCAGGATTGAGGTTACATGGCAAAAGTGCGTTACTGATTTCGGAGTATGCACTGTGTCAAGGTCTTGGGCCGGACCTTGTGTTGTTTATGCTCAGCCGTGCATAAATTTAGTCCTTGATTATACTTGAAATCCTCCGCACTGCTCCAAGATGTCACTGACTCTGCCTAAACCTATTGACAGTCATAGCCGGAGGATTTTGCAGGATTCAGGCAGTGGTCACCCCTCCATGGACCATATTCACGAAATAACGGAGGAATTTGCAGGATTGAGGCTATATGCTATTTTTCCATGAGGCCAATTGGAGGATTTTGCAGGATTGAGGCTACATCCTAGCAAAAAGGCCTAGGGAGTTAGGGTTAAAGGGGAAAATAAGTGATATGGGAATCTTTCCGTAAAGGTTTCTCAGTCCCAGATGTTTTCAACAGCCCAACATTTTTGCAATTATTAAATTCTTTGAGATAATATATCATGAAAGAGGCAAAGTCAGGCCGATCAGGATGCAACATTCTTTCCGTGAGTTTTTATATGGAAAGAAATATTGCATCCCGACGCATCTTTTCTTCATACATACAACATTATCTCAATGAAGGTCAAATATTGCAGAAATGTTGAAAACAGTTACGACCGAGAAAACATTTCCGATTTTCTTAGAAAAATACTTTTAAAATGCACTCGACTGGCCATAGACGTGATAGACTTTGTACACAACCAAAGAAGTGGCGTCGGGATACTACTAGTTTACTACATTTTTTTCCTTTTAATATTTCTACAGCGATTGAAGCACTTCACCTGCTCAAAAAAATGTGCATTGCCATTGCATTGTTGTGCACATTAAATTTGAGTTCACATCATGTAAAATTAGATACACTTTAACTTAGTTCATCATTTTAAAAATTCCCATGAGTAAGTCTACTTGTATTCACTTACCCCCATTCGACAACATGGGACTCATAATCCCAATAGTCCCTTGGTCTGTGTGTATTAACATCAGCATACACACGTGCACGGCTCATGGCCATTTTGTCACTGTTCACGTTGCGGTTCGCAATCTTGACGGCTAAATTCGGCCCAAAACTCCGCCGAAGAAGCACTTGGCTCCTCAGCGAAGAGTTGGAAACAGCCCTGAAAAAATTGGGAACAACCCTTAACGCCAACAAAGTGGCGTTTTTGAGGCCCCGAAGACGGCCGAACTCACGACGAACTTCCCACTTTTGTCCACAGTACTGTCAGTCCATAATGAAGGTACCTCGTGCGCACACAATAAATGCAGCAATGACGTCCAGAAAATCCAACGACCAACACCCAGTGAACCGGCTTAGGTCTACCCCTTTTTCACCACTTTTACGTCCACCAAACCTTGCAGAAATCCAAATATGGATACCATTAAGACTACAGAATGGAGAGAAGGGATTCCTAGTGCGCCAATTTCCCTCTACTGTCGCGAGTTGTGGTTACAAATTTACCCCTGTCGCACCGGTTTGAGTTCACAAAATGGCGAAAATTGCTTCACATCACATTATTCACTCATATCTCGCAGAGATAATGCACTCCATGCGCGAGAAAAGGCGAACTCGAGATTTGGACTCGACTGGACGAAAAGAAGGGCGCCCTCTGCGCGTAAATTCTCAAAAACCAAAGATCGAGCGAATGGAGAAATTACTTCAAAATATGACTGGTAAAGAAACAAAACTTCCTGAAAATCGGAATTTAGATCAAACAGATATTACAAATTACACAACAAACCAAAAACCAATCCTGAAAGAAAATCAGAAAGGGCGAACTGATAATAATAAATTATGAGCTGTTATACGCTAGCAGGCTGACCAGGCAGCGGGAAAAGCATGTGATTTTCTGCAGTAGGGCTGCTAAAAATTTAAACTACGTCTTCGTTTAATCTTAACATTAAATAAATAATTGGCGTAATTAGAGCACGTCCCCCTGGAGGCCTATGCAACTGATGCTTTCCCTTTCCAGCTGAAAATGGGGGAAGATAAAAATGAATTTTTAAAGACTGCCCCCCCCCCCCCCCGGCTTCGGAAATGGCTCCATGGTGCTACTATCCCACGAACAAATCCTGGTCAAGGTTAAGATTTCGGGTCTTACTAAAATGTTTGTTGCTTCGCTTATTCACTGCTGTAGGCCTACTTTCAGTGAACAGAAACCAATTCCCGCGTTAAGGCTTATATCAATCAATTGATGTCGAAATTGCGTCCCATACTTTCCTTTACTTTTTGTTGTAAAGTATGCGTCATGGGTCAAGATGTTGTTTTTTTCACTTGCGCCTCCTACAAAAAAAATTAACAATTTTATGCTCGTACCGTAAGTAGGTATATGTACCGTCCTAATATAATCAATTTAAGCCGGGCGTACTAACGACAAGGCCATAGACAAAATTACTGTAAAGTTATGTATGCATAAGGCCTGCCAAAAGGGTCTTTTAAAGTTCTGTCCACAGATCACAAAACAATTTAGATAGCTGAAAAGTACGTGTGAATGATTTTAATGATTCTTGTACTAAAAGAAAGCTTATTAATTGGGCTTTCATAATGCTAGATTTTGAAAGTGCTAGTACATGCAGAACTTTATTTATATAGAAAATGGTCACCATTTTGGGTTTCCTTTTTTGACCGTCACCCTGTGGTTTGTGAGATGAGGAGAAAGAGACATAAAACTTGAGGGGACATCAGAGTGCTCCTTTTATAGCGTCAAACGAGGTCCAACCATCCGCCCCCCCCCCATTTTAACCCAGCTTTTTTAATTTGCAACGGTCGGTATGCTGCTGGCTTAGAAAATCCCGAAAAGTTTGGTTCTTGATCTGCCCTTGCTGGTCATCATGGATGCGTCTGTCCAGTACGCCAGTGGCTTAGTCAGCAACCGGAGGTCTGCCAGGGTGGGTTGACACCGCGGAAATGAAAAAAAACGGGGAATGAAATATAAAATGTAATGTACTTCTTTCAAATAATAATGTACTTCATTGTAAAAGAGGGAAAAGAAGCCCCCCCCCCCCCGGGCCCCCTTCCCTGCCAACCAAAGAAAAGGGCATGTGCCGAGCTGAATTGTAAAAACTAATGTTTTCTTATTTAATCCCAATTACAAAACTGTAATACCTAACAAATCTGATATCAGTTTATTTCTATTATTTAAAAAAAAATTGAGTTTTATAGTTGTTTTCAGGCTAGGCTCACATGATAAAAACGAAGGACGTCAGTAAACACAAACTTCCGTCGTCAAGTGATAAGTATACCGTTACTAAGCACACGCCCTCAACGTCGAAGCTGTGCCAGTCCATTCTGAAGAGCTCGCTGGCTTTAGCACCGCGACGATTTCGTGTATAAATTTACTTCAAACCTTTTTTTTTTTAATTAAAAATTCCCGTCATGGCAGACTCTGAAAGTGTCACGACATCGTCACAGGACCCTCAAGATGACCCTCTTGGCGAGCACACTGACGATGAGTTACAGCAATTGCTTGAGGACTTACAGTGAGTCGTCGGTCGTATGATTAGGCAGTTTCGGTGATTTGTTTTTGTAAACCGTGTACGGTGTAGTTTACCCCGCGGAACGTTCCATAGGCCCGCCCGCCTAGTCCGCGTCCGAGTGCCGATCATGTAGTTACGGGCCCCTCTTTAGTTTCGATCAAATTAGAGACTATAGTCAAGGGTATCATTCAAATATGACCTTTTCAACATAAAGCAGACTTGTCCCAATGGCAATGCTAATGACACTATTTTGAATAGTTTAAATTTGGCAGTGTATATTTTGCCGGAGACGGCAAACCTTTAGTAAACGTTAGTTTGCCGGATATGCACTGAACATGCGCAGTTACTGTTTTTTTGTACTTAAACATTTTCCGGTGACAAGTTTTAGTCTGGCTCCATGCCAAAATTATCGTTGTTACCTCGTATTCACAAGATGGGATTCAGACCATTTTATAATTTCGGACTTTATTTCCCTTTTAAAAAAAATCCTCCAGAGCCACAAATTTGAAAAAGAAAATGTAATACTCTGCAAAAAATGTTTGAGACATGTTAAAATAATAAAAGAAGAATATTCTTATTTATTTGGGGATGAGAAAAAAAACCTTAAAAATGTGGTGCGGTCGGAATCGAACGCAAGTCATCCAGCTTACTAGAGCCTTTGCTTAACCACTACACCAAACTTGCTACACAAGTTTTGGTGGGAATTTAATACATATTATAATCAGCCCTATTTTAAAGAGTACAGCGCCCTCTGTTGATATGGATTGCCGCCGGCAAACCTTTAGTAATCGTTAGTTTGCCGTCATTACCTCCGGCAAAATATCCACTACCTTTAAATTTCGGTTTATTCTCTTTAAGTTTAATCATTTATAATAATTATGGAACCAGGCCCATCACTACATGATCGCTGTCCGAGTAACTTGGACCTACTTATTGCCGCTTTTAACATTGGGACATGGTCTGGCGATAGGGTCCAAGTTCAATGGCAGCCATGGTCTGACACTTTAACTAACGTCCCAACAAAAACATCAGATTTCACCCTCAAAACGGCCGCAGAAATACTCCTAGATACGCCACCTGAGATTTACAAGTAACAGTTAGAGATCGATGATTAAGATTGAGGTACTAAGTTTCTGAGTATCACAAGCCATACTTGTTTTCTTGCAGCGCGGGCAACAAGGTCTTTCAGAATGAAACCATCATGTTTGAGAAGTACCTCAAGCGTGTGGAGCCCAACCTGACGGCGGCTGCTACCACCACGGCCGTGGCCCCCACCCCGAGCCAGTCCACCCACGACGCTCGCGTCATGCGCAAACGCTCCAAGTCCAAGGGAAGCGGCGTGGACAAGCACCTGAAGCTCAACGCTGAGCAGAAGTGCGACATTGCGCAGCGGGAAATTGAGGAACTACGGGAGGAGATTGACAAGCTGAAGGAGGATGCAGAGAAAATACTGGACACCTATAAGGTCAGCAACTGTTCCACTTTTCCCATGTGTGTTTTATTGACTTCAAGCTGTCACATTGTCTCTGTTGTGCCCCAACTATACATGTAGCATTGTTCCCAACAGTTGAAAATGTCCCATCTATAGTTGGGGCAATTGCTATATTTTGGGTGTAACATCGCCAAAGGTTATTTCAGCATCAGCTTGCAGTCTCATGCACACTTGTTTTCCAATAGTTGGAGATGCCCCAACTATAGTTGAGACTGCCCTAACTTTACAGTGAAACGCCGCTATAATGAACATCGCGGGATTAGCAGAATATGTTCGTAATAGCGATCTTTTGGTATAGCGATTTTGGGTGGCGCCTTCTTTTGACTAAAGATAAGGAACTGGCATTACTCACATCAGCATAGCTGCCAACTATTACGAATTTTTCCTAATTATTACGAATTGTTTGTTAAATTACGAATATACGATTTGCCACTAAAACATTACGAATTTCCCATTTTCTACCTAACGAAAAAAAACACTTGTAAAGTAGCGTTTATGACCGAAAACTTCTGGCGAAATGTTGCGATAATGGATGGACTGGTGACAAGTCTAATAAGCAATGTGGTCAAGCACCTGATAGACATCAATGCAGTGTGCGCAGTGGAGTACTTGAGGACCAGACTAAAAATATTTTTCAATGGTGTGTCCATTTGTGTGCATCTCGTGGATGTGTGGTTGTGTGTACTGTATGTGAGTCAGTACTTTTCAGTGACGATCGTGAGCACATTAGGTCGCTTCTTGCCGGGATGAGACCCATCAGTGCGAGATTTAATCATGGAATTTGATTAGAGTATGGTTGGAAGGATTGGTAATAAGAGTTTGAGTTTATCACAATGTCCAGTAAAGATAAATCAGCATGCATTTGCAAGGTATGTTGGCGGCATACGGTGGCCCTAAATCATTGTGTGTAAAAACATGATACAAACTCGAAACTCAACATCGATAGCATGCATCTCATAAAAAATATGCGCACATGTTATTATTGTTATTATTTATTTGACTTCAACAAACAAATACAGACAGTAAAACAATTTTTTTTTTTTTTTTTTTTTTTTTTTTTTTAATTCTCTTTTGGCCTACAGTACATTATTGTTGTTTTCACAACAAGAAGGGTATGCACATGAACGTGTACAGTATGTAAACCATGTACCTGTACTCGATGTTGGTAAAGCTGGTACATACACTTTTGATAATACAAGCAGTTGAAAATGACCGCGCGGGTTGATTACCAATTGGGATTTTGAAAAGTTGGCAGCTATAATGCATCAGCGGCAGCACTCAGAATCGTCACAAAATTCACAACGGGTGGCTTTCCCTTCTATTCTTGGGGGAAGTAATAGACACCTGTTACTCTTCAATATTCAAGCCTGATGTAAGCATGGGCCGTTTGATGTTCAGAAATCAATTAATTAAAAATAGCCCAAATAGTGTTTAATATAACCGGTACATTTTTGTGATTTGTTGACTTTTTTTAACCACAATGTTCGGTACATTTTGTACACAAAAAATGGGGGGTATCCGCTCTGTTCACAAGTACCCCCTCACCGGCAAAGGAAGTACAGTTGGGGGTGACCGACCGACGCCATCTTGCCTGACTGCAATTTGTCGCGACGCGCGGCCGTACCACTGCGTGTACATAGTACAAATCCCCTGGTGTACGTGCGTCACACACAAGGAACGGTGCGCATCAACCAGCTAAATGTCCCGCCCATGGGACGTTGTTGTAAGGGAAAAGGGCGCCCTCTCTGTTGGCGCACGGAGCTCATAGTGGTGTTCGGTATAGCGGCGTTCCACTGTAGTTGGAGCTGCCCCAATAGTATTTTGGACCATCCAAACAGTTGTTGGATTTCCCCAAATATATTTGGGACCATGCTACAGTTTGGGTGAAACATTGAAGCCAGTGTGAAAATGTATGTCCCAAGCCAGACTTGTCTTCTTGAGAGGAAGAATATTTACAAATAACAACAAATAACGTTTCTGCCTCCTGGGCAGTAAAATAAGTTTCAAATTTTGTCTCATCTAAAGGCCGTGATGGAAGAAGCCGATGTGCGTCTATCAGAGCTGAAGAAGTCCTCGTACGAATACGAACGTGACATCCTAAAGGGCTCTGTCAACAACCGCACGGGCAAGGTGGTGGCCGAGAAAGTGGTGCGTTACTTTGAAGACAAACAGAGGTCCCGGGACGCCCTGATTGAGAAGCTCAGGCTAAAGAACTCCACTCTGAAGGTGCAGAAGAAAAAACTACACCTGCAACTCAAACAGGTAAATAAATTGAACACGTAGCTCAAAGGCTTGTCTGACCTTAAGTAAAGACCTACTTAGCTTTCCTAACTTGGTCACTGTTTTCCCTTCTTAAAGTTTGAACAATCTCCCCCACTTGTTAGAGGGCTGGGAGTTGTAACAGGGCTCACACAATTCGTAGCGTCAGTGCAACAAGGTCGTAACTCCATTCTGCAACAAAGTCGTATCTCGCGCGAATACGCTCCGTGTAACGAGGCAGTATCTTCACGTTCATTGACTTTGTGTGTACATCCGGGTTATTTTAAGTGAGATACGACGTTTTGACATTCTGAGACTCGCGTTTCACGTACAGCCCATTTTAAGAGATATGACTTGGTTGCACGGACACGACAAATCGTTTGTGCAGGAAAAAGCTTACAACGTGAAATACACAACTGCAGGTTGTAGCCATCCTCTTCCCTACCAGCTGATATGTAGACGTGTAGACCTAAGGACAAAAGGAGCAAAAACATTTGCATTTATCCCAACGTAACCTACCAAATTATTATCAAAAAAGTAACCTACCAAATTATTAAAAATCTTACATGGATTAAAGATCATACTGGTACTAAACACCCAGTAAAATTATTCCATCTGGCTTGCTGTCATTTAGAAGAAATCAAGAAATGCAGGAGATTTCCAACGATCAGTCACTTGACTGATTTTTGGAAATAAAGAGTTACAAATTAGACGTAATTGTGTTTTGTGATCAAAAGGTTGTGCCAAATTTTTCACTGTTTCCTCAAAAAGTATAATATCCACTTAGCTGAAACTTCAACAGGTTAGGATTTCAAATTTCTTCTTTAGATTTGTGGTGATGTTATTATCCCATGAAATGCAAACAATCCTATGTGCCGTTAATTGTATCTCTTGTCTTGCTGCGTGCAGAAAGAAGAGATGGGAGAGGTTCTACACGAGGTTGACTTCCAGCAGTTGAAGATTGAGAACAGCCAGTACCTGGAGAAGATTGACGAACGCAACCAAGACCTGCTGAGACTCAAGCTGATGTCTGGCAACACTCTACAGGTCCTCAATTCATACAAGGTAAATACCAACAAGTACATGTGGAGCGCAGTGGTCCAGTGGTTACGGTGTTCGACTGACGTGCCGTGGTACATGGGTTCGAACCCTGATTGGGAAGATGGTGCCTGTGTTCTTGGGCAAGACACTTTACTACAAAAGTGCAGTTATAGGACCATGACTTTATTTAGTTTCAGTCAAGACCAATCCATTAAAGGGTGCATGGGGAAAAAAAAAACATGTTAAATGCAATCTTTGAAAATGCACTTTCAAGAATGTTTTGGTGCCGTTGCGGTTTTTATGCAAATTTCATATGTATTCATGAGAATACCTGTGGGCAATTCCACGGTTACTCGAGTTACATTTTTGATGTACTTTTGAGTTTCCTTGGGCTGTAATTACTTTACTGAAAAGGTTTAATAGCTGTTATCCTCATGGTAGATAGAGTAGACCTAGACCTACATGTACCTAAGCAACAAAGATGACATCCAGAAAAATGTGTTACATGTATGTATGATAAACAAGACGCACAAACTTGGTTACTCATGTTACGAAAATGTAATGTGAGTAACCGATTTTGTGCGTCTTGTTTATCATACATAACACATTTTTCTGGATGTCATCTTTGGTGCTTAGGTAGGTCTAGGTCTACTCTATCTACCATGGGGATAACAGTTATCAAACCTTTTCAGTAAGGTAATTACAGCCCAAGGAAGCTCAAAAGTGCATCAAAAATGTAACGTGAGTAACAGTGGAATTGCCCCTGTGATGTCATACAAGGCAGAAACTATACATGAACAGTGCCCAAAGTTGTCAAGAAAAGCATTGAACGTTTTATTTTAAAATGGTGCCTCCCTGCATGCCGCAACCGTTTGCGTCGTGCTCTAAGAGCAGGCATGTTAGGGACAAGAGCAAAAACAGTTTTCCCATTCTGACGCATCCAAACGGGAAGGAACAGCCGTATTGTTAGTAATCTGCCCGTTCTCCCGCCTGCGCATGGACCCCATTCCGCAAGCATTCCTGTTTTGCATCAAAACAATAGCGCAATCATTTTGAGTGAGCACATTTTGTGATGAACACTGGAACTCCCGTGAACGACAGGGCGCATCACTTACCATAACAAAAGCATGGTACAATGGAGCGCTCCTGGCTGGCCTGTGGGCCAATTTTTTTGCCCCGTTCTACCGCGTGAGAACGGTCCTATTGTAAGTTTTATTGCCTTCCGTGCCAAATGAGAAGGAACGCATTTCCACGCGTGGGAACGGAAGAGATGTTTTTGGTCTTGTCCCTTGCATTGATGGTTTAAAACGGTTCAGAAAACACCAACTGCTTTTAAATACTTTATTCCAGCACCCCTGCATTCTGCGCCACATTGTGCAGTATGTGCCATGCGCACGCCAATCTCCATAAACGGAGATATTTAGCACTATGCGCGTGAGACACATACCATAGACATGGCAAGGGGGTGTTTCACAAAACACAAGGTAAAATTGTTGGACAAAATTATTGGAAATTGTGAATTTTTGACTTGTTTTGACTTTTTGACCGAACAGTAAATTTTATGAATGGGAATAAAAATGCGCTTGGCCGATATTAAATGGGTACGTTTAAAGGGAATGTACATCATTGGCTTTCACTGTAATTTTCAGAAATGAATTAGTTGAGGGGTTAGTATAATAGATGAAAATATTGTTACACTGACATGTTTGAAGTTTTGTGTCCGAAAATGCTCGAAAAAACCAAGAAGTTCAAGTAGTCTGGTTCCCTGACTCCACTAAAGATGAAATGGATCAATTTATAGATGCAGGAAAATTGTAAGGTAAGGGAACCAGTCTAGCTGGCCTGCACCCATTCATGAACATGTAACCAATAGCAAACACAATTTGAACTGAAACAAATGGTAAATATGGAGCAGTAGTTGAACAATAGTTAGGTTTTTCCGACGGCCGACCACCATTGGAAATGTATACAAAAATACCATTTTCTTGAAAATGACTTCACACCAGGTGCCATAATTTTACAGGATGCTTGTGACTGTCATTTACCAACATCCTATTTAGGTATTTCGTAAAAACTTGGTAGTTTTATTTTTCGATGTTTGCAAATGTTGTATATTCCCTTTAAAACAGTCTAGGGGTCTGGTTGCGGATATTATTGCCCAAGCTGATTGGCCCTCGCCTTCAGCTCGAGTAATCATCAGCATCCAGGCCCCTAGCCGACCGGCCAAGCACACATTTATTCCTTTTTATTCCTGGTTGTGAATTGTTGAAACATAATGAAGCAGGGCTAAATGAATCAGTCCATTGCTTGTACGCGTATTTAAGTCATAATGAAAAGTTGATATAGGCAAATGTACATAAGCTCAAGTTCGCGGGGCGCTGCATACACACACTACAGAACACACATTACACAACAGGCGCGCACATTTATATACAATGTATATAATACACACGCACGCGTGTGTATGGGGCTAACCATGGGCTAACTAATCAAAACACTGCCTGGATATATATTTTTTTCAAGCCAAAATGGTCGTCGGAATTTATTGTCCAATTAGCATGCTTCTTATATCAGCGTTTTGAGAATTTTATCAACTTTATGAATGACGTCACCCCAAGGTTGCTGAACTTTTCGTTTTGACGCTGTGGTTAAAAACACTTTGACAGCGTGCCTAAAAACTAGTTTACACTTCGTGGATGTGTACTATTGAATAGGAGCACAAAGCGTGGATGTGTTTTTTCAAACTAAAATGGTTGTTATGTGCCGAGCACTGTCAATGACAAATGTCATCCCTATAGAAAGCTGAAGATGTCTTCTTTCATGTTCTGATCACCCCAGATTTGTACGTTGCCTAGTTTTAAAGATATGCCTGTTTTGGTGTCTCGACAACGCACGCGCACACATACTGAGCGTGTACACGCAGTGTTGCGATGAGCAAGTGTCCAAAACTTTTTATTATCAGAAGCCAGTTGCTGTAGTATTGAAGCATTTACTTCACTTCCATTATACCCAGTGTAGATTAGCCTTGGTCAAGGCGCTAGTTGTTATTCATCCCGGCCGTAGCACGGTAAACGACATCCTCGCAAGCGCTATGCATGCGGTGCATTAAAAATACAGTGCTAACAGCGACCTCACGCGGCCACCATTTCTATGCAAATCAGTTGGACCCAATCTAGCGCCTTGGTTCAATCGTTGGCAAAAGCTTATGTTTTTCTTTACTTTGCGCTAGATTTCCAGCGCACGACCTCGTATGCGAATACAGATAATGTAGGCGGGGCTAATATGTGGAGTGTGCAATCACACCTCAGTAAATCTGGACGTCATCAAATTATTTGCAGCTAGCTATTCGCCTTTTGCGGACGTGACAGGAACCACAGTTTTTGTGCATTGGTGCCGTGTGCAGAGACACACAACGTGTATGTGAATGGATTATGTACGGTGCCACGTTTCACTATGCAAGTTTCCACGCAACGATCGACCAATAAGAAAACGACATTTAAGGTCAGCTAAGGCTATTAACATAATGAGCACCACCCCCAAAACCTCACATGGACGATTGAACCAAGGCGCTAGATTGGGTCCAACTGATTTGCATAAAAATAGTGGCTGCGTGAGGTCGCTGTTCGCGCTGTATTTTTAATGCACTGCATGCATAGACATAATGACTGCATGCATAGCGCTAGCGAAGATATCGTTTACCGCGCTACGGCCGGATGAATAACAACTAGCGCCTTGACCAAGGCTAAGTGTAGATTAAAACATCTGTATGCAGAATAAAATAGCTCACAATTTTCTAAATACATTTTTGTAATTTGCAAAGGTTTCCAGGTAAATGCGACTTGAGATTTATACCTCGTCCAAACATCAAATTTGCAATTTCAGAAAAAGCTTCACACTCTGACCCTGGAGTCTGATCGGCTGAAGAGTGAGATAACATCCAGGAATGAACTGCTGACGAGAATCGATGCAGAAACGGAAACAGTGGAAGCTGTGAGTAACATCAGATGAACTCGTTCTATAAAAATATTTGCATATTTAAATTAGAGAAATTGAATTGGTTGGTGGTGTAAATTCCACTAGTACTTACAAAGAATTAGTTCACAAACACGTTGGTTTAGCTTTCGCACAGTAAACATCTTTTGGATATACGCTTTGCAAGATGAAGTACAGTGTCTATCATGCTGAAGCGATAAGCTTGCCCATTGGCCAGAGTTGCTGACTCGAGTTATGTGACTTGGACTCGAGTCGGACTCGAGTTGCTATTTTTGTGACTTGTGACTTGACTTGTAAATACCAGCTTTGACTTGTGACTTGACTTGGACTTGCAAACAATGACTTGTGACTTGACTTGGGATTGCAAAAAATGACTTGTTACCAACCCAAGTCAGACGCTAAATCCAGTAAAATGAATAGTTCCCACTAGTTTCAAAAGTTTTCAATAAGACTGTCACAACAAACTACACAGTTTTCAACGACCAAGTCTCTTGCTTAATGTAATGGTTGAACAAACTTTGAAAGGAACCTTTCATGAAAAGAAAGCAGGCCTTTGTCAATTGCATGTAAAATACCGGATAGCCTAACCCATTGGTACATGTAGGCGTTTAGTATACATGAAAATTGAACGATAAAGTGTTAGTATACTACATGTAATCGAGTGAGTGAAGTCTTTTTTTCATGTCATCTATTTATTTCTACAATGTAAAGTAAATTTATTAAAGTACACAAAGGGCTAATATCCGACAGATATGTGATAAACTACAAGAATAGTAATAACAACACATTGAAAAAGGGGAATTAAGGAGGCATGTTCAAAATAACTTGTAAGTTGACGCCAGGTTCTTTTAGCTTATTACAGCTGGACAAAATAATGTGCGACTTGAAGTTTTCTTGGACAAAGATACTTGTGACTTGATTTGTGTTTAGACCAAATGACTTGTGACTTGACTTGTGACTGGACCTAATGACTTGTGACTTGACTTGTGACTGGACCTAATGACTTGTGACTTGACTTGGACTTGCAAACAATGACTTGTGACTTGACTTGGACTTGCAAAAAATGACTTGCTGCCACCTCTGCCATTGGCAGTGTCTGGAAGTCTTATAAAGAAAGACAGGTTCTTCTCAGAACCACACGACTCACTAAGAGATATCATTCACACGGTGTTACTGCAAACCTTCCATTCAAAGTGATCGTTTATTTCCCTTTTCTTTTTTTTTAGGAGCGAGCCAAAGCAGAGGAGTTGAACCGGCGGTTGCGCCAGCAGCTTGGGGACTTCCGGGTGCCGGACGTGGTGGAGTACGTCCAGGAGAAGGCTGACCTGTACGAGCTGGCTAAGACAGTCAAGAGCTGGGAGAGAAAAGTGGACATCGCAGAGGTTGGTGTAGTCTTGGTCTAGTAACTTTGTTACTTGGTCCTGAGAAATTGGGAGCATACCTCATGTGCATTACACTCCAGCTAATTTGCGCGTAAGATATGCTGGGGATTCTCCGGTCCAATCGCTAAAGTTAACTCTTTCAGTGCCAAACTCGTACATGTACGAGGTATATTTGTTAGTACAAAAGCGCCAACCTCGTACATGTACGAGGTAATGTTCCTGATTAAAATCGCCAAACCTCGTACATGTACGAGGTAGAGTAAACATGTTATCAAAAGGGGGTGCTCTCTCTCTTTCTAATGGTACCATTTTCATGCATGTAATGCGTGTATTAATTTTTTTATTCGAGTTTTTGCGAGAGGGCGTAACACTGACAGCCCGTCTCTGAGTTTCGACTTGTTGACAAAATGGCGGCGCCCAGAAAACGAGCTCGCGTGTTATCTTTAGAGGAAATCAATGAAATGTTCGCTGATTCGGACAGCAAAACGGATTACTTGTTTGATTCAGAATCATCTATAAATATTTCAGAACAGGATGGTGAGTCAGAAGGTGAAAATGGGGATACCGATACAAATGATAATGATGGTGCTTTTGCTAGTGTCAATAGTGACAATCATGACGATATTGATGCTAATGAACAGAGTTTGTATGAGGAGGGGTATCAAACGCGACACACGTATATTCTACAAAAAGTGCGGAATTTCCCTGTGTTCAGGAGAGTGTTTCAGGGTATATCACTAGGTGCGTGACTACTATTGAGAGCAAGATACAACAAGTTTGGTGATTACAACTTAATTACTTTTTTTTACAGAATTTTGAATAATTAGAAAAAAAGCTTGAAGTTGGGCACTTTAAGGTTAAACTTTTGAAATGTCGCGGGCACTGAAAGAGTTAAAGACTGGATTGATTTTTTCATGATGCCCTCTGCCGCAGTGTTGGCTTTACCCTGCTTGCCACTGATTGAGATCAGCAGCAAACATTTTAGGGGAACAACAGCCAAATCTAGCCAGATCCGTGACCGGGTTCAAAATTCAGAAAAGGAAAATAAACATGCAGTGTTATCCAGTAGGGTTTTGGGGAGGTTGGCTATCATGCCATAATTGTATGCTGCCTTGCTGAAGTATTTCTCTGCCCTGCAATGTAAAGTGACTTCATGGAATCCTGATCGTTCAAATCTGTGTAACGGGTAGTTAATAAGCACCACAGTGTTTCACTTCAAGAGTTATGAAAACCAGTGGCTTATATTTGGTGCAAAGACATGCGCATGAGTTTGGCATTCCCCAATGTGACTCAGACTCAGCCTGATGTGTTTTTGAAAAAGCGCCTTCAACAGAACAAAAAAATGTTCCTTTCTGTCAATTGTAATCAGGGCTTATTTTCATTGCTCTTTGAACCACAAAGTTTTGTACTTACAATCGCCACTCTGTGCTGACCGCACTATCAAAGAAATTCTTTGCTATCCTTAGTGCAGAATCCTTAGGTACGAGATATTAACAACCCGCACAAGCTATCATTCTTTGCTAACCCGTGCTGTACACTAACTGTAAGCCAAGAATTTTCTGCTTCAGTTAGCGGGGAAATTTTGCCAATGGTAAGCAGAGCCGTGAAATTGGGGCCAGCTGCAGGGCCCAATTTCATAGAGCTGCTTAAGCAGAAAATTTGCTTAAGCACGAAAAACATTGCTTAGTAAAATTAGGTTACCGGCCAAAACTCCATGTGATGTACATTGCTTGTGACTGGTATTTAGCTGTTGTTTACTTAGCATAACAATCGCATGGAGTTTTGGCCGGTAACCTGATTTTATTAAGCAAGACGTTTTTGTGCTTAAGCAAATTTTGTGCTTTAAGCAGCTCTATGAAATTGGCCCCTGGTTACAAACAGATAAGCTAGTTGACTTTACATAGGGGTGCACATTGCCAATTGTACCATGTGCCGAGCTGTATAAAAACAGGCTGAGACATTAATAGTAGCAAAATGTAGGACAGTGCATTTAAAGGACTGCAAGTTACTGGAGCCTGCTTGACTATCATGTCACCACCAGCTAAAAAGTAAAATATGTCTGGTTCAGCCATGTTTTTTTAATTGCATAGCATTTGCATAATGTTGTTCTTGTTGCACTTTTCGGTTCTTTCTTAAAGCAGGAATTGAATATAGTTTACAAGATGTTGGACAATATGTATTTCCATTAAAAAGCTTACAACGTATGGTTGAAAACGTCCATGTCAAAAAGTAATGCAATCGTTGGTACGTAGTGATCTTAAAAAGAACACTTCAAGGACTCGAAAGAACATACAAAATTTGTCTTACCAACACATTCCTCCTTTTGTCTCTAACTTTAGATGGCTCTCAAAACACACCGCAAGACCTGGAACACCATGAAGATGAACAGCCATCAGAACTGGGCTCTAGAAACATAAAGAGGTGTGGCAGTTAGGCTCAGACTTTTGGTTCCGTCCGATGTTTCCTCAGGCATTTGTGCTTGTTTGACTCAAGATAAAAAAAAATCTTTTGAAAGCAAGGAATGGGTATCTCACAAGACTTGGTGATCCTTTGTTCCATCAGCCCCGCGAAATTATTGCTTTTCACATACTTTGGCTATTTTTTTCCTTCAGTTTTTGTTCCTATGCCCATAAAATTCAGATTTTCAAAACTGCTGAACATGTATTCTCTTCATTTTTTAGAAATATCTAACTCCAAATAGCAGTGATCCATTCTGCTGTGATCGGCCAGTTCCATTGTCAGTTTCCAATGATGGATTTTGATCTTTTGCAAGTAAAACAGTTTCTATTTGTGTCTAATTCAAACACATTCGTACCTTATTGAAGATACTTATGTCCCGAGCTTTTAAAGGTTCACATTCAATTTCCTGGTTTGGGCAAAAAGTGAGTATAATGGACAGCTCAGAATGTGTGAGCACAAGTTATTTGTATGTACACCCCATTTGACATTACTGAAAAAGAAGCGTAAACGATGAAACCAACTGCGGAAGTTGGTACATGTGACAAGATGAATACCCGGTAGTCTAAATTAACTTTCAGAATTGGTGATTGAAAGCACGGTGGCCCTAATAGTTAAGAGAACCTTTTTAATTTTGTTTTGTTTTGGCCATTCTGTATAAGGATGTTTTCGCTCTCTCATTATTTGGATTGAACCTATTCTTTGATTACAAACATATTTCACATAATTTACTTGTATACATGTATATGAGTTTCACCCTCATTGATTGTAACATAAATGTACATAGCGTTCATTTATTTCTCATATATAATTAAACATTTATGAAAAACGTGTGTGTGTCAAGTTGTATAGTTTTGGGAAGATTTTTTTTTGGATAAAAGAGTTCATTTGAAGGAGATGTTATCCGTCCAGAAATTCTGCCGTTTCAAATTATTATGCTGTACATATAAATGTATTTTGTTTAATTACATTAAAACAATTCACGATGCATTTAAGAAGAGGTAATTAATGATGTGTAGAAAGATATTGGTATTTTTTCTTACTGAGTATTCATTTTCATGTCAATACTAAAATACTCTTATTGGTTGTCGAAATAAAATAATGTGGTCATGTACGTTACCTTTGTACAATAGCTTAAGCTGCTTTTTATTCTGTAAGTTAAAATCTGGTGATCGAAGCGAAAATAATAAGTTTGAAAGTACCCAAGAGCGATCAAGGAATTCAGGACAGTCTGTCCGGCGGCACATCGTTATGTCGATTTGTGATATAAGTGCCTCTCTTAGCTGTTCACCTCCTGATGACGAACACTATTCGAAACGTCGAGTTAAACCAACTGTTCTTCTCAGAGCAACACAACTTAAAACAGATATTCACATGGTGTTACTGCAAAACTTCCATTCTTTGTTCATATCCACCATGCAAACCTTTATATGTCTCATTTTCTGTATCTGTTTATTTTTGGCATATCATATTCAATATGTACTGTCCGTGCTTTATTAAGTCTCGCCCTGAAAAATAGAACGACGAATATCGGCCCTAGTTTCCAAATTTCGAATCGGTAGGCCTACGGCCAGACAAGTACTACGTTCCTCCAGGGTATATTGATGATTTCCCCCTCCCTTATCAGAATCGATGATGCAGGGAAGGGGAACCAGTCAACTTGCAAGCCTGATATGATTGTACGCAAAAGAGCAATCCTGCTGCAGACGCTCAAAATTGAAGAAGAAAAATTAATACAAGAAGTAAGTTGAAAATTGGTCAGCAGAAAACATATCGAATTCGTCTATGGGCAAAGATATATAGTACTACGTGTCAAAACAGCAGAAGACATGTCCTACTTTTGTTCTCTTTAACTACATGTTGTTTAATAACGGAATTAAACCAACATTTTAGATCATGATAACAAGACATGACAAAAATGATGGAGCGAGTTTCATCAGCTTTGTGCAAGAGGATGAGATTTAAAAGCCATACGAAAAAAATACTTCATCGTTTCTTTTTGGACACATAGTACATGTACATCTTTAATACAGGTTTAACAGTACAACCTGGTATCCTATAAAAAAAAAAAAAAAACCCAAAAAAGATCATAGTTAACCTCCGTTTGATCCGTATATATTCAACTCAGTCGATGCATCTTCCTGAGAATGTCAACATGTAATGCTGTGCAAATTGTTTAACAAGTACAATACAAGTGACCTCAAATAATCGTAGGGAAAACTCCATCAAATTACTGGAAACTAACGAATATTAATGCTGAAGTACGGGCTGATGAAATCCTGACCAGGCCGCAGTTGGTCGCCCCGACGGAGGATATACTAATGGGGGAGGTTTAAGGGTCTAAACCTCATTGTGTGACACAAAATAGGGAAGTTGCCGTTCAGAAAACAACAACAAATGCTGACACCCCCCCCCCCTTCTACTTGGCAGCTAAACCCCCTCTTGATCCAAACCTGGATCCTCCCGGCCCTTCTGATGCCTATGGTAGCGTTACTGTCAGCTGACGTAACAATTCAATTATTTTTCTTGAAACGCGAGCGCACGCAGACGCGCGCACAGGCTTAAATAGCAACATACGTTAAAAAAACACCCTGGGTAGTAACTACGTCCATTGTTTCAAGTTGACGTCACAATTACGACGCACATGCAGTATCCACTTCTACGACGTTCGTCAACAAACACATCAGAACCCTTTTTGATCTCATCGAGCGAGGTTTACCTACTTGATTGGATTGCGATTTTACTGAGCTTTTTGCACCATCTACCCGACAATAATATAGAATGTTATTGTTGAAGCAACTTCCCGTTTGGATTGTTGTAATCATGACCGTTGGCTTGTTGACGGGGCTGATGACCAGTGAAGTGTTGGAGATTCCACCCTCAACACCCACCTACCAAGCCACCGGTATGCCTGACCTGCGTCTGGAGACCGCAACCGGTAAGACGCTCATTTCACCTGCGTCATCTGAAGACCATCTTGCGTTGCCATCTCCTGGCCTGCCTCCTACATCGAGGCCACTGATCCCACTGGAATTCTTCCCTGCCGGCATCGACAACCTTTCTCAAGTCCACTGGCGAGAGCTGTCATCTGATGACACTTGCTGCGAGGTAGCATCATCACCCGCCGCCAATCTTGAGACGAGTATGCCAGCAGACCTGGTACCGGGATGCTTCCCCAAGACCAGACCATCACTGACCGTTGACCTGTCTACCGACCATCATATGACAGCCTCTTCATCGATCAGTCTTCCTCCCGTATGGATCACTCCTGATCCTATGGGTGGATCACCTGTCGAGCCAAACCAAGTTTCCGAGGGAGTATCGACGTTTGTTGATGACAACTGTGCAAACGTAACACGGATTCCTGACGAACTTGTGTGCTCCAGCAAACCATGCCCGACCATCGGCGTGTATCCGGGGTCCTGCCTGGGGACCACCAGTGCTCCAAATGAACCTATCTTATCCGACGGAGCACCTGCTGAAAACCATCTCACTTCATGGAAATTTGCCCTGCATCCGAGTAGCAGCTGCGAATGGAAAACTTCACCCTTCCAGCCTGAAGTACCTTCAGCAGAACCGGGGATAGGTTCACCTCTGATCAACATCACCACCAAGCAGACCTGCGGTTTACTCCGTGGGACTGTGCAGACAGTGACATTCTCCAATAGAAATGTCGCCATGAGTTGGATCGCCGAGCGAGGCCAGCGGGCTTTCAACATCTTGAGCCACGTGTCCATGATGTCCAGCTTCCTTGGATTCCTCCTGCTGTTGTTTCAACTCCTCCAAAAAGGCCATCGCTTCCAATCCCGGAAGACTCCACGACCTCATCACTGCGCTAACAGTCAGCGGTTCCACCTTGCTGATTTTCCCGTTCAGTTGATGAATCGTCTCTGGGGTAAGATGCGGGCCACGATCTTGCCAATCCGCACGACTCTCCTCCTTCTGGTGCTCCCAGTCATCTTCCTGCCAACTGCTGGAGTTTCTGTGCTGGCGTGGATCGTTTTGCTTCTTTGGGACGCCACCGGTAGTCGATATCCTACCATCACATCGTCAGGCATCATCACCGGCCTGAAGAACCAGCTGGTGAACTTCGTCCCATCACCGCTGAGATCCTGCTGCTTTAGATCAAGGCTACCGTGGAGTCATCACATCGGTGCTTTGCAGGTACTGGTGGGGTTGTGGTTCCTGGTCCACCTGATGGAACCACATCGTCTCATCACGGCTAACTTGGCTGTGACCAGCTGCTTTCTCATCATCGCCTACTACATCGGTATCTGGATATTGTTCCAGAATAAGATGAGGACGCAGATAACTTTAAAGAAAACTGGTGAGTTGAACTTTTTTTGTTTGGACATGAATGGTAAATCATCACTAAGCAACTTCAACGAGGTTTTCAGTTTAGACCTTTCGTTGCTTTTATTATGACCAACAACGAATTCTTTCATGTCCATATCCTTGATCATAATGATAGTAAGACTTTTATTGGCAGGTTTTATTAGCATACTTTCTACGTAAACTATCAAGAAAATATCAAGTAAATAGAGAAGAATGCTTTATAGACATGTTTGAAGAGAGAGTGTAAATAAAAATGACCAAAACAAAAACAACCGCTAGAGGAAAAATCCGACATAAGCAAATGACGAGTAAAAAGGAAAAGGTATCCAGTAGAGTAATGTAGGTGTGAGATGTTAACATTTAGACATGGACACTCAAACAGATTCTTTCGCACTTATTGCGGCTATTCTCGTTGATTTTGTGCAATTCCGAATCTCTCCTGTAGAAAAGTCATCTGCAATCAGTTGGTATCTGTTCATTTCCAATAGATGCTCCGTCTTCGTTTACGTCAGCCATCGTCGTCAATGAAAACCCTAACCAGACGGACACGGTGACGAAACAAGCGCTATCGGCACAACATCACCATTGTTGTGGTAAGTGCCAACGCAGTGTCGATTACATTTCAAAATTTCAAAACATGAGGCTGAAGTCTTTAAAACAGTTCATCTAGAAAAGTTCATCTGTATTGTAAAACATGAATAAGAAGGTTGATATTTTCCAATCCAAAAATAAGTGTAAATTTAACTACTCAGCTAGGAGCTTCGTCAGACTGGCAACTGTGACTCAACTGCTTTTTATACCCTTTCTTGGTCGTCATAGAGGCCGTTTTGGGCGTGGTTTGGACTAGTTTTTCATAGATGTAATGAGCTTGTGTGCCCCGTCGTCTTTATTGAGAATGGTCTCCCCCTGCGTCTGATCCATTTTGACCTCATTGAGCTGCCATCTTTTTGTCAGGTTCTCTTAGACTGGTTCCTAGACCAAAAAAAACGGACTATTCCTTATGAATCTTAGGTCAGGTAGCCGTCAGTAATACATTGTTTTAAAAATAAGATCACGTGACTAAAATGGGAGGAATTCCTCCTTTTTCCGAAAATGTCCGAAGTTTGCCGAATTCATTCCGTCGACAATCGGATAACTGATAATTGCCTATTAAAAACTAAAAAAAAACGAGTTGATAATTAATCTACGATGCTTATATTCAAAAAACTTGAAATTCAACAACGATTTTGTACTCGGATCGTATACGAGGGACGAACTTTTGCTGCGTCATGTACTATTTTGAATTGACGACCGTTACCGGCATTTTTGCCAAAACTCGGCGTGGTCTTCATTTGGCTTCGCCTGCTAACAGTGCTATTTGGGTGCCTAACTTTGAACATTCCAGGTCAACACTAGTCAATGTTTTCTTACAAAAATATCAAACTGTATTATCATAACTGTACGATATTATGAAGCAAGTGAGTTATTAAAAAATTTGATCGAAACATTAAAAGCTATAAGTGATAAAGCGAGTTCGGAAACGAAGCCGGGTTTTTAAAAAGGGCCGTCCATGTCGTCATGTTTATTTTTAGCCACGGAGGCTGTCGGACCTAGAATTTAGACGTGAGCGTCGGGAATAATTGTCAGGTCTGGGAACCAGACTAAGGTTGTCTTTCAATCACCATGGCATTGTCCTATTTTTAATTTAATGGCTCAGGGAGGTCATGTGGATCAGGCGCGGGGGGGGGGGGGGGGGACATTCTCAATAAAGACGACGGGGCATACAAGCTCATAACATCTATGAACAACAAGTCCAAACCACGCCCACAACAAAAACGCCCTCGATGATGTCCAAAAAAGGTGTACTGAAACGCAGTTGAGCATTGGACATGGTTGCCGGTTTGTCAAAGCTCCTCGCTTAGGAGTGAAACGTAACTAATAATATGTGAGAAACATCTACACTTGTCTTATTTTTGGATTGGAAAAAACGAACTTCCAAATTCACGGGGCTGTAGTGCTACAGGAGATAAAATGTATAATGGGAAGTGATAGGTATGTGGTAGGTGAAGAAGATAAAATAAGTTTAAAAAACTACCACTTTCAATTTTTTTTTCCTGCTCAGCTGTAAAGCGCAATTAAGAAATGTTTTACAAGCACGATATCAAATCTGGAACACGTTAAGATGTTAATGCGGAATCGAAAGCAATTGTATTCTGCCTATAAAATAGAATGGACGCTCACACAATGTCTAAATCATAAGGGTGCATGAGCTCAAACCCACCCTCTGCCATTGCGATTCCTCTACCCAGCTGTTAAATAAAAACAATTAAAGACGCTTTTTATTTTCCAAGTCTTTGTATCTGTTGCAAAAAAAATAATACTTGAATTCTGAACATGCTTTAAATTAGCATTCTACCACAGAAATGACCGATAGAAGGAAACTTATGCATCAAACAAAATGGCGGACAGTATTGTTTTGTGCAGTGTTACAGAAATCAAAATAGGCTTTGCATTTTTGTCGTCAATTTAAAAAGCTTCGGCTTGGTCAGGCACCGTCTCTGCAGATAGTCGTCCAGTAATAGGGGTGCACACTACCCAAACCTGAAACTTAGTGCGCGCGAGCTCATTAATATTTGTGATCCTACATGTAATTTTGAATAAGAGGTCATTGCGGCCTATCCTTTGGGAACTTTGTAGAACATTTTCTGGAGATCAAGCATTTGTGACTTGTGGCTGTCAACTTGGGGGATTTCGTTCACAAAAAACCTTAACCTGTGGACCTATTTCGCATAGAGGCGGGGGGGGGGAGGGCTACATTTAGACTTTGGCCTACAGATTGGCAACCATTTTAGGGGCGCTTTGGGGAGGGGAATATCAAACAAGATTGACCCGGTTACCACTAATAAAATTGAAAAGAAAAATGTCCTGGGGGTCACAATCCTTAATTTCCAGGGGAAAAAACCTCACCACCTTGCTCCTTTGGAGCGTCATATCACCAGGTGGCGCTGCCTCTGTCCGATTTGCGTTGTTTTCTATGAGCGCGTATTTGGTGTATCGGAACGTGAAATGCACACATTAAGTTTTAGTTATTCTCAAATGTATTTTCTTATATCATAATCTATCGACAATACCATGTCGCGAAATGCGACATGGTACACCTCCCGTCCTCCTTGATCGTTATAATGTAAAGGGGGAAATCACAATCACCCCTGTCTATATGTGCTCGTTTGATTCATCACTGAATGTTACGTTCTCATCTCATGCACCTTTCTTTCGTCTCCATCTACAGATATCCATGAGTCAAACTTCCTGCCCGAATCTTCTTATCCCAACCGCAACAACTCCAACAATGTGCGAGGGAAGAAATCACAGGGGCGGAGATACCGTGGTCACTCTGTGGGCCATCGCCATGGTAACGAGGAAGAAGTTGACATGGAAACTGATGAAACAGACTGGGAAGAAGACATGGAGACGGATATGGATGCGCGTGAAGACAAAGTCATGGAAGTTCACTACGACGACACAGGTTCCATGGAGATAGATGACGTAGACGTGGCTAACATGGAGGTTGATTACGATGATTGTGATGCTGCTGAAATTGCCATGGAGATTGATGATGAAGATGACATGGTTATGGATGTCGATCTGCGTAAGGAGGAAATCATGGACTGGGAGGAGTTGTTGAGGATTCGTGGAGGATGGGATAGCACGGGATTCGAGATTGAGCCAGACCATATCTTCATCAGACAACCAATGTATAAAACCTGGAGCTGTGTCGATGTGAAGACTGAGCCCATGGACTGGGAGGAAAACATAACCAAAGCAGGCTGGAAGTGGCTGAATTTTTCCTTCCGACTGAGTGAGAATACCTCCCAAGCACCAGCAGCATCTCCACTCACAGCATCAAACACGCCACACAGTCTGCCTCCTGATACCACACCACCAACAACACCACCAACACCACCACCACCACCGCCGCCGTCGCCGCTACCTCCTCTTGTAAACGGTACACCATCACATTATCAATCACTAACTGCAGTCGACGTGAATGGATCTCTTACAAGTGCGGGTGATTGCAGACAATCTGACCGAAATCTTCAGACACCGGGTCTTAATCCAGGAGGACCCAATGCTTTAGGAGACCACACCGGATCGACACAAAAAGGACCCCGTAAAAGAAGAGCTCGCTTGGCGAGGAGAGCAACGCATACGATCCTCAGAGTGGTAATACAACATAGACGCAAACGTTGCCGACGTGGAAGCCATAAACGACGACTGGAACTGAGACATTTGGCCTCCTGGTGTGGACTTACTACTCGCGAAGCAGCACGGGCAAGGCGAGGAGAGAAGGTCTCAGGAGGAATTACATTGGCAAGACTCCGAATCAGACAGGATCATGAGACCTCCAAACTCATCAAAGCGTTTACAAAACTCAGACGGACAGACTGCGACATCAAATCCTCCTCAGATGCGCAACTGACATCCAGTGCCTTGGACGAGACGAGAAATATAAGGACGGCACAAAGCGTACCAGAATGCAGTGTGATGGAGAAGCCTCAACGAGAGCTATCAATGAAATTGAACTCAATCCAACCTGCATCTACTGGAAATGTTCTTGAGGAAAATACACCAGAGGCGAATGAACTTGATCCACTCCAGCGGTGTTTGGCGTTATTAAACCTTGTGATTACATCAAGCCAACCTCAGGACGTAATTGGAGATGCGATCGAGCAACAACGAAGTGAGCCTCTCATCAACGAAGTAAAGCTGGCTTCAATAAATCTACACAAGTCACAGAAAACATCTCCAGCTACCGAGAAGGTGCTGGAGAATGTCAAGAAGGAAGCTTCTGAGTTTGTCGGCCCGCATCGGTGTCTGACTCTGACAGATGTTTCCATAAACCTCAGCGAACCTCAAACAACAAGTTATGACATCATTCAACATGTTGAAAGTGATGAAGCTCGTCAACTGTTTGCTGGAAACTTGACAATAGACGATGTGAATCAAGAGGAAAAACATCAGTGCTCGACCACAACCGACATTTTGATGAAACGTAGCTTACCTCGCTTCACTGATGATGGAAACGCAAACCAGCATGTTGACAGCGACATTCTTATATCCGGCTTGCACCAACCTGCCGAGAAGGCGACAGATCACGACGAGGATAATGTTGACAAAATTGTTAGCCTCCATCGTTGTGCGGCATCGATCGATGTTTCCATAAAACCGAGAACACCAGAAGCCACAAGCAATGAAGTGATAAACCAACATGACAAGGAGAAGATGTCTGAACAAAAGCTCGTGTCTCCAACTCAATTACCTGACAACGAGAAACAAAACTCCTTTGAAGGCCAGGCATCTTCAAGCTTGATGCAATCTGCGAGGGACACTAACAGTGGATTCGGACAAGCTAGATTCCCAACAAGACAAATTGACCCAATCGTATCCCTCATCAGCTTATTCATACGACTCAACTTCATTGACTCTGAAATGGCTTCGGATGTGGAATTGCCATCTCGTGGACTGGAAAAAACAGCAGGGGACGAGATGTCACGAGTTGAACCTGAAGCAGAAGAAATGCTGAGCTCACATCCAAACATGAATCAATCACAGCCTCCATGTCCACACAATGATTTCAGAATTGATGTGGACACTCTTCTCGGTCCTCAGCGGTGTTTGAAATCCACTGATATCTCCATAACACAGACAGGATCTCTGGCTGCAAATGATGACACAGTCAACCATTGTAATATAAACGACGTCTCCCAGCCTGATCCTCAAGTAGCTTGTACAGAGGACCCGACAGTAAGCGTAGCTGCGACTGATGATGACGAACCAAAAGTTGAGACATATGGAGCTGGCATAACATCTCTTGATGAACCACAATGCGGACAGCAACATGAGGACAACCAAGGAGCAACACAAAGCCATATTAACGGAGCAAACATGCACAAAATACAGAATAACACCATGCCAACCGAGGCCCTACTACCAAACGATCAAGATGTGCAGCAGATTACGACTGGTGAATTGGCCAGCCAACATGCAGTTGTAAATGGGCTATCGGTGTCAGATCGCACGGTTCCACTACAACCGGCTGAAAGTAATGTTACAGAGCTATCATGTCAGGCTCTCTCTGCAGCCGGCGGTGGGGAACTAGACAACAATACGAGTGAAGATGACGCACTTATAAGCCTTGTCCAAGGTTGGAGTTTAACAGAAAGCGACATGCCTGCGATGAGAGGACGAAATCTTGACGACGATAGAGCATTAATCACCACACAAAAAACATTTGTTGGACGCCAGCCCAATCAACATCTCACACTTTCGGAACCTCTGATCAACGCCAGCCTCATACATCCAGACCTGATGATCTGTGACGCTACAGAACGGACAGACCTACCCAGCGCTAATGAACTTCCGGACCAAATGGGAAGCATGGAAGTGAGCGACAACTTTGAACCCATGGTGACAAATCAGGGAGTGGCAATGCCCCAACAAGAACCAAACGCAGATCAACCCATTAACAACGCAACGAGCTCAAGGGTATCAGCACTGAAACTCACTCTCAAAACTACCAGACGAACATCCAACACAATAGAGCAGATTCGCACAAGGTGTAGACGGATGGCAGTTGAGCGGGCCCGGAGGCAGAGATTCGAAGCAAGGGGCATTGAAGGAAATGATGACGAGAGTGCAGATGATGAGGGCAATTTATGCCTAGTAAATCAGATGGACGCAATGACCATAAGACAACCAGGGAGCAGCGACTCAACACCAACACCACCGACTCCTCAGAGTGACATTCAAGTTCAAGAACAGGCTGAAATTATTCCTGGAGGTGCGTCACCTTCTTTGCCGGGTGTTGACGAAGTACAAGAAACAGCAGAAAGCGAGAAGGAAGAAAATACACTTGGTAACACAATACCTACTACTACGACTGGCAGTGCCACTACCAAACAATCAAGTGAGCAAGAAATCCCACTTGAAGAAACTGTCAGCAGCAGTGCAGAGGACGGAGCACATACATGTATTCCTGCACGGCCTCTCAGCACTATCGTTGGCCCACTGACCAATCAGGACAGGCCCGCTGAAGAAACTACAAACCAGTTCGCTGATGAAGAAGCAATTCAACTGACTGAACTCAATTCAAATGGCAAGGGAAGCAATGATGAAAGCGACATCACATCCAGTGTCAGAGCTTCACCCGAAAACATCTCAAGTGAACAGGTGTCATCCAAGCAATTGGAAACACTACAAGTCGAAGGCATGAGAGCAGTCCAAGAAGAGAGAATCGAAAGGGAGTTGTCGCAAGGACAATTAATGGCGCAGCTGAACTCAAATGGCAAAGGCGTCAAGGTTCCAAGACAAGAAACGACGTTCAGATACGTAAGGCCAAGTAGAAGAGCTAGCTTCACAGTGGGTCCTCAAAGAGATGACGAAGGAACTGACCCAAGAAGCGAAGGTAGCAGTGGAACCTCTCAGTCTTTGAGGTCTCAGTCCCAAATAGGCTTGCGCATTGAGAAAACACGGGAGCGGCGGAGACTACAAGCTGCAGAACGAGCAAGAGAGGCTAGGTTTAAGAACTTCAACCGGGACATTGACATTGACTCCGAGAGCGATGATGAAGTTGAGGGTGATGGAACACCCCTCGAGGATGGGAACAACAGATGCACATTTGACACTCAAATGAATGAAGCAAGTTCTACTGAAGATGTATCAGTGCAGGAAGAAGTGTCGTCGACTGATTTGAGCTCGGACAGCACCGAAAGTACAGAATCGTCAGAGGAAGATATTGGTTTGGCAATCAAAGAAGCGCGAATTGTTACACAACTTCAGCGATTGGAAGTTGACAAAGACAACAACTCAAAGCCAAACAATGATAACGGGCAACCACAAACAGGGTTACCAGGTTTCAAGGCATCAGCGAAAGAACTGCTTCTGAAGTACTCTAGACCGGCGAAGGCAACGCTAACATTCAGGGTGCCCCGGCCAAGCAGAGTTGAAAACGACAGATCACATAGCCGAGACAGAGGGAAAGAATCACAAGATATCGATCACTCATCTTCATCTGCCCTAAGTTCACGATTGACTAGATCCCGGCAGAGAAGGAGACAAGAGGCTTTGGAGCGAGCCAGACTGGCTAGGTTTCGGGCCCGAGGCATCGAGCTTGAGGATGATGACGACGACGAAATGCTCCGAAGAGACTCAGAAAACATCTCCTTGACGCAGAGGAGGATAGAGGAGCAAGCTCAGGAGAGGCAAATAATTCAGGTTGATGGAGAGTTAGAAACACAGGCCACGTCAGAAAACGACGAGATGACCATGTCCGACATGAACGATGAGAGAACTGTGCGAGAAATGAAGCCGGCCTTACCAAAGAAGGGGATACTGAAAAGGAGAACTTATCCAGATATACCATCGGTCCCTGAGCATACCAACAACCAAGACCATGCAAACACAGAGCCTCATGAACCTTGTAATGGAGCATCCAGTAACAACAACGCAACGACCAATGCTGGGACACTACTCCGCCAACTGAATAATCTCGTCGTCGGCACATCAGTTCAAAGCAAGGCAAAGCAAGTGAAACTGAACCTAGAACTGATGCCACAACTGAACTCGAATAACAAAGGACGAGTAGTTCCACCAAAAGCAGAGATTACGTTCAGATACGTCAGGCCGAAGAAGACCGTCCGGTTCCATATGACTGCACAGACTGAGGCCGGCGTGAGATACGGTGAGAATGCCGGCCGCGACAGACCATCTTTGTCATTATCACGTTACGGCACAGAGGAAGCCAGAAAGAGACGCAGGGAACTGTTCTTCCTGAGAGCCAAAGAAGCTAGATTCCGAAATAGATGCATGGATGTGTCGGATATTGACCACGATCAGTAGGACAGTTATCCTGTCTCCATCTCAACTTCCACTGAGTGTCAGTTTTTGTATTATGATAAGAACAGTCTCCAAAGAGGAAGATGGGACACAAAACGGATTGCCATTCAGCCTCCGGAGGAAAATCTCGTTATATTAATTGAAAATACTGTGACCGGTGGATTCAGGGTGGGGCAAGTAGGATATGATGCACAAAACTTTTATCTCAAATTTGAGACGAGAACAAAATAGTTTTTAAAAACGCGTCACGTCAGAATCGAGCAAATTTTCATCGCCTCTTTTCAAAGGAGAACGGGACACGCATCCCTTTGCTTTCACAATTGATCAATTGATCAGCCCCAGCCCTAATCTACTGCATGCCCCCTCCCTCCCCCTCAAAAAAAAAAAACGATTAGAAAATCTACCCTGTAGGACGTTTCTTTGTACAGTGAAATCTTGATAAGTCAAACCGCAAGGGATCGGGAACAGGTTCAAAATTGACTAATTTATAAGCAGAGTTTTGAGTTATACTGTATATACTGTATACTGAAGGGAATGGATTCTTTGATTGACTTAACAGTTGTTTTGAGTTATCAGAGTTTGACTTATCGATATTTCACTGTATTTACATAGAGGTGATTTTAAAATTGTTTTAATCAGGAAAATGACGGCAAAACAATTGAAAACAATACTGACCAAAGTGTATAACATTTCTCAGTGAAAAAGTGGTTCCTGTTTGTGAGCAGAAATTCGTTATGTTTAGGAGAGCGGGGGCAAATTGGACTACTTGAAGACGTTTAGCAACATTCCAAAATACCTACTCACCCTAAACCTCCGGCTATGAATTACAAAATAATCCAACATTGAATGTACAATAATTTGTGATATTGTCGTCGCTTTTATCTATAACACATAAGATAGGAGATTTCCAGTGATTTCCCGATGTCTTTACTATGACTTGTATGTGTATTGTGGGAGACAAGAGTAACACTTGTGATCGTGTAGTTACGGGCCCGGTTCCCTAAAAGATATCAAAATCCTCTTATACTTTGTTTTTGACTTTTCTAGTTGGCGACATTAAGAACATACACAGGGCAGGGTTTCGAATTTTGATGGAAATTTGAGGGTAAAATGATGACGCTACACCGAAAATAGAGATGGCCACCGCGATGTACAGTGAACGCGCAAGGCGCCCTGAATCGCAAAGCACCAACCGTACACCGCGTCGTAATTTTTCCCCAAGAAACTGTTTGAAATTACCCCCAAAAAGGTGTCCTTAGAATTGACAGAAGTCTGCTTTAGGTTAAAAAGGTAATTTCTGAATGATAAAAACACTTTTGATTCTAATTTGATCGAAATTGAAGAGGTGCCCGTAGCTACACGATCTCCACACTAACTTATTAAGACTACTGATGACCATGGAAAAAACTTCAACCCTTAGGCCTAATTGCAAATAATAAATGTGCGGGAGAAAAATTATGTGGGTAGACACTTAATCATACTTTTTAAAAAATAAAATCAGGTTTATGACTGATTAGGCCTATGTGAAATTTGTAGTTATGTAACGAGTACATTTTAAATACTTCGAAATGAAATTTTGGAAAATGAGGGAATTCAAAACAAAACCATAGATTACATAAAAGACTTTACTTCCAAATAATGAACAGGAAAATACGGATTTAGTTAAGTTATTAATCTAATCATGATAAGTGTTAAAATTCGGGTTTCACGACCTGGTTATGTTGAATTTGCAATTTTTGTAATACATAAACTGTATAGTTAGAAATGAATAGTATGGAAAATGATGAAATTCAAAATAAAATCACAGATTCAATGTAAAAACCAAAAGTTAACTGTGAAGTTATCGTTCCCCGATTTGGTTTTATTTGTTCATAAAGAAACTGGAACCTCAAAGAAAAAAATTATAGTAAGCATGTGACATTTTGAAAAGTTGTGCACGACTCAGTGGCCTCAATTTTTTTAAGACTTCACGCTTTAAAAGAGCAAGTAGGGAACTATCACCTCACGTTTTGATATCATGAGGACTTTCAAATTCTCACTATTTACTAGGCCTATCTTTCCTTCAAGCCCCAACTTAAGTTTTCTTCGGGCCACTTCGCTCTGGGCGATTAATGATAGGGATATTTCTGACTCGGAGCCTTTAGGCCAAAAAAAGTCTCCGGTTTCTGGTATGGAGCTTGCCCCAAAAGTGGTGCGGCGACGCGGCTTTTTTTTTTTGGACTTTTTTTTCTTCAAATGTCGGCTGATGACTGCAAATGGTGCCAGACTAAGTTTAGTGCAAAACATATGGGAGTCCAGAGAGGCTACATAAAGCTTATACTCGATCGTAACCCCATCTTAAAACACGTTGAAATTGTGCAGCAGCAGGATTCCAGTCAAACCAGTGAGTTTGGCGGTTTGGAGACATCATCTCACATTGAAAACAAAACTTTTTCATTTTGCCGACGCGCATGGCTACGGCGACGCGCGCGCATATCAGAAACCGGAGACTTTTTTTGGCCTTAGAGAAACAATAATTATGCCAATGTGAGGTCGACCGTATGTATGGTATGAAATCCCTTGTACATAATATGAGTATTTGAAACACTGTGTGATAATGCTGATCTAACTTTTGACACAAGACACAAGAAAACAAATTAGTTGCAATTTCCAGATTGCTTAAATTGCAGACCGTTTTATTTTCTAACCGAACTTTCAAAACGCAGGAGGAACATGCGAAACGAAGTTGAAGGTAAAAACAAACACAGAATGGATCTTTAACATTAAAATTGTGAAGCTGTGTGAGATTCATTAAACATAGCTTGGAAACAAAACATCTGGAAAAAGAAAACAATGAAATAGTTTGGAACTAGACACATTTTTTAGAGCTGATCTTTTAGGAACGATGTAAACAATGTTACAAATTTTCAAAACCTGTTATTAGCTTTAAATTAAAGTCTTAAAAAAAAACAAGCAAGCGTAAAAGAAAACAAAAAAGTGGGACATGAATGCAAGATCAATTTTATTTGAGAAATGTACATAATTGAAGAAAAGCTAAAAAGATTTTCAGAGAAAAAGAACTTAAGTGCGATTTTTACACCGGATAGGGAACATTTTTTTCCCCGAAGTGTGGAGATTAATCCAAACGTCTGTTGTTGTTTGTTTTACACTTGAGGCGACCTAGATCTTGTTTACTCTACCAAATATCTCTTTTGCATATAATTCGCTTGTCTCGTTTGCCCTATAGACCCTCGATTACAAATGTCGGTCTGGTTTCTGACGTTCTATAGTCCCGAATCGGGCAGGCCAAGGCAACGGGCCGAACTGGAAAACACATTTCACAGAAAAGCCGCAAAATGCAGTGCTAAATGCAGCTAGGGTTTAAACCACTGGAAAACGGCTGCTACCCCCAACCCGCAAAAAAAAGCAAAAAGAATTCACATCATCACGAACACATTTGAAAGGATATTTCGTAAGACGTCCTTCAAACATTCAACATGATGGAACAAGTTTGAAAATATTGTATCAAAATGCGTTTTAGACTCTTTAGATACAAATAATGGGGTCTGAGAGAGGATGTTTAAAAATGTATGATTTTTTTTCTAATCTTCTTACATGATGCACGTTTTGATAAACCCCGTTCCCATCTTTACTCCGGCTCCGTCGTCGAACACATAAACTGGTTCCCGTAGCATATGTGCATCTAATATTTTAAAAAGAAGTGACTCGAGACTTGACTTAAAAAAAATGACTTGGGACTTGACTTGACTTGTGAAACATTGACTGGAGACTCTACTTGACTTGGAAAACAATTGCCTTGAGACTTGACTTGACTTGCTGAAATTTGACTTGGGACTTACGGAAGAGTTAAAGGGCATAATACAGACTAAAAAAGAAGATTAAATCATAATTATGACTTATATCTCATAATTATGACTTATTATTAAGTCATAGTTATGACTTATATGTTATAATAATGACTTAGTATTAAGTTATTATTATGAGATATCCTAAGTCATAATTACGACTTAATACTCAGTCTGAGAATAAGAATTATGACTGAGTATAAGAATTATAACTTAATGATAAGTCATTATTATAAGATATGTCATAAATATGACTTAATAATAAGTCATAAATATGAGATATAAGTCATAATTATGATTTAGCAATTACTAAGTCGTAATTATGAGATATGTATCATAATTATTACTTAATACTAAGTCATTATTATAAGATATAAGTCATGACTTATTTTTTTTTTTTTAGTTTGTCTTATGTCCCTTTAACGCTTCCGTAGGGACTTGACTTGGAAAAAAATGACTTGGTTAATACAACTCTGCATTATTAAACAAGACCACCTGCTAAACTAGTGAACAGTGTATACACTATGACCGTTTTCAATTTAATAATTGTTCAGACATCTCACTCACATGGCCGTCGCGAGGGGGGGGGGGGGGGCAAGGGGGGCACTTGCCCCCCCCCCCCGGAAAAGCCAAAAAAAAAAAAAAAAAAAAAAAAAAGAGGCGCGAAGACAAAGTGGTGTAAATTTAATGAGTTGGGGGGGGGGCAAAATGTCCCTGCCCCCCTCTAAAACTGATAAATCGAGAATGTGTTGAGAAATACAAGCATTTTTTGGCCCCCCAAAAATGTGCCCCCCTCTAGAAAAAAATCCTGGCGACGCCCATGCTCACTCAGTGGCTAAACGATACGCTCTCAGCTCTGAATGAAGAAAAGTCAAATCATTCTACAAGTGGACTCCATATACGCTCCGTCAATCCATAGTAGCGGCATGTACTAGAACTATAAGCAACTATAGGCTCAGTACAGGTTAAACCATTGCTATGACGTCACACTATTGTTAAAACTGTGGATTCGGATCTACGAATCTCTTACACTGGTCACAAAGTGTGGATTCGGAACGAAGAATCTTTCGTAAAGTGTGGATTCGGAATTACGAATCCACACTTTGAACATGTCGGACAATTGTTCCCCATAATGAGCCTGAATAGGACCGTCTGCGTGAAAATTTGTTTTCCGAAAATTACCAATGCATCTTCACTGTCACATTCGCCGCCGTCACTGCAAAAACTACTTTAAATCAGAAAGAAATCGTCGTCTGAACTATCCATTTTGTCGTAAGGAGCCTATACACACAAAATGGCTTGGTTGTACGGGTGTGGCGATACACATGCTAAACATGCCAGGGACAAATGTTGCAACCTGACGCCACTTCCGCACTTGTGTACGAAGTGTATGGAGAGTCATTTCAAGTATTTCCTAACAAAATTTGAAACATTTCTCAGTCCCAGATTCATGTATTATCATCATTTTTGCAACGAATGACCTTCATTGAGATGATATATGAAGCAAAAAGTGGCGTCAGGTTGCAGCATTCTTTCCAATACTTCTGTTGACGCAATGGTTTAAGTCGAAGAATACACTCGCAAGTGTGGATTCTTAATTTACGAATTCACTCGGCGCTTCGCGCCTCGTGAATTCTTAAATTACGAATCCACACTTTCTCGTGTATTCTCCTTAACAGACACAATTATGTGGCTCGGAGTAATTGCTGCGAAGAACATTTTGTGTGGTTATCATTTTCACAAAGCTTAAATGGATTTGCCCATTTGTCATTGCCCATAGTGCACTTGCAGGAATATGGAAAAGTAATATGTCATCGGCCACTTTTTCCAAGCCGCATATATGACTTATTATAAGTAGAAACCGTATTTCGAACAATTTCCAATGGTCCCCTTACCGTGAACCCTTGTTTATTATTTTTCAACTTAGGAAACCCAAATGTTTAATAAACGTTTGATTGTCATAATAGAAGAAAACCCTGTGTGAACCCTACCCTTTCCGACCCAAATAAATAAGTATACAATGAATGTTGACAGTCAACATTCATTATTATCGCACAGGATCACCGCACAAGATGAAACACGGCGTTACATACGCCAGACTTCAAATCAAATATACATGTATACAACAGATTTTGGCAGTCAACAGCTAATTTTCACCCATGATCATCTGCACAAGATAAACATGGGGTCACGCACGCCAGATAAGCGGAAATGACGATCAGCTGGTGTTCAAATAAAGCAGGTACCAGGGATTAACTTTGATACCCTGGAACCTTGCAGAGCCAGCTTTAAACCAGACAGTCATTGCGCTCAACAGTCAGTTGCTGTCTAGGGTACGGAAGGCCAGGAGAAACTCTGGAAACAAGTCCGGACCCGACACTCGCGGTCGGCTTTCGGTTGAAAAGCTAGAAACACGTTTTTCTTTTTTTTTTGTATGGGAGTCGTTGGTGCATTGTTTTGTCTACTACGGCTTAAAGAGAGGAACTCCGTCGAAATGAAGTTTCTTGTCATCTTACTGGTCCTACCGGCGGTACTTGCCGGTGGTGATATAGAACAACGTAAGTACGCTACTAGAACTTTCGGAAACTGTTGCCTAGGCTATCGGCTATAGGTCCTTTGCTATGTTAAGTGGAAAGAGTATTGCATTTGCATTATGCGCTCCAATAAAATATTGGCAACCTTCCTCCATGGTCACACGACGTTACAAACTAAGTCTTCGTTTGGCAAGTGTATCCTTAGGCCTAATTTCTTTTATTTGAGAATGCCGTGCTAAAGCAAGGTAGGGAGTTGTTTTCTGTATGTGTAGGCCTAAATTCAAGCCGAAATGTCCATCATCACGAACTGACTTTTGGGTTTTGTTTTTATTGGGCTCAGCTGAACATTATGGCCTACTTCAAGTAATCGAATTATGACCAATCTTGACTTATTCGAAATATGAGCAATCTTGACACGGACTTACCCATCCATGAGGAGGGGTGAGGTTCGTTCGTTGAAGCACTCCTCTCTGGTTTAGCTGGAGTCGCACCGACGGATTTACACCGATGTCGGCACTCACTACAAAAACAGGGTGATTACAAAAAAAGGAAACCCAAATGGTTCCTCCTATTTTTAAAAAATGTCTGCATGTAGTGTTTTCCAAACCTGGGATAATGATCAAGTCCAATCATGGTCCAATTAATAAGCTTTCAGTGAAAGAATCATTCAAATCGCTCATGTACTTTTCTAGAATTTTGAACACAAACACCGTTTTTTAAAACCTTGTCCGCGGATCACATTTAAGTTATACGTTCTATTTCAGTAAAAATAAAACCATGTTCAACTAAAATGATATCAGAATAATCCCATAAGTCTCTGGGGTAGCCAAGTAGAACGCAGGGCAAGACTGTAAACCTTTTGACATTGTAAAACATGTTATTTTAACACTGTAAGCAGCAGCTTTTTAATGTAAGTGCCAGTTATCATGGTTATGAGAGTGTTTTTATGTAAACATTATTAGTTCTGCTGAAATATCACTTTAAATTATCTTTATTGCGAACCGTGGACAAAATGGGAAAAAAAACGGTGTTTGTGTTCAAAATTCCATAACTGGAAAAGTACATGAGCCGGGAATGATTCTTACGCCAAAAGAAAGCTTAAGGCTTTTATATTCTTGAGTCTGGAAAGCGCTATATACATGCAGAACTTCTTTTTAAAAAAATTGGGGGCACCCGGCCATTTGGGTTTCCATTTTTCCAGTCCCAGTTTCCAGTCCGAGTCCATGTCCTCAGTGTGTAGCCCGAGTCTGATTCCCGAGTCATTCAAGTCGGGTGGAGTCCGGGTCACGGACGCGGAATGTCGAGTCCGAGACACGACTAAAAGACATGTAAAACCTCATCGGTGGACGTGAGTATAGCTCGCCCGGTTCGACTCGGGTAAAGGCAGACGGGTAAGCCAAGATAGACATCCGGGCTAATCGAACGCTCAACCGCTGGCCGCTCGCGATCCTATGGGTGCAGACCAGTAAATCGGTCCGAAATTGCCTACGCCGGCCAAATCACGATTTGCATGCCCTCAAAATCTTCAGTATTTGAGCATGCTGTGGGCCATGAACTTGAGGGTTTGTAAAAAATATGGGTGGAAGCCGTGCACAGGACTGGGAGCTTGCAGTTCTGTGTAATTTGGATGTAATTTGGACCCTAAAAGCGCTCTATTTTGCAATGGAGTGTAGGCATCGTTTTTCAAAATGGCGATGGGCTTCAGGACTATTTTCAGGGGTGATCGTCTTCAGATGGAAATTTCTCCTAAAAGTCATCAGTTGACCCCCCAAAAATTGAAAAGAAAATGAAAGATGATGAAATAAGCTTTAATTTGATGTGTGTCTTGAACACCTTGGAGAGTTGTGAGTATTTTTTCCGAATTTTTGAAGTGGGAGCATTTTTTCATTGGGGTCTATGGAAGTTTATTTACTGGTCTGCTACCCTATGTCAGAAGCTGCGGCCGCCACTGACAAAATGCCCGTTTCGTTCTGGGTCTTAAATTGAGATTTACTCAGTGGTTTTTTTTTCAGTCAGTTGCATAACTCAAAAAGGTTGGGCTGGATTTTGAAGCTTCTAAATTCGCAATGATTACCTATAGTCTTTAAATAAAGTTGATTTTTGGGTCTACTTGACATCCTATTGTCCGCGGCCGCTGTAAAGTCTGAGTCCGAGTCAGTAGTTATAGTGATTCGAGTCCGAGTCAGAGTCGCCAAATATGCGACTCGAGTCAAGTCACTACATCTCTGTCTGTGGTTGTCCTCTCCACTTAAAGTTGGCCACTTTGTGGGAGATCGAGACATGTGACCACACTCTTCCATTTGCTCGTACCCACCGCCCTGCAAACAGGGCGCTGGGTATGGCGTGTTAAACGTTGCAATATTCAATGTTTTACAATATATATGTTGGATGTTCAATATGTGTGTGTTATCTTTTATATTTATGTGCGATGTTCAATATAAGTGTGCGATGTTTTTCATTATGTGTGCGATGTTTAATATATGAGTGCGATGTTTTACAATATATGTGCGATGTTAAATATATGTGTGCGATGTTTTACATTATTTTATGTGCGATTTTCAATTTATATGTGCGATGTTTGACGATATATATGTGCGATGTTTTCAATATTATGCTCGAAGTTTTACATTAAATGTGCGATGGTTTTTCGATACAATTGTGTGTGATGTCTACAATATATTTGCGATATTCTTAAATATGTGAGCGATGTTTTAAAAATATATGTTTTACATTTCGAGCAATAGGTATTCGATGTTTCATCGGTATATTTGTATTCGATCTAGATCATTTGCAATATGCATTTGATGTTTCACTTTTCATTTGATTTTTCACTTTTCATTTGATTTTCGTTAAGAGTCACAGTCTGGTTACTAGACCGCGAAAGTCTGACTATTTTGCCTAAAGTCAGTGCACGAGACGTCAGGGGATCGCGTAAGTGATTAGAGCCAGACCTAAACGGTAAAAACCGGAATTGTGGGTAATCTTGGATCATGTGCAAAGCAGTCGTCATTGTTTGGGTAGTACCGCCAGCTGCATGTGTTCGTAATTTGGATGTTTATGATGTTAGCATGGCGCTATAAAAACCAATCTGCGCAGTACCGGTGTCACGGTCTCACTTCTCCGGCGTGCTAGCTTCTCCGCAGAGGGAAATTTCGCCTAAACACGCATGCGCAAGTTGCGAAGTAGTGTACATTTCGCTGGGTTGTACGGGTGCACGTGAGATCTTTGGATATCTGTATGTACAAATGTATACGTTATAAGGTACCAGTCAAATCCAGAATTTTCGTGGCGCGCGGAACTCCCAATACTGTACATGTAAAGATGTGAAGGATACACATGGTTGCAAAAATAAAGACAACCACGAACGAGCAAGGAACACAGACCTTTCACAGACCAAGAAGCCATGCACAGACTAAGGAGTTCGTTCTTAATTATTCTTCAATACACACACGTACACACCCACGCTGTTGCAAGACACTCCAAAATACTAAAGTCCTCTTTAAGCTAGACCCACAGGAAGTGTTACATAACACATTCTTGGGTGGACTTGGTAGACTCCATAGCACCGCCCGAGGAAAAGTAAGCACAGCGGACTCATGAGCATGTATCGTGCTCATGTAACGTGCACTGTAACGTGCTCAATTATCCGCCGCATTCACCCGGAGAATCCAGCACGCCGGAGAAGCGAGACCGTGACACCGGGTGCAGTTTATTCATCGTAATTCTCGAATAAACAGCCCAACGAGTGTTGTATAAACAAGAGATATTAGGGGTGAACCTTGTATATTTAGCAAAATTTGTCAATATCAGATTTGTATGAAAAATCTAAAATTGTAACCTTGCTTTTTTAGCAAAATTTGGTGCATATTTTACTAAAATTTGGCAAAATCAGATGTTGCTCAAAAATTCCAGATGTAATAGATTAACCTTACTTTTTTTGTAACATTGGGCAAAATTAGATGTTGATGAAAAAATTCAAATTGTAAGGGGTTAACCTTGCATTTTTTGGAAAATCGGGAAAAAATCAGATGTTTCTCAAAAATTCCAGATGTAATAGATTAACCTTACTTTTTTTGGAAAATCGGGAAAAATCAGATGTTTCTGGAAAATTGCCGATTGTATGGGGCTTGATGTTTATGAAACATTTCAAATTGTAAGGGGTGAACATTGCATATTTTAGCGAAATTGGGCAAAATCAGATGTTTCCGAAAAATTTCAGATGTAAGGGATTAACCTTGCTTTTTTAGTGAAATTTTGCAAAGTTAGATGTTTATGAAAAATTTCGAATTGAAAGGGGTTGACCTCGCATTTTTTTTAAAGCGAAAATGGGAAAAAATCAAATGTTTCTGGAAAATTGCAAATTGTAAGGGGTTAACCTTGCTTTTTGAATAAGATTGGGAAAAATTAGATGTTCATGAAAAAAATTCAAATTGTAAGGGGTTAACCTTGCATTTTTTTTAGCAAAATAGGACACAATCAGATGATTCTGGAAAATTGCAGATTGTTAGGGCTTAACCTTGTATTTCTAGCAAAATTGGGCAAAAAGAAATGTTTATGAAAAAAATAAATTGTTAGAGGTGTACCTTGTATATTTAGTAAAATTTGGAAAAATCAGATTTGTATGAAAAATCTAAAATGGTAAGGGGTTAACCTTGCTTTTTTAGCAAAATTTTACTAAAATTTGGCAAAATCAGATGCTTCTAAAAAAATCCAGATGTAAAGTTTCCGCAAAAACAGCTGTTGAAAAAGAGCCCAATGTTGAACTTTACTGAGTCTGAGGTCTATCGAGGGGACGATCCTTATTTCAACTCCCGGAGATTCGCTGACAGTCTCTATTTTTCTTTTTAAGAAAGTCGAAATAGCTGAAGAGGGAGGTGAGAATCTATATGTGCCCAGATACAAAGAGTAGAAATCTACGCGTCTGCCTTTTGAAAATTCACAATTGCGGTGTTCATTGTTGCGTAATGATCCGCCTAGCACACGACTGTTTTGCACGTTAGGCTGTGTTATGCAGCTTCCTAACAAAACAAACACACTGGGCTCATTATATCGACTTGTTTTTACCCATTAAGGTAAAGCAAATGGACCCAGTAATCTTCCTGGCGCGTTTGCTCACCTATAAAGACAACTTTTCTCAGTTTAAGGAAAATTCTAAGGTAACGAAATGGCCGAGTGGTTACGATTCGTCGTCCACAGTTAGTGGGGTCCCGGGTTCGAATCACCGCTGGTGTCTTTTTGGTTTTTAACGTATGAGTTCAATCATTTACTATAAGAGATTTAATTTCCCGTCGTAAAGGTACCAGTACCTTAGCTTAATCGGTAAGCACTGCTGCTGGTACTGTCCGCGAGTACCAGGTTGGCGCCATCGTACAGGTTCAGGGCATGTGGTCCACTCGGAGGATCAGGGCTTAGGGGCCGCCCTGTTCCTCCCTTAGCTCTTTGCTTTTACATGGTGCCTGGCCCTCCGGTGTTATATGGATGGATAGGGAAGGAAGTGTGTATTGGTCGGGGACGCCGAGACCCCGGAAGAGAACTAAGGGATCGGCTGGGGCATTGTTATGGCTCAGACCGATCCCTGAAAGCTTGACTAGCACATAACGTTTTGATTTTGTTTACCCTCTATCTTTTATACTTTGGTTTAGTTTGATATCTACAGCTGCTCGGCAGGTCTACGGGTAGTATCAAAATTGAAACAAAGGTGTATGTCATAAATCAATGAATATTTCATAATTGACTATAATCAAAACGGAGTTTCGTTTGATCAATTTGACTATCATTATATAATGACGCGATTGCCAATTGACGTAAGAAACGCCATAAATTATACCGGGAAAGAATAAAGATGTACATTGTAGTATAAATATTATTTATACATCTTTCAAATAACGTGTTTTTAATTGTGAGCATTCCAAACAATACAGTAATTTGCGATAGTAATAGAATGGTATATGATAGCACGATCATTGCGTCTCTATCAAATTAAAAAAAAAATAAGTTAGGCCCCTATGTGTGAAATATTTTTTGATTGACTATGAGCATTCCATACGAATGAGTTAATTCGCAAAATATAGCAACAACAAAAGAGAAAGGAAAAAGAGAAAATTCCTTTACCCTAAAAACTGGGGAAAAAAAATTTGTTTTAAAAAAGTCAAATGGGACACTTCATGTATTGATTTAACAGTTTGGAAGGGGTTAACCTTACAATTTAGCAAAACGAAACATTTCAAATTGTAAGGGGTGAACCTTGCATTTTTTAGTAAAATTTGGCCAAATAAGATGTGTATGAAAAATTTCAAATTGTAAGGGGTTAACCTTGCTTTTTTAGTAAAATTGGGAAAATTTAAATGTTTATGAAAAATTTCAAATTGTCAGTGGTTAACCTTGCATTTTTTTTAGCAAAATAGGGCAAAATCAGGTGTTTATGGAAAATTTCAGATTGTAAGGGGTTAACTTTGCATTTTTAGCAAAATTGGGCAAAGTCAGATTTGTATGAAAAATCAAAAATTGTAAGGGGTTAACCTTGCCAAATTAGGGCAAAATCAGATGTTTCTTGAAAATTGCAGATTGTAAGGGGTTAACTTGGCATTTTTAGCATAACTGGGCAATATCAGATTTATATGAAAATCTCAAATTGTAAGGGGTGAACCTTGTATTTTTAGCGAAATTGGGCAAAATCAGATCTTTCTGGAAAATTTCAAATTGTAAGGGGTTAACCTAGCTTTTTTAGTAAAATTTGGCAAATTTAAATGTTTATGAAAAATCTCAAATTGTAAGGGGTGAACCTTGCATTTTTTAGCAAAATAGGGCAAAATCAGGTGTTTATGAAAAATTTCAGATTGTAAGGGGTTCACCTTGCATTTTTAGCAAAATTGGGAAAAATCAGATTTGTATGAAAAATCAAAAATTGTAAGGGGTTAACCCTTGCCCAATTAGGGCAAAATCAGATGTTTCTGGAAATTGCAAATTGAAAGGGGTGAACCTTGCATTTTTAGCAAAACTGGGCAATATCAGATTTTTATGAAAAATCTCAAATTGTAAGGGGTGAACCTTGCATTTTTAGCACAATTGGGCAAAATCAGATGTTTCTGAAAAATTTCAGATGTAAGGGGGTTAACCTTGCTTTTTAAGTAAAATTGGGCAAATTTTAATGTGCATGCAAAATTTCAAATTGTTAGGGGTGAACCTTGCATTTTTTAGCAAAATACGGCAAAACCAGGTGTTCATGAAAAATTTCAGATTGTAAAGGGTTCACCTTGCATTTTTAGCAAAATTGGCAAAAATCAGATTTGTATGAAAAATCAAAAATTGTAAGGGGTTAAGGTTGCATTTTTAGCAAAACTGGGCAATATCAGATTTATATGAAAAATCTCAAATTGTAAGGAGTTAACCTTGTATTTTTAGCGAAATTGGGCAAAATCAGATTTTTCTGGAAAATTTCAGATTGTAAGGGGTTAACCTTGCTTTGTTAGTGATATTTGGCAAAATAAGATGTGAACGAAAAATTTCAAATTGTAAGGGGTTAACCCTGCTTTTTTAGTAAAATTTGGCAAATTTAAATGTTTATGAAAAATCTCAAATTGTAAGGGGTGGAACCTTGCATATATCAGCAAAATTGGGCAAAATCAGATGTTTATGAAAAAAATCAAATTGTAAGGGGTTAAGGTTGCATTTTTTTTAGCAAAATAGGGCAAAATCAGATGTTTCTGGAAAATTTCAGATGTAAGGCATTATCCTTGCTTTTTTAGTGAAATAAAAATCTCATTTTGCCCAATTTTGCTAAAAATACAAGGTTAACCCCTAACAATTCGAGAAGCAAGGTTAACCCCTTACCCCTGAAATTTTTCAGAAACATCTCATTTTGCCCAATTTTGCTAAAAATGCCAAGTTAACCCCATACAATTCTGCAATTTTACAAAAACATCTGATTTTTCCCAATTTCGTTTAAAAAAATGCAGGGTTAACCCCTTACAATTTGAAATGTTCATAAACTTCTTTAGACTTTGCCGAATTTAATTGTGAGATTAAAAGGCTGCTCAAGCCACGATGAACATAGAATGGTGAGTTTACTACCTCTGTTTTGTATCCAACTTTTTGATCATGCGGGGATAAATAATATTTATATTACAATGTACATCTTTATTCTTTCCCGGTATAATTTATGGCGTTTCTTACGTCAATTGGCAATCGCGTCATTATTTTATAATGATAATCAAATTGATCAAACGAAACTCCGTTTTGATTATAGTCAATTATGAAATATTCATTGATTTATGACATACACCTTTGTTTCAATTTTGATACTACCCGTAGACCTGCCGAGCAGCTGTAGATATCAAACTAAACCAAAGTATAAAAGATAGAGGGTAAAAAAAATCAAAACGTTATGTGCTAGTCAAGCTTTCAGGGATCGGTGGAGTGCCGTGGGGACGAGACCAACATTCTGTACTGCAGTTCATCAGGCTGGGGAGAAGACTCGTGCAGTCACAGTGATGATGCTGGAGTGGTGTGTATAACAGGTAAATAAGGTCCACAGTGACTACAGGTACCCTATATAAGCAATTGCTGTGTCATGCCACTGGACTTACAGCAGCAAATATTCTTACTCATCTGCAGTTTCTAGAATGTTGATGTTCATATATTTTTGCTATTGTTGTGCCCGAGCACGTCACTTTACTGCAATGTTGAAACAAGACAACTGGACTAAACTTACCACAGTTTTACAACCTATCCGGGTCGCTTCCTCAGCTCAAAATGAGTGGCGGGAAAGGACTGGTGCTTGAAGAGGGGTTGCAATCTTCCCTTCTTTTTTTTCTGGTGATTACCGGAGCGTGGAGTTGGGGAGAACTGATTACCCCTATTGTCATTTCCTCAACATTGCAACTAACATGTACGTTCGCGGGGCAAAGCTAACGAGCACGGACATGTTGCATGAGTGGAACGCATCCTAGATGATGCACAGCAACTGCTGGTATCTTCAGAGCTCTAACACCACAAACCATGCATGTTTTAACCAGGAATCTCTGATAGGGAGCCATAGGAAATAATCATTTTAACATCATGATCTCACATCCGCAGTTTAGCCCAGGTTGGACGAAGTCTTCATTGCATTACGACTAACATACAGGATGAGAATTCTCTACATAAGACCACCCAAAATTTGGACCAAATTTTTGTTACGTTTTACCTCGTTACAGAAGCTTATTTCACGCCTACATTTTCTATGTGTCCTTACCTATTGGGCCGCTGGGTTCAGGAATTCCAGATGTGATGCTGACCGACATTAATCAGGAAAATAAACTCTAAAGCAGCGTTAAACTTGTACGTGCTTTGGTTGGAACCGTGATGTCACTCCAGCCAACCGATGTCACGAAAACGCTCAACCAATGACCAAAGCCGAAACGTGTTTCTGGTAACTGGCGCATTTCTGAACCCAGCTGCCCAATAGATAAGGACACATAGAATACTACGACGTAAAAATTGGCTTCTCCAACAAGGTAAAATATTAAAAATATTGGTCAGAAATGTTTTCGCCCAGTTTTGAGCACTTCATACCCTGGACTCCCTCCGTTACGTAGGGAAGAAAGGGAGTCCACCTGGGCTAATCCGCAGTTGTACTTAGATATGAAGTAACTATAAGTGGGATTGAAGATTGAAATGTGTTGCTCTCCACAGAAGCTGATGTGTGCAAACCTAATCCCTGTCTGAACGATTGGCAGTGCACCAGAAATGCCGATGGCTACACATGTTCTTGTCAAGATGGCTTTATAGGAGTAAATTGTGAGACTGGTAAGGTTACTGTACTTGGCTCATTCAATTCAATGTTATTGACATCCTATATTAAAAGATCCTATCGCCAAAAAATAGCCCGTGGTCCACACAAAAGATGTCCAAGACACCAAAAATAGTCATAAAATAGCATGCAGTTTTAAAAATAGAAATAAAATAGAGTGGCAACAAGGAAAATAGGGATAAAATAGTGTATCAGCATCTGCTTATTTTGATGTAATAGAAATAAATTATATTTTTTTCCTATTTTCCAACTGTGTATTCAATTTAAACTAACTTTAAGCTGGTATAACGGAGAAGACTCCAGTTTTATCACCTACAGAGGAAAACACAACCTTGGCTGATGAGGCAAAGGAATTCCGTGTGAAATCATTACTATCAGAAATATTTGTTTGCAGTTTTTCATATCGTGTTGAAATTGTAGCAAATATCGTTCGATTTATTTAAGATTTTGTGTTCATGGATGCTGGAAAACCAAAAAAAAAACGCTGTGCTCGTAGTCTGGTTCCCTGACCTTGCGCTTCAGACGAAACAAGTTATAGGCGTCATGGAATTGTCAGGTCAACTGTGTATTCAATTTAAACTAAATTTAAGCTTGTATAACGGAGAAGACTCCAGTTTTATCACCTACAGAGAAAAACACAACCTTGGCTGATGAGGCGAAGGAATTCCGTGTGAAATTATTACTCACCTTCTTTCGTTTTTGTGTTTGTTATTGACAGAATCTGAACTTGGTAGAGTGATTCGATTGGTTGGGCCAGAGACCAATGTGGGTCGTGTGGAGGTGAGACAAGATGGTGACTGGGGAACTGTCTGTGGCGATAGCTGGGACATGAATGATGCTCAAGTGGTCTGCAGACAGCTGGGCTTCACTAATGGGGCTGGGAGAGTTTCATTGAGCGCCGAATTTGGCCAAGGTATTGCAGTGTGTTTCAAGTTTCCAGTGTTTCAAGTATCAATGCATTAAAGAGGGCATGTACAGCTTGTTAGTTGATCGAAAGAGGATTGACAAGGGCCCATACCACATTTTATACATGTCGTCAGTTTTGAATTTGCCCTTTTTTGTATTTGCCATGTTAACTTTATGCCATGCTCAACATCATTCTTTTTTAAGGTGTGGGTGAAATCTTCCTGGATAATGTTGAGTGCACAGGCTCTGAGAGCACAATTTCAGAGTGTCCAAATGCAGGATGGGGAGTTTCAAACTGCGACCACTTGGAAGACGCAGGCGTTGTTTGTATACCAGATGAAGGTGGGTAAAGCTTTTTGGCAATTTCTGAGAATCAAGTAACCTATAGGCTCGTAGGTGGAACAAGGAAAGGGTAGGTTGGGGGGGGGGGTGGTCTTGCTGAGAGTCTTGAACAAAGGCGGATCCAGAACACAATTTTTGGGGGGGCCAAAACAATTTTTGGTCCCCCCAAAAAGTGGGTCAAAAAATTACGGCGTGGGGTTCGGGGCCCGCTTAAGGGCCCCGAAAAATTTTTGGATTCTAGATGCTCTGTGGTGCGATCTGAGGCAATTTCTGACCACTTTAACCAATGTTTTTTTTTAAGGAAAAGATGGTGGTGTACTCATTGCCTGCCTTTATTGCGATGTCAAAAAGTGGGTCAAAAAAATTACGGCGTGGGGTTCGGGGCCCGCTTAAGGGCCCCGAAATTTTTTTGGATTCTAGATGTTCTGTGGTGCGATCCGAGGCAATTTCTGACCACTTTAACCAATGTTTTTTTGTTTGAGGAAAAGATGGTGGTGTACTCATTGCCTGCCGTTATTGCGATGTCACATAAAAAAAAAAAAATTGATTTCGTTTTGGGGGGGGCCATGGCCCCCTTTGGCCCCCCCCTGGATCCGCCCTTGGTCTTGAACTGCAAGCCAGTTCACCACATGACCAAATGGCACTCCATACCTGAAATTGTGTGTGAATACTTCTGAAGCACTCTTTGAACTTAATGTAATAAAAATACTATGAATAAACTACACCATTAGAACGATCTGAGAATGTTCTTTCGGCTGGTATATGGTTGATGTATGGGTGGCAAAACGTACCAGCATGCTATCTTTCTGAAAAGCAGTGGATAAATCTGTGTTGAGGGTGTGTTTCCTGGGGCCAATTTCATGAAACGCTAAGACGCGTCTTAGGAAGGGTAACTCGTCTTAACTTGCGACTCGTCCTAGGATCGATTTCACCAAACTTAAGACGCATTCAACACTATTTGTTTTATAACACCTCACCCACAGATTCTGCTTGAATTGAAGAGATTGCTGATTAATTCAACAAAAATCCGCTTATCCAAAATTACAAATGTACTTCTTTTTCAAAACGAAATTAGTTAAAAAATATTTACTTGTACTTTTCAAACTACCCCTTCATGAAAATAACATTTGAACTCAGCTGTGAACACAAAGAGTGTTTACACCCGTATGCATTTGCACGCATGCATACAGGTTGCTACATTGGTTGTTTCCCCATCACGAAATAACAATTGCCATGTGACTTGCTCTCGGCCAATCAAAATACAGAAACTGTGGGTGAGGTGTAGTAAAAATAGTCTTCCATCACATTCACATTGACTTCAGTCTTGGAAATCACGTTACTGTGACTCTCCTTTGTGATTTTCAGAGCCTGATGTGACAGTACGACTTGTTGGGAGTGGGAATGACAATGAAGGGCGTGTGGAAGTCTACTACCAAGGTGAATGGGGTACCGTCTGTGACGATAGATGGGATGATACCGATGCCAACGTCGTCTGTAAGCAGCTTGGGTTTGAGAGAGCCGTAGAGGCCATCAGTGGTGCTGGGTTCGGGGAAGGGACCGGATCCATTCTGCTGGATGACGTGGCCTGTACCGAAGATGATTTGAGGCTGGAAGACTGTCAGAGCCGTGGATGGAGAGTGGAAAATTGTGGTCATGGTGAAGACGCTGGCGTGGTTTGTGCTGGTGCTGGTGGTGGTGCTGGTAGTGGTGATGGTGGTATGTATCACTTAGAATACTAAAATGTGCGGAGAAGACATATATGTACTTACAGGGACGTATTAGGAACATATTTTGTGCAACTTTCTACTTCTCTTAAATATATGAAAACAACTTGACATCCCTTTTTGGTTAATCTTATTGAAAAATGCATTTCTTTAATTATATAAAAATACATGTGTGCTTGGGAGGTGTGTAACACTATGTTTCAGACTGGAGTCTGGAATGCAGCTGAGGTTAATTATCAGCATTCCAGACTCCCACCAGTCTTAAACATAGTACCGACCTAGCACATTATTTATTCCCATTCATAAATACCTTTTCATTCCAAAAATCAAAATTTTTAGGTCCAAAAGTCAAAACGAGTCAAAAATTAAAAATTTCAAACAATTTTGTTCAACAATGTCACTTCATGTTTGTGGAAACACCCCTCTAGCTATATAATGGAGTGTGAAGCTCACGAGTAAGTCGTAAATAAGTCCTTTATGGAGATCGGCGCGCGCATAGCGGGTACTGCTTGATGTCATGCAAAATGCAGCTGTAGCGGTGCGTTGTGAATTTAGGACTATGAAATACTGACTTACTGGTAGTATTGGGCATGCCTGTTATACGTAAGGACTGAGAACGTTCAATCAATAAAACGGTGAAAGGGCACTGGATTTTGATAGGATTCATATTCATGTGACACTGGAAAAGTGTTTAAGACCTGCCAGCCGGTCTTTATCATCCTTTTAAGATTGCCTAGGTGATGGACTCTCGACCAATAGGAATGGGTAAACTGTCTTAGGTATTTATGAATAGAGGTTAAAGTTCCTAAAACATGCATTAACCCCAATGGCATGTTTTGTTGGAATCTGTCAGGATGGGTACAGTACCCCTTAACTGACAGTCTTTAAAATTGGCACACCTCCTGAAACAAAGTCAGAAATATTTGTGTGCAGTTTTTCATATGGTGTTGAAATTGTAGCAAATATCGTTCGATTTATTTAAGATTTTGTGTTCATGGATGCTGGAAAACCAAAAAAAAAACGCTGTGCTCGTAGTCTGGTTCCCTTACCTTGCGCTTCAGACAAAACAAGTTATAGGCGTCATGGAATTGTCAGGTCAACTGTGTATTCAATTTAAACTAAATTTAAGCTTGTATAACGGAGAAGACTCCAGTTTAATCACCTACAGAGAAAAACACAGCCTTGGCTGATGAGGCGAAGGAATTCCGTGTGAAATTATTACTCACCTTCTTTCGTTTTTGTGTTTGTTATTGACAGAATCTGAACTTGGTAGAGTGATTCGATTGGTTGGGCCAGAGACCAATGTGGGTCGTGTGGAGGTGAGACAAGATGGCGACTGGGGAACTGTCTGTGGCGATAGCTGGGACATGAATGATGCTCAAGTGGTCTGCAGACAGCTGGGCTTCACTAATGGGGCTGGGAGAGTTTCATTGAGCGCCGAATTTGGCCAAGGTATTGCAGTGTGTTTCAAGTTTCCAGTGTTTCAAGTATCAATGCATTAAAGAGGGCATGTACAGCTTGTTAGTTGATCGAAAGTGGATTGACAAGGGCCCATACCACATTTTATACATGTCGTCAGTTTTGAATTTGCCCTTTTTTGTATTTGCCATGTTAACTTTATGCCATGCTCAACATCATTCTTTTTTAAGGTGTGGGTAAAATCTTCCTGGATAATGTTGAGTGCACAGGCTCTGAGAGCACAATTACAGAGTGTCCAAATGCAGGATGGGGAGTTTCAAACTGTGACCACTTGGAAGACGCAGGCGTTGTTTGTATACCAGATGAAGGTGGGTAAAGCTTTTTGGCAATTTCTGAGAATCAAGTAACCTATAGGCTCGTAGGCGGAACAAGGAGAGGGTAGGTTGGGGGGGGGGGGGTTCGGTCTTGCTGAGAGTCTTGAACTGCAAGCCAGTTCACCACATGACCAAATGGCACTCCATACCTGAAATTGTGTGTGAATACTTCTGAAGCACTCTTTGAACTTAATGTAATAAAAATACTATGAATAAACTACACCATTAGAACGATCTGAGAATGTTCTTTCGGCTGGTATATGGTTGATGTATGGGTGGCAAAACGTACCAGCATGCTATCTTTCTGAAAAGCAGTGGATAAATCTGTGTTGAGGGTGTGTTTCCTGGGGCCAATTTCATGAAACGCTAAGACGCGTCTTAGGAAGGGTAACTCGTCTTAACTTGCGACTCGTCCTAGGATCGATTTCACCAAACTTAAGACGCATTCAACAATATTTGTTTTATAACACCTCACCCACAGATTCTGCTTGAATTGAAGAGATTGCTGATTAATTCAACAAAAATCCGCTCATCCAAAATTACAAATGTTCTTCTTTTTCAAAACGAAATTAGTTAAAAAATATTTACTTGTACTTTTCAAACTACCCCTTCATGAAAATAACGTTTGAACTCAGCTGTGAACACAAAGAGTGTTTACACCCGTATGCATTTGCACGCATGCATACAGGTTGCTACATTGGTTGTTTCCCCATCACAAAATAACAATTGCCATGTGACTTGCTCTCGGCCAATCAAAATACAGAATCTGTGGGTGGGGTGTAGTAAAATATGATAATCTTCCATCACATTCACATTGACTTCAGTTTGGAAATCACGTTACTGTGACTCTCCTTTGTGATTTTCAGAGCCTGATGTGACAGTACGACTTGTTGGGAGTGGGTATGACAATGAAGGGCGTGTGGAAGTCTACTACCAAGGTGAATGGGGTACCGTCTGTGACGATGACTGGGATGATACCGATGCCAATGTCGTCTGTAAGCAGCTTGGGTTTGAGAGAGCCGTAGAGGCCATCAGTGGTGCTGGGTTCGGGGAAGGGACGGGACCCATCCTGCTGGATGACGTGGCCTGTACCGAAGATGATTTGAGGCTGGAGGACTGTCGGAGCAGTGGATGGAGAGTGGAAAATTGTGGCCATGGTGAAGACGCTGGCGTGGTTTGTGTTGGTATGTAATCAGTCTGATCATCAGAGTGGGCTTGGATTCTTCATGTAGAGTTTCTATTTGCGTATCAATGGCAACAAGATCACTGTACTGCAGAACCTGCAAGTTAGGACTCAAGTCCAGGACATAGAATCGAGTCACATCAGCAAAAGCCTCAAACTCATTCTCTGACTTAAACTTCATGACTTGGACTTGACACTTATGACTGGTGCCTGTAGAGTCACATATTTATATTGCCCACAAAATTTATTTTCCGAAAGAAAGTTAAAGCAACGCTAAAGAATGTTAAGCACAAGGTCTGTACCGCAGGAAATACAAATGTTATTTCCCTGGAAAGTGCATCACTTACATATCGCGCACTTGTATGTGTGTTCATGTCCACGCACATCCATTTCATACAAATGTGACTCGGACTCAGTCCTGAACCAAAGTACTTGAGACTTGTACACGGACTCAACCCAAGGTACTCAAGATTCCGAGAGTCGGAATCAACTCAAGTGAAGTGACTCGACTTCAACACTGCTCGTTGTCTTACCTTTTTCGTAGTAAAACAAAAATAAATGAAAAACTACATGAGTTTAAAACTGATTGATTTTGACACTCAGTATACCATTTGAAATTTGAAAAGAAAAACAAGAGGTAGCTGATTTACTAACCAGAAATCATTGATTGAATCTTAAAAAAGGACTTTGCAGAACTCCCATAGAGCGGTCATTTCACTACAACCGCTACACAAAATGTAACTTCCATGGCGGAAAAAGTCTCCTTGGTAAAAAAAAAAAAGCAGAAATCCAGTTACAAGCAAGTGACACTGGAGATAGAGTAAAGAAAACATACTACAAAACTAGCTCCCAAGTAGCAAGTGGTAAGACCGATTCATACTGCACGCGAATTGGGAATGCGAAACAAATTTGACGTCACGAAACAGTCGCTGCAAAATTTGCCGTAGTTGAAAGGTGCTCAACTTTTGCGAAATCATAGCGTGAAAACTTGCCCTGACATCGCAAATTTGCGTTCGCATTTGCTTTCGCGCTGAGTGTGAACCGGCATGTATAGTGAACAAGGTGTACTCTGTGGACTGGCAGTTTGATTTAATCTTCACTTAATGTTCACTAATGTAGAAAACTGGACAAAAAGAATCATGCTTATATATCAGATCACACCCATAGAAAGGCCTCAGAAGACCCAAGGTTATGCAACCACTGCCGCCAGTCGCAGACTGGCTTTCCAGAGTTGCACCAAAACAAAAGGGCAAGGAGGAACTTCTCTAGTTGACAAAAAGCATTTGGTTTCACATGTACAAACTTTATGTAATAACTTCAGGCTGACTGGACTTCGGAATCATTCCAAACAATTACAACAGTCAATATCACTGCTTAGAGAGTCCATTTTCAAGTTTACGGTCGACAAAAACATGGCCCACTTACCGGGATTTGAACGAATGTCAGTGCACAAGTTGAGTTAAATTTTTATCGATCGGGGCATCGCAATCTGCTGTCTCACAAAAAACACCATCTTGATATTAAAAAAGAAAAGAAAAAAAAAACGATACTTGAATCATACGCTTGCCAAACTACTGACTGGACAAACTAAGAATTTTAAGTGTCCCACGCCTTGCGAATGCGTCGACTGTCTCCCACAATGCACTGCAAAAATGGACTCTCCATGGCAACCTCTTGGTGGCAAACTGTAAGGGAATCGCCTGTATCACACTGTAGCCGGGGATGACACCCCTAGGTCACAATACTTGCAACATGAGCCATGCTGCAAACCGACTGAAGCAGTTCCAAGGAAGTCGGGTGGGATTCTAAAAAAACAGAGTAAGTGTTGATGCTGAATTTGTTAGGTAGCAAGTTCACTCATTCTTCCCATGCACAAGTACTCTTTCATCAGTGATTACAAAGGGAGAAAGTGTGGGGGAGGGACCACTGGGAAGTAATCCTGAACACATTGCTAACATCACATTATGCTCAAGCACAGAAGCTACACATTGTGCTCATTCAGAAAACGTTGATGCAGATCATGCCAGTTTGCGACCATAACCTGGCCATGGTTTTCGATCTCATAAACTTATCGCGCTTGTGCGATAAGTGCAAACCATATTGCACACTTGCGTTTTGCGTCCCTCCCACGAGAGTGCCAATGAGGGGTGATGAGGGGCCATACACTAGCTGTTCATCCATAGAGTGGAGAGCTGACCACAAATCACACAGACCCATATTATGAGGACAGGCAATACCCAAACTCTAAAATCTGATTGGTTGCAATGCACTGCACCTTATCATACTGTCAACTCCTTCAGCACGCATCATATGTCACATGGAGCACAGTGCTCTATTTTGCATGCGTATGGATACTTTAATAACATTTATCTTCAAGCAATCTTAAATCCTTGATCCTGATTGGTTGATCCATGGCAATTAAACATCAGTGTGATTATCCAGTATACCACGGTCAATATTGTGCTATTCTATTAAAGATGCGCATGCTATAATTCCCTTTAAAGGCTCAAGTAACAGGATACCTGCTGAAAAGTTTGTGTATGACAAACGTGTTGGCATCTTTACTGTGCGTCAAGTTTGCTTGACGTTGACGATAGCGGAACTCAGAAAATGTAGTTTGTCTGTGTTCCATATGCCATTCACCTGATGCGTTACATTTAATATTTTGTGTTGCACTCGCGCTCTTGGAACAACTAAAATAAGTTGACCTCTAACTGACATGTGAATCAACCAACTTCACACTGGTCTCAAAACTGTTAATCTGCCTTGGCAGTGAGGCTGTGATTGGGCTCATGGCAAACTGAATGACAATCAAATAAGTATAGAAGTAAGCAATATTCTTGATCAACATGTCCACTAGATGAGCCTGTTGAGGGCAGTGAGGGCGATGTTCGGCTGGTTGGGCCATCTCCCAACTATGGGCGTGTGGAGGTCCAACATGACGGTGTCTGGGGAACTGTCTGTGATGATAACTGGGACATGAATGATGCTGAAGTGGTCTGCAGACAGCTGGGCTTCACTAACGGAGCTGGGAGAGCAGTCACGAATGCTGAATTTGGTGAAGGTGAGTTTTTGGTTCAAAGTTGCCTCCGCGTCTCACAAATACCCCTCAAACTGGGACGGATCTTACATGTATGTTAAAATCAAATTTACCGAAGAGTAGGGTTACTGTCCCAAAGACTGTTATGCTTGTAACAATATGCACTCGCCTGCCCTTGGCTACCCAGTGCAACTTCATCTCTTAATGAGTGCTCAGAGGCCTGTTGTTCACTAAATCAAGTGTTTACCTGTTTCAGACTTTTGTTCTTCATTAACGCCAAACTATAGAGTATTAAGAGCATCTCAGGCTGTTAATAACTTTCATCCCTCGGAATACAACAGCTTATCTTTGAAAGACATAGTTGCTTCCAACTGTTTCAAACCTCAAACTGTTTATGTAACTCAAATCTTCAGCATACTTTGGTTTGTTGCAACTCTGAAATGCCAGTCTGAAAAGGATATGTGTATCTAAAGGGTAAGTGTCCAGAGAGAAAAAAAGGCAGTAGACTACATGATAGAATACTGTGGCATATTTGTCCTCATAGGTGTGGATCCAATCCTCTTGGACGAAGTTGAGTGTGTCAACACGGAGAGTAGGCTTGTAGATTGCCCTAATGCAGGATGGGGAACTACTGACTGCAGTCACTATGAGGATGCAGGGCTTGTTTGTTTGCCCAACGAAGGTCAGTATCTAGAGACTTGCAGAAGCCTCTTCAACATATTTAAGAAGATATTTTAGATACATGTTTTATGCTTAGGTTTCGACACTTGATGCATCTAGCAAATTGTACCTAATTAAATTTCAAATTTAGATACAACATAAATTTCTCATTGCACCAGTGCAAGTACAAAGTTACACGGACAGGTGGAAGGACCTGCAATGTTTACAAAACCCCTGCCGTTGGGTCAAATACAAATGGTTTTCAAATAGGTGAATGATTATTGAAAGTTCTTGACTGTTTGCTTTTTCTAGAGCCTGATGTGACAGTACGACTTGTTGGTGGTGAGAATGACAAGGAAGGGCGCGTGGAAGTCTACTACCAAGGTGAATGGGGTACCGTCTGTGACGATGAATGGGATGATACCGATGCCAACGTCGTCTGTAAGCAGCTTGGATTTACAGGTGCTGTAGAGGCTGCTAGTGGAGCTCGGTTTGGAGCAGGTACAGGACGAATCCTTCTGGATGATGTGTCCTGCACAGAAGAGGACACCAGACTGGAAGACTGTGGAAACAGAGGTTGGGGGGAGCAAAATTGTGGGCACAGTGAGGACGCTGGTGTGGTCTGTGCTGATACTGGTATGTATCACTGATCATAGTAAGTTATTGAGGAATACATTGCAAATACTCATGTAAAGATCTCTCGATACATATATATATAAATATTTTTAGTGCAAGTCCTGAAGTACGTTCTTGTGTCGTATCCCAAATTATTTTTGGTTTTCATATTGCCATTTTCAAGAGTTTGGGGACCTTTTGTGTTTTTAAGCCGATGAAACCAAAGAGGACTTTTCATACTGTTCAAGGGAATGGATATTAACGTAAAGTTTGCTTTGATGCAAACTTTGTGTCATGTACCCTTAAGGAGTGTCTAAAGGGAGTGTCTCAAAATCAGAACGTTCCCATTCTGTATGGAACGTTCCTTTGACATATTTAGTTCCTTTAGTTGTCAGTCTTCATTTTACATCCAGTTGAGCGTTAAGCCATGTGAGTATATTTTTTTCAGTCTGACTTATCCAAAGAGTAATTAGATCATAGTCTTTTAAGTCCAAAGTTGAGTTTCCCATTGATTAGGAGAATGGCCATAATTCTGATTCTCCGACATGTGCGTAAACATGTTTTCTGTTTAGATAATCACAAAGAAGCTACACATTTTGCACATTCACAAATGTATACTTACATAACTTTGAAGCTGTGCAAGTCGTAAAAACGTTGATGCAAATCTTGCCAGTTTGCGGCCATAACCTGGCCGTGGTTTTCATCTCATAAGTGCGAACCATTGCACATTTGTGTGTTGCATCCCGCCCATAAGAGTGCCAATGAGGGGTGATGAGGGGCCATACACTGTTCGTTCATGGTGTCCATAGAGTGGAGAGCTGACCACAAATCACATGGGTATTATGGGGACAGGCAATACCCAAACTCTAAAATCTGATTGGTTGCAATGCACTGCACCTTATCATACTGTCAACTCCTCCAGCACGCATCATGTGTCACACGGAGCACAGTGTTTTATTTGCATGCGTATGGATACTTTAATAACATTGATCTTCAAGCAATCTTAAATCCTTGATCCTGATTGGTTGATCCATGGCAATTAAACATCAGTGTGATTATCCAGTATACCACGGTCAATATTGTGCTATTCTATTAAAGATGCGCATGCTATCATTCCCTTTAAAGGCTCAAGTAACAGGATACCTGCTGAAAAGTTTGTGTATGACAAACGTGTTGGCATCTTTACTGTGCGTCAAGTTTGCTTGACGTTGACGATAGCGGAACTCAGAAAATGTAGTTTGTCTGTGTTCCATATGCCATTCACCTGATGCGTTACATTTAATATTTTGTGTTGCACTCGCGCTCTTGGAACAACTAAAATAAGTTGACCTCTAACTGACATGTGAATCAACCAACTTCACACTGGTCTCAAAACTGTTAATCTGCCTTGGCAGTGAGGCTGTGATTGGGCTCATGGCAAACTGAATGACAATCAAATAAGTATAGAAGTAAGCATTATTCTTGATCAACATGTCCACTAGATGAGCCTGTTGAGGGCAGTGAGGGCGATGTTCGGCTGGTTGGGCCATCTCCCAACTATGGGCGTGTGGAGGTCCAACATGACGGTGTCTGGGGAACTGTCTGTGATGATAACTGGGACATGAATGATGCTGAAGTGGTCTGCAGACAGCTGGGCTTCACTAACGGAGCTGGGAGAGCAGTCACGAATGCTGAATTTGGTGAAGGTGAGTTTTTGGTTCAAAGTTGCCTCCGCGTCTCACAAATACCCCTCAAACTGGGACGGATCTTACATGTATGTTAAAATCAAATTTACCGAAGAGTAGGGTTACTGTCCCAAAGACTGTTATGCTTGTAGCAATATGCATTCGCCTGCCCTTGGCTACCCAGTGCAACTTCATCTCTTAATGAGTGCTCAGAGGCCTGTTGTTCACTAAACCAAGTGTTTACCTGTTTCAGACTTTTGTTCTTCATTAACGCCAAACTATAGAGTATTAAGAGCATCTCAGGCTGTTAATAACTTTCATCCCTCGGAATACAACAGCTTATCTTTGAAAGACATAGTTGCTTCCAACTGTTTCAAACCTCAAACTGTTTATGTAACTCAAATCTTCAGCATACTTTGGTTTGTTGCAACTCTGAAATGCCAGTCTGAAAAGGATATGTGTATCTAAAGGGTAAGTGTCCAGAGAGAAAAAAAGGCAGTAGACTACATGATAGAATACTGTGGCATATTTGTCCTCATAGGTGTGGATCCAATCCTCTTGGACGAAGTTGAGTGTGTCAACACGGAGAGCAGGCTTGTAGATTGCCCTAATGCAGGATGGGGAACTACCGACTGCAGTCACTATGAGGATGCAGGGGTTGTTTGTTTGCCCAACGAAGGTCAGTATCTAGAGACTTGCAGAAGCCTCTTCAACATATTTAAGAAGATATTTTAGATATATGTTTTATGCTTAGGTTTTGACACTTGATGTATCTAGCAAATTGTACCTAATTGAATTTCAAATTTAGATACAACATAAATTTCTCATTGCACCAGTGCAAGTACAAAGTTACTCGGACAGGTGGAAGGACTTGCAATGTTTACAAAACCCCTGCTGTTGGGTCAAATACGAATGGTTTTACAAATAGGTAAATATTTATTGAAAGTTTTTGTCTATTTGCATTTTTAGAGCCTGATGTGACAGTACGACTTGTTGGTGGTGAGAATGACAAGGAAGGGCGCGTGGAAGTCTACTACCAAGGTGAATGGGGTACCGTCTGTGATGATGAATGGGATGATACCGATGCCAACGTCGTCTGTAAGCAGCTTGGGTTTACAGGTGCTGTAGAGGCTGCTAGTGGAGCTCGGTTTGGAGAAGGTATAGGACCAATCCTTCTGGATGACGTGTCCTGCACAGAAGAGGAAACCAGACTGGAAGACTGTGGAAACAGAGGTTGGGGAGTGCAAAATTGTGGGCACAGTGAGGACGCTGGAGTGGTTTGTGCTGATACTGGTATGTATCACTGATCATAGTAAATTAGCTGAAGACATTGCAAATACTCATTTAAAAATCTCTTGTAAAAGAATTGTTTTAATGCCATTCCTAAAATATGTTTGTGTGTCCTATCCTAAATTGTTTTCAGTGTTCATATTGCCATTTTCAAGAGTTTGGGGGCCTTTTTGTTTTTTTTATGCTGATGATACCAAAGAGGAGATTTTATACTGTTCGAGGGAATGGATATATGCGCAAAGTTTGTTTTGATGTAAAATTTGTGTCATGTTCCCTTCAAACAGAAGACAGTTGCTTACCATACTCACATACTGAACTGCTGATCTTTCAGACTTTCATAGATATTAACCCAGTAGTCGTTCTAACACTCCAAACTACCCTGAATATTACTCTTAGTAGTGTCTGAAACCGCCAGATCACTCAATATGTTAATGGATTCATTACAGTGAATAAAAACAGCATTACACAATGTAATACAGTTGACATAAACTAAACCATTAAACAGAACTAGAACTAGAATAGAAATAGAATGATACTGGCGTGGTTTGTGCTGGTATGTAATCTGTCCGAGAGAAATGCTCCGTGCTGCTGAGCAGTCTCTCGGAGAACTCCAAAGCACACATGCTATGGGGAAAGGAACTTAGCTCGCTTGGGCGAAGGGAGGTGTGGTCAGTCGCGCACATGTACATCGCTACATGAATAATGCATACAGTAGCGCGCGTGGTATTGCATCATGCGCTGTGCTTGGTAAGAGACCCTGGGAATAAAAGTGCAAGTTGGCAATTTGCGATAATTAGGTAAAATAAGGGAACAGCAAAAGACAACAAGAAGATTGTGTCATTCATGGACAGAGAGAAACCAGAGGGCGCTAGATTTCCATAATCAATTAGCATTCTGGGTTCGCAACAATATCATGCAAGCGGCATGTCGGAAAACTTTCAACACCTGCACGTCCTGTTAGCTAGGGCTGCAGGCCCACGGCACAACCGGTTGTGCATGCAGCCCCCTCTACTGCCCCAGCAATGCAACTGGATCCGGTTCCTCTTCCGCTGGCACCCAGCAGTACCGACCAGTGACAGCTTTTACCACGTACATTATGGTACAAGCCGATTCCTCTGATTATTATTGTGTGTAATCTTGTTAAGCCTTAGGGCTCACGCTTTCTTGCGGCCCGCCTTCCAAATCGTCCACTCCCATGTCATACGTACGCGAACCCACATATCTACAGCGGTGCTATTCTGCATATTTAGCAATATTCTACGGGTATTGAAGTAGAGCGCAGTAGAATCCCTCGTCCTCCTCCCCCCCCCCCCCCCCCCCCAAGGTGTGAGCCGATTCTACTTGTGAGTACTTACCCATAGAGTGCCAACCCGCCTCCCCAATCTCGCGTACGCGTTCACTTATGCACCTTTACGCTCGAGAAGCGAAAGTATGGCGGGTGTTGGCGAATGACTAGCGCCCTCTAGGGAATAATGCATATGTAGCAATACTCTACGGGTAAGTATTCGCTAGTAGAATTGGCCCACACCTTGGGTGGGCGAATTTATCTTCAACACTTGACAATTTGGGACATTTACCGGCTGTCCCCACTGTAGTTCAGTTGATAACAGTTCCCATAATGTTGTTCTTTAAAAATGTCCCCAGGCTCCAGCTCCTTGATTTTCTAAGTCTCTCTTGTCCTGTACAATATCTGTCCTGTATACATGTACAGTGTTTAAACATTATTGGTGAAGAACAAACGTAATATTGAAAGTCCTAAAGACTAACAATTAAGAAAGCCTGCAGAAAAAAAAGTAAGCAATCTGACCTCTTGCCCGTTTCTTTCCATCCAAAGAACCACCTGCCAGCGAAGGTGATATCCGTCTGGTTGGTGGAGCGACAGAGAAAGAGGGACGCGTGGAGGTCTACAAGGATGGCAGATGGGGAACGGTCTGTGACAACGACTGGGATCTAGGAGGTGCCTTTGTAGCATGCAGCCAGCTGGGCTACCCCATCCCACAGAGAGCCTTCATTGGTTCCCACTTCCAGGTGACGGAGCAACTCCCGTTCAATCTGGACAAGGTGCGCTGTTTTGGCGATGAGCAACGCCTGGTGGATTGCATCGCTACCACCACTGACATCACTTGCACCGAGGACCAGACCGCAGGAGTTCGCTGTGCCTCCTTTTTAGTGGGCCCTTGAGTACCGATTGCGCCCATTTGAATTCCCTACGGTTGATTTGCTTGAAATGTTGCCATGACCTCATTGTAATTATTGCCTCATTTTGAAAGGTCGACTGCTTTTGATCACTGTCAGGAGGATTTGTACCAAGTGTAATCCCAATTAATCATAAACAGGCATGTACAAATTGTGTGATTCAAACAAACTGGGCACACTGACTCTAATCATGGAGGAATTACCTCAGATTTTTAGCATTAAGTGTTAAGTTCTAGATATGTCGTAATGTGTGGATTATGCATCAAGTGTACTTTATGTTGTTTTGCACTGTTGCACTTCCAGTTCTAAATTACATACCATGTCTCAAGCGGATGAAATTAAACTGTCTGTATATGAATATTATTTTGTTGGGAACTTAGAGGAAGATTTCAGATGACTAGTTATGTGATTTCGTAAGACTGTTTTCTTTTTTTTCGTGTTTTTCGTTTTGTGTTTGGCTCTGAAACTTCATTCTCCCTCTCTTACTAAAATCTTTTAAGCTTTTCTTGAATTTTGAAAATGTTCTTGAATTATGTAAATGTTCTCGACATATGTTAATCCTGCATTCATGTAACACGTGTTCATTTTCTTTTTACGCTTGCTTGTTTTTCAAGACTTTAAAGCTAATCACAGGTATTGAAATCTTTAACATGTTTAATTAATGAAGGTTTGCGGAAACACCATGTGCGAATAATTTCTCAACTAAGAGAATGGTTCTGAAAAGAACCAGAGGTATAAACTCGACGTTCCGGTCAGTATGCTCTGACCGTCTTCAGGAGAAATTATTCGCACATGGTGTCAGTTTCCACAAACCTTCATTATTTAGTATCTTTACCAGGCAAAGCCTCAAATCTTACTTTTTAAAATCGTTCCTATAAAAGATCAGATCTAAAATGTTTGTCTGTTTCCAAACTATTTCATTGGGTTTCTTTTCCAGATGTTTATGTTACCATTTTATTTTTAATGAAATCACACCCAACTTGACATTGCATTTGATTGTAAAGATCTTTTCTGTGTTTTAACTTCAAAATATTATATTTTTAACTTCATCTTTGTTTTGCATGTACATCCTGCGTTTTGAACGATTGTAAGTTCGGTTAGAAAATAAAACGGTTTGTGATTGTAGCAATTGGAAAATTTCGAGTTATTCCTTTTCTTTTCTTGTGCAAGTTTGTTCTCTGGTAATAAGTAGTCTTAATAATAGACTTCGGTATTATTATTATCAGTGTTACATACACATGCAAGTTGTAATTAATTTAGACATTGGAAATCATTGGAAATCTCCAATCTTTTATGTTGTGGAAAAAAGTGACGAACGTATTACATGTACACATTTTTCTACTTTCAGTGTTTGCTTATTTTTTTAAAAATACCCCGAACTCTCATAGGTATCTAAGCTGCACAGAAAAATGATGATCAACATGTCATCTTTCATTTTCTTTAACTTTTTTTTTACTTCGAATTCAACCTCTTACCCCTTACTCTTTAATTTGCCTCGGTTTAGAAATATACGATAGACCCCGACCAAGGGCGGATCCAGAACACAATTTTTTTTAGTGTTATGTGCATCATCTATGCATTGAGGAGTGCATGACACATGGTCTGAGCTCCAAGGCCGATGTGCACCTGTCCCGTTTAATGATCCAGTTGCCTGATAATTTGTTAGCATAAGCTGATGTAAAATTGGGCAAAATTAGATGTTTATGGAAAAAAAAAATTATAAGGGGTTAACCTTGCATTTTTTTTAGCAAAATGGGGAAAAATCAGATGTTTCTGGAAAATTGCAGATTGTATGGGGTTAGATGTTTATGAAACATTTCAAATTGTAAGAGGTGAACATTGCATATTTTAGCGAAATTGGGTAAAATCAGATGTGTCCGAAAAATTTCAGATGTAAGAGATTAACCTTGCTTTTTTAGTGAAATTTTGCAAAGATAGATGTTACGAAACATTTCAAATTGAAAGGGGTTAACCTCGCATTTTTTTAAAGCGAAAGTGGGAAAAAATCAAATGTTTCTGGAAAATTGCAGATTGTAAGCGGTTAAATTTGCTTTTTGAATAAGATTGGGAAAAATTAGATGTTCATGAAAAAAATTCAAATTGTAAGGGGTTGAACTTTACTGAGTCTGAGGTCTATCGAGGGGACGAGCCTTATTTCAACTCCCGGAGATTCGCTGACAGTCTCTATTTTTCTTTTTAAGTAAGTCGAAATAGCTGAAGAGGGAGGTGAGAATCTATATGTGCCCAGATACAAAGAGTAGAAATCTACGCGTCTGCCGTTTGAAAATACACAATTGCGGTGTTCATTGTTGCGTAATGATCCGCCTAGCACACGACTGTTTTGCACATTAGGCTGTGTTATGCAGCTTCCTAACAAACCAAACACACTGGGCTCATTATATCGACTTGTTTTTACCCATTAAGGTAAAGCAAATGGACCCAGTAATCTTCCTGGCGCGTTTGCTCACCTATAAAGACAACTTTTCTCAGTTGAAGGAAAATTCTAAGGTAACGAAATGGCCGAGTGGTTACGATTCGTCGTCCACGGTTAGCGGGGTCCCGGGTTCGAATCCCGCTGGCGTCTTTTTGGTTTTTAACGTATGAGTTCAATTATTCACTATAAGAGATTTAATTTCCCGTCGTAAAGTACCAACAGTACCTTAGCTTAATCGGTAAGCACTGCTGCTGGTACTGTCCGCGAGTTCCAGGTTGGCGCCTTCGTACAGGTTCAGGGCATGTGGTCCACTCGGAGGATCAGGGCTTAGGGGCCGCCCTGTTCCTCCCTTAGCTCTTTGCTTTTACATGGTGCCTGGCCCTCCGGGGTTATATGGATGGATAGGGAAGGAAGTGTGTATTGGTCGGGGACGCCGAGACCCCGGAAGAGAACTAAGGGATCGGCTGGGGCATTGTTATGGCTCAGACCGATCCCTGAAAGCTTGACTAGCACATAACTTTTTGATTTTGTTTACCCTCTATCTTTTATACTTTGGTTTAGTTTGATATCTACAGCTGCTCGGCAGGTCTACGGGTAGTATCAAAATTGAAACAAAGGTGTATGTCATAAATCAATGAATATTTCATAATTGACTATAATCAAAACGGAGTTTGGTTTGATTAATTTGACTATCATTATATAATGACGCGATTGCCAATTGACGTAAGAAATGCCATAAATTATACCGGGAAAGAATAAAGATGTACATTGTGTACATAGCAACAACAGATGTACATAGCAACAACAAAAGAGAAAGGAAAAAGAGAAAATTCCTCTACCCTAAAAACTGGAGAAAAAAAATTTGTTTTAAAAAAGTCAAATGGGACACTTCATGTATTGATTTAACAGTTTGCAAGGAGTTAGCCTTACATTTTAGCAAAATTGGGAAAAATCAGATGTTTCTGGAACATTGCAGCTTGTAAGGGGTTAACCTTAGATTTTTAGTAAAATTTAGATGTTTATGAAACATTTCAAATAGTAAGGGGTGAACCTTGCATTTTTTTTTTTAGCGAAATTGGGCAAAATCAGATCTTTCTGGAAAATTTTAAATTGTAAGGGGTTAACCTTTCTTTTTTAGTAAAATTGGGAAAATTTAAATGTTTATGAAAATTTTCAAATTGTCAGTGGTTTACCTGGCATTTTTTAGCAAAATAGGGCAAAATCAGGTGTTTATGAAAAATTTCAGATTGTAAGGGGTTAACTTTGCATTTTTAGCAAAATTGGGCAAAATCAGATTTGTATGAAAAATCAAAAATTGTAAGAGGTTAACCTTGCCAAATTAGAGCAAAATCAGATGTTTCTGGAAAATTGCAGATTGAAAGGGGTTAACCTTGCTTTTTAAGCGAAATTGGGAAAAGCCAGATGTTTCTTGAAAATTGCAGATTGTAAGGGGTTAACCTGGCATTTTTAGCATAACTGGGCAATATCAGATTTATATGAAAAATCTCAAATTGTAAAGGATGAACCTTGTATTTTTAGCGAAATTGGGCAAAATCAGATCTTTCTGGAAAATTTCAGATTGTAAGGGGTTAACCTTGCTTTTTTAGTGATATTTGGCAAAATAAGATGTGAATATAAAATTTCAAATTGTAAGGGGTTAACCTTGCTTTTTTAGTAAAATTGGGCAAATTTAAATGTTTATGAAAAATCTAAAATTGTAAGGGGTGAATCTTGCATTTGTTTAGCAAAATAGGGCAAAATCAGGTGTTTATGAAAAATGTCAGATTGTAAGGGGCTCACCTTGCATTTTTAGCAAAATTGGGAAAAATCAGATTTGTATGAAAAATCTAAAATTTTAAGGGGTTAACCTTTGCCAAATTAGGGCAAAATCAGATGTTTCTGGAAAATTGCAGATTGAAAGGGGGTTAACCTTGCATTTTAAGCAAAGTTGGGCAAAATGAGATTTTTATGAAAAATCTCAAATTGTAAGGGGTGAACCTTGCATATATTAGCAAAATTGAGCAAAATCAGATGTTTCTGAAAATATTCCGATGTAAGGAATTAACCTTACTTTTTTTTTTAGTCAAATTTGGTAAATATTAGATGTTTATGAAAAATTTCAAATTGTAAGGGGTTAAGATTGCATTTTTTTAGCAAAATAAGTCAAAATCAAATGTTTATTGAAAATTTCAAATTGTAAGGGGTTAACCTTGCATTTTAGTGAAATTTGGCAAGTTAGATGTTTATGAAAAAAATTTAAAAATATAAGGGGTTAACCTTGCCTTTTTTAAGCGAAATTGGGGAAAAAAACTGATGTTTCTGGAAAATTGCAGACTGTAAGGGTTAACTTTCTTTTTGAATAAGATTGGGAAAAATTAGATGTTTATGAAAAAATTCACATTGTAAGGGGTTAGGCCAAAAAAAAAAATATTCGGTCTCTGGTCAGACCAAAGTTCCGGAATTGACGCGGCCACGCGGCTTTTTTTTTTTTTTTTGCTTTTTTTTTTTTTCTTCAAGCTTGGATTGTACAGACAAGGTGGGTACTACTTTGCTTTTTTGGTGTCCTATGTACATTGGTGTCCTCCATAATTTGCCTTGGTGGTTTTGATCATTTGCCTTGGTGCAATTTCCCATTCCTTGGTGCTCTTTGGTAAAAAAATATTGAGGAGGTGCGGAAATAGAGGGCGCTGTTGGAGCTACCGCGGAACATTTTGAAAAAAAAAAATCGACGCGCATGATTAAAATCGACGCGCGCGCTGACAAGAGACCGACTTGTTTTTTTTTTTGGCCTTAACCTTGCATTTTTTCAAAATTGGGAAAAATCAGATGTTTCTGGAACATTGCAGCTTGTAAGGGGTTAACCTTAGATTTTTAGTAAAATTTAGATGTTTATGAAACATTTCAAATAGTAAGGGGTGAACCTTGCATTTTTTTTTTTAGCGAAATTGGGCAAAATCAGATCTTTCTGGAAAATTTTAAATTGTAAGGGGTTAACCTTTCTTTTTTAGTAAAATTGGGAAAATTTAAATGTTTATGAAAATTTTCAAATTGTCAGTGGTTTACCTGGCATTTTTTAGCAAAATAGGGCAAAATCAGGTGTTTATGGAAAATTTCAGATTGTAAGGGGTTAACTTTGCATTTTTAGCAAAATTGGGCAAAATCAGATTTGTATGAAAAATCAAAAATTGTAAGAGGTTAACCTTGCCAAATTAGAGCAAAATCAGATGTTTCTGGAAAATTGCAGATTGAAAGGGGTTAACCTTGCT